ACGACCACCCACAAAGTGCCTTTGCGCCGAAGCCGAAGAGCGGCGCGAGTCAGCAGCAGGAGCGCGGCGAGCTCTGCCTTGTACGACGACTGGTCCTCGCCCTGCACGCCACCAGCAAAGTCGCCACCCTTCTCCAGGATGACGGCAAAGGAGGCCACATCCGGAAAGCTGGATCCATCCGTGGCGACGTAACACTCCTCGTCAGCTGGGCTCCAAGCAGCCTCAAGGGACTCGACGAGCTCGTCCTCCAGGCCAGCCACGTCGAGAACTGCAGGGGGCGCCGGCAGTTCTGGGACCTCGCGAGCCAACATCCTCTCAGCAAGGCGGTTGTCGACAGGACCCACACCATCACGAACCTGAGGAAACTCAGGGCAATGCCACAGGAGATGCGGTCGACTCGGCTGCGGCAAGCGGCACCTGCACGGCGGCAAAACATCCAGCTGATGGCGAGCAGCCTTATCCCAAGCACTGCAGCCGTGGCCCAAGCAAAGTTGACGAAGGTACAAGTTCCCCTGGTCGTAGAGTTTGCGGTGGCCAGCAAACGTGCACAGAGTACCTGGAGCAACCGCATGAAAAGCAACGCCAGCAGCGAGGCCAGGAACCGGTCGATGAAAACCGCGCTGCAGTCGTCCGCAGGCCTGAATGGCCTCACGCCGATGCCAGTCAGCCAGCCACTCGTGAAGAACGCCAAATCCATCAGCCCCAAACTGAAACCAGCGAAGGCAGCCGAGACGGTCACGTCGGACAAGAGAGCGTTGACCGGGGCCAAACCACCAGCCAAGCTCCTGCAGAATGAGCCCAACAGTCGGGAGCGCCACATCGACCGGAGCGAAGGCAACCTGGAGAGGAGCCGACTCCTGCCATGCACGAGTGGAAGTGCGCAGCCGCACCAGCTCAGCCAATACGCTCCAACGGCGCATGAACACAGGATCGCAGTCATAGCCGAGCACCTCCAAGCACAGAGGGCGCGCCTTGTCGCCCGCTGTCTTGCAACCGACCTGGAAAAGGAAGTCGTTCCGAAGAGCCTTGGCCTCCTCAAGCGAAACACATCCAAAAGCACCGGCCCACGTGAAGACCGGAGTCACCAGCCGTCGAAGGAGGCAGCGCCAAGCTCGAAAGCAGGAGGCCACCACAGTCACCAGTCGCAGAAGACGACGAACCCGCGCCAAAGAGCAGCCAGTGAGCGAAGCCAGGCCACCATGATCCAGGTCCAGAGTGAGGCCAAGCACCTCGAAGAGGGCACCACAACTGTACCGGAAAAAGCCAGCAACCTCCTGGGCCCAAGCTCTCGAAGTTGGAGCTCCAACACGACGCTTGTCACCATCACAGGTGAAGCCAAAAGCAGAGTCAAATTGATCCGAGAGCTGCGCAGCAGAGTCATAAGCAGCGCCAGGCCTGAGCATCAGGAAGCGGTCGTCAACGAAGGAAGCCGTCGCCACCCCAGGGGTGGTCTCGACCAGCGCCGACCAAGCCGTCAACAAAGGAAGCAGCCAACAACGGGCTAAGGGGGCACCCCTGGAACAGCCCTCGAGTCACACGACACCACGTGGAGCCCAGAAGTCGGTATTTGCCTGTGCAAGTGGAGCATGCGGCCCCAAGGCACAGCAAGACGAAAAATCATCCCACTCCACTTCTGTAAAGGTGAAACAACGAAGATGATGACGATGAAGGCTGTACTGTATCAGGTAAAAGTGAAACTACTTCTTCGCGCTGACGATACACCACATGCTGCTCCCGAGTCTTCTTCTTAAGACGGTATCTTGGCTTCTTCATCCCAGGAACAGGTTCCCTTCTCGGGCGACATACAGTAATACGCATATTCGCTCTGTCCTTCCACTTCCAGTCACGGCCACAACGAAAGCAGTGCAAGAGGCCTTCATCTGGCGAACCTACCTCTTTGCCTATCTGCTCATTCCAATACAATACATGGCGTCCACGGTTGTACTTAGAATGAAGCTCACGTCGAAGCTGTTTAATACGAGCAGTACTGCGTGTGAATCCCTCCTCTTCCAGCCACTCTTCTTCCGGCAAGTCCTTCTGAGAGCACTCGGCCCCCGTGATCTTCAGCTTAACGTGTTTCAGTCTGGTAACGAACTTGCCGCATTTGCGGCACCACACCCCTGGACGTCCCTCCACCCGAGGTCGGATCGCATGCCCATTTTCTTGAAAAACGCCTGCTTGCCCCGCACCCGCATTTCTCACCGCCTCCCTCACAACCTCTTGGTAATGTTGTTGTTTATCATGGAACGCTGCTATGTTGCGCCGCCAGATATCCACCAACATAGATTGCAGTGAACAAACCTCCGCGTCAGCCATCTCAAGTCTTGTAGGCACAATACCAGCGTACCGCGTACAAACCGGCAGGGTAGCGACTGAACAAGACATCTGGGATATTACGGGATCACGGATATCTGCGTGGATTGTGCACTCCCAGGAAACATGCATCACAGTCTTCGGAACTCCACAAACGGCGCAATTGAAGTTTTGATGTATCCTCTTGCGACGGTGATCGCGCTCCTCCGTCATTAAACCACCTGCAAGCAACAAGCGCAGCACTGCAGTTTTTTGCCTGTACTCTTCAGTGGCGAAAGTCCCCAAAACATCATCATCCCTGCAAGCCTTGTTAGCCTCCTGCTCCCAGCGTTCGTGCAAAAGCATTGTACGTCTGAAATCCAGGTCCTGAATATCTCCATAGTGCTGTGGTCTATCTTTCATAGCCTTTTCCACCAGAAAAACACGCCAAGCCATCCGAAGTCTGTGCGCCCATTCTTGTTCATCAACATGTTGGTAAACAAGCTCATGAACAAGGTTGTTAAACACCGGACTGTCAGCAAGCAACCGCAACCGCGCCGCAGGGCCCTCCACCCACGCATCTTTACGAAACTCCTCCTGCAAGACGTTACGGAAGTCAACATCCCTGATGCACCGTGCAACAGTTCGAAGCCCATAGTCGCGGACGACACCCCCACGCGTTACCATCAATCCAGTCCTCTTGCCAAAGGAGCGCGTCATCGAACCTCACCTTGCTCCACAAACGATAAACAGCACTTAACACAGTAATCGGACGAAAATCTGTGGGTTGTGCCTCAGGCTGCGTTTCGTCCTTGGGAACCAATGCTGTATATGCATAACACACCTCGTCAGGCCAGACACCGTGCACCTCAGTGTAATTCAGTATAAGAGCTAGTCCTTCAAAGATCTGAGGGTGCCACTTTGCAAGCGCTGTTAAAGACTCAGGTCTGAACTGGTCCAACCCCGCCGAACTGGCCTTCGTACGAAGTGCAGCTTTTACCAGACTATCGCCCGTGATATTGTCCACCGCCATAGGAGAACGACGCATCCCGCTGCCAAAAAACTCGAAGAACCTGTCAACATTGGGCTCACGGTCCTTGAACTTCCCAAAAATCGGCTTCCACGCATCCAAAATGGCTTTAAGCTGATGTTCCTCATTGGCAGAATATGTACCATCATTCATTTTCATGACTGTACTCAAAGGCTTGCCCTCACCACGCAACCAACGATGAGCTTCACGATCTGAGGCCCACATGCGCCTCTTCCACGCATTCAACCTTGCATACTTGCACTCCGTTTGTACTCGCTGGAAACACTCCTTCAGCACCACCAATAACCCTGCAACATTCTCCTTCGTAAGTCCCTTCCAAAAGTGCTCATCAAAAGAACTCCGCGTCACATCATCAAGATGAGGCCTGACCTTACGAAGATTTCGCCATGTCTGCTCAGCCCGAAAACCAAACGCTCGCATGACGTGCAACTCCTCGGACCTCCGAATCGCTGAAGCAATCTGCCGCATTCTCAAAGTCATCGCAGTCTCACCCGCCACGGCCGGATAACAACACAGCTTCTGGAACCGCACTTTGCCTCGACCCTGCCCCTCATCATAATTCTCAACTCCTCCAAACACGATAGGAATGTTAGCAAGCAGTTTCTCAGCCTCCCGACACCACACACCAAAAGCCTTGTTCAGTTCATGTCGCGCAAGCAGCTGCCGGACCTCAAAGGAACTCGCCTGCGGTGGAGAATACTGCAACGGAGGATCCTTGTATCGCCCCTTTAAACCCACGTGTTTGACCAGGTAACGGGTCTGGGCCGCCAAAGGCCACCTGAATACCACAGAAACAACACGATGATCAGTGCGTACTGGGGCATCGCAAGTACGGCACGACTTACACAAAGCCGCTGCACAATGGTTAACAATACACATGTCAATCCGAGACCCTCCACCTTTGAGAGACGTAAGCTGACTCGGACCATCCTGCTCAGACCACCGGGCCGCGTCTGTCCAATCACACGCAATACAACTTTGCAAATATGCACTCTCGTCCAGCTGAATATTGTAGTCACCAACTATCATGACGGGAACCCCTCCACACATCACTGCATCCTGAAAGATATCACGTAACATTGCATGTAACATCTCCTTCTTGTCACTCTCCCATCTTGCTCCAGCGTGCCCATACACGCAATACAGAATACATGATCTCTTTCCTTTCCCACGAAAAACCTGTATGGCATGTAAACGACCCAAACGGTAATGTTCCAGACAAGCTCCTTGAAATAAGATAGGCTTCACAGCCCAGTTCGTGGATTTCTTCACAAGAAAGGCAACGCCACAACGAGATTTGGAACCGACCGGCGCTCCCCAAAAAATTTGACGCTTTGCATCCATATCGTTCAGCACTTTCTGTGTCTTGTCAGTTGCATGTGTTTCACATATAGCAACCACATCCTCTTGCATACCACAGATATTCATAAACTTGCCCGGCGCATTAACCCCATTCGAGTTGATCGTCGCCACGGAAAAGTCAGAGACATCCGCAACCGAATTACCATTAACCGAATGCATAGTACGATTTCTGCACAATGCAAGTACGAAAAGATAGGCCCACCAACCAATCATTCTGAAAGTGATGCGCCCTCGTAGTGCACGAATCCTTGCCGTAGTATGGCATCGTAGTGAAACATTTTCGCCTCGATCAGCCTCACCCCTCCTTGCGCTCCTTTGGCGGAGGCGTTTCACCTGTGTGAGCTCCCTCCCGCGGCCTAACTTGACTAGCCTTCGGATTCGGGCCTTTGTCATTGAGACGCTGGAGAAAAGCCTTCTGACGCTCCTCACGTGGTGCACGACGCTCTGGAAAAATAGAAGTCCCGGATGATGTACCAGCCTCCCTATCCTGACGCTGCATACCCCTAGCCACCGCGTTGAGTGCCTTGAACTTGACCTGCTGGCCTTGCCCCGCCTCCATGTAGTACAACGGTAGGTCACTCCCACGATTGGACGAATGAAACACAGCTTCTGGTACGGTACCACAGGCACATTCCATTCGGAATCGATCAACGTGGTCTGCATCCTAATCTTGGCCTGCTCTGGAATCGCTTCTTTCATCTGTCGCAGAAACTCCTGATTGCGTTCTTCCACTGTACCGCTGTTATTGGGATTCTGAATCTGCTGCTTACCGCTGCCCTTGCCCTTCCCCTTCTGGCTTCCCTTCGCCCCATTCCCATGCTCACAATGAGCTCGCTGATTCATGTCCTTCTTGGATTGGTACCACGCACACTGCATGTAACACAAGCATTGGCACACCAGAAATGTAGCATCCGCATAAGTCGGATTCGAAAGGAGCATATCCAATGCATTGTACCCAGCTACCCAAGTAGCCGACGTGCACTGCCTCACCTCACTGGCCTGCATAGTTAATTTCGGTACGCACGTCGCAGACCAGGTCATAGGTGCCGAGGCACCACGTGGAGCCCAGAAGCCCTCCCGCAGAAAACAGCTTGTAGTGCGCTTGGTACACCGCCTGGACAAGGCCCCGCAGCAGAGAGGGCGCACCAAGGCTAGCCAGGACCACATCAACGTCACGAGCATCGATCGAGTCGAAGTACTTTGCCAAATCTTGGCCAACCAAGACATCACCCCGGCTGCAGGAGGTGATCAGCTGCTGGATGACGTCTTTGGTGGACCGCCCGGGCACTCCACCGCAAGTCTGATGCCCGAGCCATCCCTCAGCCACGGAGCCAGGCGAGCGACAATAGCCTTCATGCCCAGCCGATGTGCCACACTAAGGAGTGTGAGAGGTCTGGCGCCCCCCTTGGGCTTGGGTATCAAAGCCACCCTCGACAACCGCCAAATGCGCGGCAATCTATGCTCGCGGGCGACCACAGACCACAGAGCAGCCAGGGCATCCCAAAAGGAAGCCGGGAGCAGCAACCAGTGTTCGATGACCCAGCCATCTGGGCCCCCAGCACGACCTTTCATGGAAGAAGCGATGCCTCGGAGCTCAGGGCCAGTGAAAGTAAAGTCAACAGACACCTCAGGCCTAGCCGGCAAAGCACGAAGAGCATCCTCCACCAGCTGCGGGTCACGGTGAGCACGTCGAGTCCATCTCGGCAGCCACTTCGTCTCGGCCTGGGAGATAACACAAACAGGATGTACCGCAACCTTGGGCAGGAGAGGGTCAATCGGATCGCGGTCCAGCTCAATCTGCTCCTCGAGGAGAGCCCTGCGCTTCACCCACGAGCACTGGGCCTTGAAGTCCTGATCCACACGCCGCCAAGCAGCAACAGCGGTCTCCTTAGCTTCGCGCTCGAGGGCAACAATGAGGTCCCCAACCAAGCGCAGCGCACCCACCTCAGCACCACCAACGTGGTCAAGGAGGTCGGGAAAGGTGGAGCCCAGCATCTCCAAGTCGTGAACCACATTGGCTCGCAAAGAAGCATCCAAAGGCACATGTCGTAGATGAGACACTCGTCTGCGCAAACGCCGCATGCGCGTCAGGAGGAGCGACTCAGAGCCCAGAACAGCCTTGTGCACAGCCCGAGCAGCGCGCGGTTGCCACTGGCAGCGGCGAGCAACCCGGCGCCCATGCGGCTCCTCACCAGAATCCAATGCGGCCTCGGCGGCGGAGGAAAGCAAAGCCCAAGCCGCGTCAATGTCACTGCTAAGAGCCTCCTCAAAGTCACTGGCGACCGGCTGCCAAAGACCCATCCAGGCCGCCTCATCAACAGGAGCCGTCCCCAGCCTTGCTCTCAAAGGGCCCGAATGGCCCGTGGGGAGAGCCAGAGGGATATCATAGGCAGTGCACAAGTGATTCCCCAAACCCTCGAAAGTGCCAAGGCGAACAGCTGCAAGACCACGAGACGACAAACCAAAGTCCAGTCTCCTCGAACGGCTCGGCGATGTGCCAGGAAGAGCACCTTGATGAACGAAGCACTCGTCAAGGGACCTCACATCACTCCTGGCAGCGAGCGTCAATGCCGCAGGGTCCTCATCCAATGCAACGTTGAAGTCGCCCAGCAGCAACCACTCACAGCTCAATGCACTGAGATACGAAAGTACCTCCACATGGTGCTCCGTAGCCCGCCGCCGCCAAAAGAGGCGTGGCCGTAAGTGTTGGCCACCACAACCTTGCGCACAGCGTCCTGCAACCTGACCTCGATGACGGCAACCGCAACCCGAGCGGGATCGGAGATGCCAGAAGGAGTCAAACAACGCACGGGCGTGCGCGAGACAATGACACATCGGCGGAGAGCCCGAGTAGAGCCCTCATCAGCAACCTCAGGCCCTCCAACAACGTGGAAGCCTTGAGCTCGAAATGAAGAAACGACCCTGGGCCAGGACACAGCATTGACATCCGCCTCCTGAATGCACAACAAATCAAGCCCACGGCGCTGCATCGTCGACATAACAGCCGGGACTTTGCTGGAAAGGCTTTTCTCGATGTTCATAGTACACACTCTGAGGCAACGGCCATCGGATGCAGGGGCCTCCGTCATGACGTCATCGAGTCACTGCAGCGGCAACTGGGATCACTTCGAAGAAGAGCAGCCTCAGCGGTAGCCAGACGATGGGACACGATCTCCTCAGGCACGCCATGGGGGATCTTCTTCAGCAGCCGAACAGCCCTATAGTAACGCTTGCAGCGCTCCTTATGGGTGCCCTTTCGTGGCCGAAACTTGCAACACCGATGTGACCGAAGGGCCGGGCTGGTTGCATGTGTCGTCAGGTGGTGGCAAAGCAGGCAGCTCCAAGCCAACCTCCAAACAATCCCCCGAGGTCGATGACGATAGATCTGCACAACCGGCCACAAAAGGGACGTGAAACCCTCAAACTCACCCTCAGATGAGCCCAGCAGCATCTTGGCTGTGCGCTTGTTGGCCGCAGTGGCGACCCGAACTCTCCTCGAGCTCCTGCGCTTCATAGCCTCTCGAGCCGCAGCGGCCTGCCACTGCTTGTCGTCATACTCAGGATGACGGGCACTGCGGTGGACAGCCTTCTCACGCTCGAGAACATGCTTGGACATGGTTTGCTTCGTATGGGTCGGCAAACCAAACCGACAAGCGGGGCACTTCCAGTCAAAAGCATCACCCCGAACCTCCTGAGCACTGAGCTTGCGAAAACTCGAAGTGGTCGCCTTGATGCTACCAGGCAACCCGGCGCCATCATGCCACCGGACCAAATGAGCCCGCCGGGCAGAACTCACCACAGTACCGGAAGCATGAGAGTAACTGTAGTCACAGAACTGGCAGATGAACCGCGGCGGTCCACCATCGACGGCCAAAGGGTTGTTGCGGCACCGCGGTTGGCGCAACGCCAGCAGGCTAGCGCGTTGGCTCGCGCTAAGCGCCGGAGGAGGATCAGCATCGGCACCTTCATCCCCATCATCACGAGAACGCTTGAAGACTGAGGCAGAAGAGCGCTGCGTCCTGCCACCAAGTGAGGAAGGAGCAGCAGGCCCAACAGTACGCCGGCCAAGAGTCGAGACAGCCTGGTGCTCGCCAGTGGGAGCAGCTCGCGACGACGGCAATGACCCCTGAGTGCAGCCACCCAGACACGAGGCAGCAGTGCAGCCACCGAAGGAAGAAGCGGCTCGCCCAACGGAAGGAGCAGGATCGCCAATCTCGGCCTTCACAGCCTGTCCTGCAACCTCCTCAGCGCATCCAACCAGCGCTTGGTAGTGCCTGTTAGCAAACCACAAGGCCAGCGGCGTGGATTTCGAGGGGGCCCCAAAAACGCGAATGTCGTAGTCATTCTTGAAGGGCCTGATGACGAATATTTGTTGGTTGAGGGTCGCGGCTAGACCAGCCAATTCGATGGACCCGCCCCACGAACCATCTCGCCCAATGCGCTTGAGATATTCGTCAAATCCAAGATGAGATATGTCTTGCTGTTCAGAGTCCGGGCTGTCTCCGCGCCAAAACCCCCTATAAGTGTCACAACCCAGACCCCCGGGTGGATCTATAAATTAGATCCACCAGCTAGTGTCTCTAAATTTTAGATCCATTCAAGAAATCGTCTCTATTTTCTAAATATGACTTGCCCGGTTCGGTGGCGAAATGTTGTGCATCATGCTCAGGTTTGTGTAAACTTGCTCTGGCCCGTTATGGGAGTTGAAACAAATGGCTCCGGATTGTGCCACGATGGCAACACTGTGTCTCACATCGTCTTCGAGAGTCAAAAAATTCAGGGTCCTGGGACTGTAGGGTTTTGTTGTAGCTTCGAAACCTTGAAAACCTTCGTGTGTTGCATTCATGAAGCCCAAAACGGCTCAACAACCCAAAACCTTAAGGAATTCCCCTCCTGAAAGAGTTCAAGAGCCAACCATGCATGCATGGACTCCAGGTTTTGGGCTCAGGTACGAGGTCAAGTTAAGACTGCTTCTGCACATACATGTCTGCCATGGACGACGACCGTCGACTGCTTGAGTTTGAGCTCCCTGGGTGTGTACGGCTTGGGCTTCAGAGGGCCCCCAGCCTCGAATAGAAACCGGAACCCCAAACCCTCCACCAACAAGCGCTACCAACCAACCCACAAACCCAACCAACCAACCAACCCACCCAGCCACCCACTCACCGACCGACCTGACCAACCCAACTAGCCTACCCAGCCGACAAGCCAAGCCAGCCAAGCCAGCCAGCCAGGTTGAGGTAGGTTTATAGAGATTTTGTGCTGGCATTTAAGGGTTTAGGCTATCGTTTTCTTTTGCTAATTGATTTCGAAGATAGTTTTCATATGCAATTTTCTTGATTTTAGTTTTGGTTGTGATAAAACCGAGTAATCAATATCAATAAAAGAACATCGTGTACAATCAATAAGGGATGCCCAGGGTAAGTTAGCACCAAAGTAGGAAAAGTAGCAAAGCACCACCCAAACACACTAAACACACCAAAAAACACAAAAAAACAAGCAAAAATTGCAAACAACAACAAAAAGAGCTGAATTTCAAGCCAAAAGGAGCGATGAGGGACCGATGAGCCTCCTAGCGATGAGCCTGCGATGAGCCTCCGATGAGCCACCGATGAACCCCCCGTCTGTAGTCAACGATAGATCTTGGACAGTGCGTAGGCCCCCCAAAAGCCCCAAACCAGCCGAAAATGACCCGATGAGGCACCGATGAGCCTCCGATGAGCCGCCGATGAGCCCCTCTTCTGTAGTCAACGATAGATCTTGGACAGCAAGTAGGCCCCCAAAACGCCCCAAACCAGCCGAAAATGAACCGATGAGGGACCGATGAGCCCTCCCACGCATGTTTTTGAAGCACCAAAAGCAGCCCGATTTCGCCCGATTTTGCCCGATTCAGCACGAAATCGGTGCCCAGTGCTCGAAACTAGCCATGCGCGAGCTCCCGTTTGCCGGCCGGCTGCCAGTCTTCCAGCCCGCAACCCAACCACTAAACCTTCCCTGGACATCCCTTGTTGGTTGTAACCAACAAACTCCATAGCAAAAACATTGATATTGATTCCGGTGTTCCTTATCGATTTGTTCAATAGGTTTTTATGTCACGATGCAATATGTTCTTAGAACATGTATTTTTTAATTGATTCGAATATGTTGCTTATGCCTTGATTCGGTTTTTGGATTTTGCTTTCGGCATGTTTTTGTTCTTGACTATTTTCTTTATTGCCTTGCGCGTGCATCCACGTTTCTATTGAATTCTGCTTCCGGGGGTTTGGGTTTAGGGTTTCGGGTTCAGGGTGTCGGGTTTAGGGTGATTCACTGGAAATGCAACTTTCTTCAGCAAAAGAAGCTGGAGGCTCATGCTGCAGAGGGCTAGTGCAAAAAAAGGCCGTCTCGCAGTCCGAAGCAAAACCCCGGAGCCCAGAACCACTAAAAACCGTAAACCACCACCTCAAAACCCCAAAACTCCTCAACCGCGAACCCCGAAGCCCAAACCTTCGCAAACCCTCTCTCTTTCTCCCTCTCCCTGGCTCTCCTTCTCGTAAACTTCGAACCCGAAGCCAAAGCCTTCAAACTCTTCAACCCAAAACGCTTAATTCAGTATTTTTCGGGTTTGGGGCTACTGGTTTATCTGGCTCAAACGGCTCAAGCTCTGTATAATGCTCCGATGATGCAATACACGATATATTCTGGCTCAAACGGCTCAAGATTGGCATAATGCTCTCATGATGCTTTATGTTTTAAACAATGTTGGCTCAACATCTCAAGATTTTTCCATACAGCAATTGGCATCGTATCTATTTTTTAGAGTCGCTTGAACAAATCGCTTCTATTTTCCGACATGAGTGGTGGATCCAATTTATAGATCCACCCGGGGGTCTGGGAATGTCTCCGAAGATGCGTGGCACATAAATTGCGAAGGTCATTGGAGGATCTCCGCGACCGCCCCTGCGCACAAAGTGCCTCAGCAATACTCAAAAAGAGGCAATTGCCTCCCCCAGCGTTCGGCACAAGCTTGAGCCCGCCGGGCACCCGAGTCCCGGCATCATCGATCCCCGCAGTGGCGAGGCCGCTTGGAAGCAGCATCATCGGCAGCACTAGGCATAGACTTGCCATCGTCCAGTCGCGGACTGTCAGAGCCAGCATCGACCTGCATGTCAACACTAGCAGCGGGAGCCCCAGACGTGTCCTGGCTGGCGGTAACCGTGACAATCCAATTGGAAGGTGCGGGCTTAGTCATAGTCCCCTGCCGCTGCTTGCGGCCAGTACCAAAAACCTGCTTGACCTCGACCTCGAGAGGCAAGGCGCGATCACTGTGACGCCGAGTGTCCTTCCCAACCCTGGTGAGCTCAATGGTGTCCTCGCCATCCTCGCCGACGGGAAAGACAAAGAAGTCGACATCGGCCGGCATAGTCGCCCTGAAGGACCAGGAAGTGGCCCCCCTCCAAGGCATCCTTTCCTCGACCTCGGGATCGACAAAGCTGCACTCAACCAAGAACTCCGAAATCTCATCGAAGCTCCAGGAGCGCGGGACTCCACATGCGCGCCACTGACGTCGCACCGTGCGAAGTCGGGCTAAGTCCTCCTCGGAGGCGACTCGCCGAATTCCAAGTTGTTTGGAGCCACGAGCAAGTCCGAAATCTGCCGCTTGCGAGGCTCGCCTGCACCGAGCCAAGTAGGCGCCCCACTCCTCGGCATCCTCCCACTCCTGCCAGTGCACCGTGAGCTCGGGAACCCCAGCAATCTCCTGAGAGCGACTGACATTCGACACGAACCAAGTCTCGCCTGCATGGCGCTGCCCCGAAGCCGAAAGCGCAGCAGCTGCTCGAGCAACGGGCATCCGTATGAGCCCTTCCACTGTAGCCTCCGGACCGCCTTGTCCCCGAGTAAGCTGCCATTTCCAGGTGTCATTGATGCTTCCAAAAGAGGAAGCCGCCCAGGCCCTAAAATGGGCCCCTGGATTCCCTGGATTCTTGGTGATCTCAGTCCAAGCCTTGGCCCCACGTTCGCAATAAACCCAGTCGGAATGCACCCGAAGAACACAAGTGGCCTGCGCAGCAGGGGTCTTCGGCTGGAACGTTGGCTGTCTCATTGATGGTGCCTCCGTAGAGCACTTCGCGATCCACACCGAGGCAACACGAACGTGCCCCCGCCACGTGCCAGGAACCCTTGCCTCAGCCCACTCGACCTCGGCAAACTCCTTCCTGCCCTTTTCAAGCTCAGCGTCGCCCTTGAGCAGAACAATGGTGACGTCAGGGGGGCTCTCGCTCGAGAGCACCAAGGTCCTCAGGCGGTCCAATTCACCATCGCTCCGGGGGAACATGACATAATCCAAGGTGAGGTCATCCCACATCTCCTCAACAGTGGAAACAACGACCGCCCCAGCATCCCAATCTGCTGCGCGAGGGCACCAGTCAGCGGTGCGGATCACGCCAGCATCACCGCCAGCACCTGTCGAAGTAGCGCGGCCACCGGCGGCGCCACGACCCTTGCCTTTGCCCTTGGCAGGCGGGCCGGCCAAAACAACTCGAGGAGCTGGCTCAGCACTAGCCTTCTTCTTCTTCGCCTTCGCCTTCGCCTTCTTGCGAGAAACCTCAATCCAGCCCTCATCCTCAGCAGCTGGCGGCCACGACCCGCACGCCTTATGGTACCACCCTTGCGCCTTGCTCGTTGTGGCCAGCTCCTCCTCAGCAACCGGCTGCCACGACTGAGCCATTCCAATCCTCAGTACGACGCCTCCTGGAAGCCCACCGTGAAGCCGAGGGCCAGGAGGAGCCTTTGTAATGCCATGATCGGGTCCTTCGGCCGACTCGTGACAATCATCTCCAGCTCTCGAAACAAATGCTCATTAGCCATCATCTGCTTCAGCCTCGCCTTCCTCTGCGTCTTCGGCCCAACCAGACAACATCTGAGACAAAGCCGTGAGGAGCCGTTCCGTTCTTTTCCTTTTGGTGGCTGCAGCCCCACCAGCACCGCCGCGGAACATGTCACAGCCGGCCGGGTGCCCCAATCATCATCCACGGCGCCTCCTCGAAGCTCATCGGCAGCCTGAGCGAAGCCTCCACACTGCACATCACCAGAAACCATCAAAGAGCCACGACACGACTCAGGCAAAATGCACTGAGCCTCATCTGTCATGCAATCGCAGACACTCGCATCTTCGCCAGCATCAGCGTGAGGCCCCCAAGGGGCAAAATCGTCAGCAACGACATAGGCGTCACAAGAAGGAACACCACCGCCAAGGGCACTGGACTTCAAATCGCCAGCCCCAGCCAAACCACCACCGGCCCGCTGAGAAGTGCCCTGAGTTCCACCACCACCTGCACAAGGATCAGCCAAAGCACATCCAGCGTCAAAATCTCCAGCCCCCAAGGAACGAGAAGAGGAAGCTGAAGCAAAATTGCTCTCAGCGACATTGGCGCCGCTTTCATCGCCAAAATCAAAACGAGGAAAAAGTGCCCGCCGTGGGACACCGCCTCGACCACGAGCCGGTCTGCACAGACCTCGAACTCGAAAACCACCTGCAACTGCAATCCAAGGCGCCCTTCGCATCCTCAAGCGAAATGGGCGCGACCATGTAGCACGACGCCGGGAAACCACTCGCGCAGCGAAAGCCACATAGCCTCGAAGATGAAATCGCAAAAGAGCTCTCCTCCCAGCGGGTCTCGGGCAGCCATGCCCTGGCCCCCAAAGATGTACAGCCTTGCGCAAACGGCGAAATTGCCCAGAAGTAAAGCTTCGGGCCCGCCGGTGCCAACGTGGAGCGGCACCTCTATCATGAAATTCGGAACGGCGACGCCTAACCCACAGCGTCCAAAGAATCCAAGCCCAGAACAGCAGCAGCCCAATCCACAACAGGATGCCGCCGCAAATCGCCTTCACGGTGCCATGGAAGGAGCGGAACTGCGAACCCAAGCAGTCAACGCCCCATCTCGGAAGCACCAGGACCCTCAAAAGCAGGTCCCTTCGAATTTTCATGTAAAGCCCGCTGCCAATGATCATCAAGAAGAGCAAAACGAGGCAGCCAAGGCCACAACCGGAGAAGTTTTCGTACTCGCACGTATGCGAGCCCGCACGCACCTCGTGGAGGTACTCCTCAAGCGTGCAATACCTCACCTCCGCGCAGATTTCCTTAGCCGCCACCCTGCGAATATCAGGCTTAATGACCGTCCCATCATCCACTCCCTTCCACAACTTCTCCAAGGCTTTGGAATTCTCCACTCGGATGAAACGATATGCTTGGATTTCCTCCAGCCGGAGCTCACAGCGGTCCAAGCGTTGCCCGTGCTCCGAGAGTGTGTCGGTGACTTCTGTGAGTCTGTTCTCAAGCTCTTCGCACCCGACTCACCAAAGCGGCCACCGTCTCCCCTAACGTACCCTGCTCCCTATCCTGGGTGCCATGTAAAGGCTATGTACGGACTATGTAAGGGCTACTAGTATGTAAGGGCTGTGGCATTTGGTTTTGCGGGACCCCTCGAGCCGATAAATTTCATTTCCCTAAACCCTAAGCCCTGAACCCAAAACGCCTAAACCTGCCAAATCCATGGCGGAGCTCCCCCGCGCTTCGACTTAATGTTATTGATCAAGATACACTATCACGAGAAGGGACTAGAGCGTCCAGGGAGAAGCTTTGCAAACCAGACAAGACACATGGCCAACAGAAACACAAACACAACTCCATGCCAGCTGCGGCCTCGCCTTAAAAAGGGGGTGGGTTGGGGGGAGGGCGTGCTCAATCGGGTGCATCTTAGTAAATTGTTCAAACTCCTTTCGTAGATTTCGTTTCTGCAGGGGCCGGAGCCTTAAGGGCGAGACTGCAGTCGCTGGAGCCTTACGGTTGAGACTACTGGAGCCTGGGCTTAACTTGAGACGCGGTTTCAACCCCCCTCAACTGTAAACGCTCCCCCGGACAGGGCCAGAAGTAAGCCCTTGACCAAACCCGTAAGCCAGCCCTTCAGCCCTTACCTTAAATCTTTAAGCCCGCAAGTAAGCCCTTACGCCCTTAAGCAAGCCCTCAAGCCTTCGAGTCCCTTAAACATCAAGCTCTTAACGCCCTTAAGCCCTCAGGTAAGCTAACTAAGCTCAGTAAGCCCTGGAACCACCAAATAAGCCCTTAAGCCCCTAATTGTGCTCTTAAAACTCGTTGGGCCGGCCAACTGGGCTGGGATTTGTCGTGTGACCACGATTTCGGAGATCAGATTGGCGAGGTTAGAATACGGCAAACGAGGTGGGAAATACGGCAGACCAGGTTGGAAATCAGATTTCCCAGGTTGATTTTAAGATTCTCTCTCTCTGGGGAAACAAGAAATAAGCCGCAGCCCGGAAAGTAAGATATAGGAGGACACGAATCAGATGGGGCAAAGTCAAAAAGAAGACTGGAAAAAAAAAACATGCTAAAATTTAGATGAGGAGGTTAGAAAAAAGACACGAGGCTGAAAAAGGCGGCGAGGTTAAAAAGAAATCTCGCCACTAGAGTCCCCAGATTCTGGAATGGTGCTTGTGTGCGGTCGTCTTCGTAAGCACATGTGTACGACTCTGCTCACCAGAATAAACAGTCTGGCAGGGCAGGGAACTGGAATGCGATCGCATGCACGAGACAGGCAAGCACTGTGTAGGAGTCATGGTCCCGATTGGTCTAAGAGCCCAGCGCTGTCGTCACGGCACCAAGGCCAGCAGGCACACCCTGGCGGCGCCGTGTGCAAAAGGTGTTTCAGCATGGGATCCGCGACACCGTGAAGACCGTCGCTGCGTTAGAGTAACTGAGTCATGCTGATAGCCTCAAATCCTGGGAACTTCACGTAGTGCTGCACGACCTGGCCCAAACCGGAGTTTTCGTTTTGAAGTGTCTTGCTACCCGACCATCGAATTTCCTGATTTCTGCCGTGCTTTTTCGCACTCAAAGCTGCGCTACGCCGTCCCTCGGGATCGCCCCCAGCATGACGGGAAGCTGCTGCATGCGACCAGCGATGAGCAGGACTCCATCGCGAGCGCGAGTGCAAAGGCCAGAGCCTCGGAAGCCTGCCAGGCTGCCAGGGCCAAGCCAAGTGAAAGCACGGACACGACAAGACTCCCTAAAACAGCTTGTGAAGCTGTGCTCTTCAAAGCTCTCCGACCTTTCGGAAGTGCAAAGCTGGTCAGCGGACGGCTGCCTCAGATGCCCGACGCCTGAAGCTCTGCACCTGCCTCTACACTCTAAACGAGGCAAGTCAAGGCTCTAATGAAGTCCCACAGCTCCAGTCGACCACTTGAGATCAAGATCCACAACCGCCCTTCCTGAGATACCGCTTACAAGTCAGATACTCAGTCGTGCAGTATCCGGCAATTACATTCCAAGCATCCTGAACGACGTCCAGGTACACAGCATCCACCTGCTCCGGTGCTGCGCTGCGGTCCTGGACCGTGTACAGCCAACTTTTGTGTGCGACAGCGCTTCTTCATAGCCTGAACCCAGGTACATGACAATGCAGATCCGGATCTTGATGCCCAAACACCCCAGTCCTGCTTGGAGGTTGTGTTCTTCAGCTCTAGCGTCAACTGCGAGCGAAGCGTCAGTCTCATTTTGAGAGAGCTCACCTCCTCCTGCGTCCTGCGACTGCCAGGATGCCAAATAACACACGGGGATGCCAGGGAAAAAGCGTCTTCGGTCCAAGAGGCCGGGTCCTCGGCAGCACAACTGTTGCGAAGCTGATCTCATTCGTACCATCTCCCAGCACCAGGAGGAGACAGGATCTGGACGTTGTCCTTAGCAAACTGTGGGTAGCATTTCAACAGGACACCTACGTAGTGCTGGTGCATTTCAGCTGCTTGGGATGCAGGTCTTGCTCCAGCGATGCGCAAGACACCAGCGACCCAGCCAGAAACCGGTGGCGACTCCCCACGGTGGAACCTTGCCATTGTCTCCAGCGAAGCCCGCTCAAGCGCTCAGGCCATCAAGATCCGACAAGTCACCCAGCTCGACCGTGAGGGGGCGCTCGAGGCCGGGGATGCCGGCGGTGCGGTTCGCGTGAAGCAGGGTCAGCATCTCATCTCGCTGCTCGATCCACAAACATTCCAGACTGCCTTTGTCGCACACGAGCCGCCAACTGGCGGGAATGTCCTGGAAGCAAACGCATTATGAAGGCCTCGCTAGTTCTTGGCATGTTCTGTTTTATGCACCCAGCTTGCTATATCCTGGGATGGCATTTCCAAGAGTTGGATTGGGTCTTCCAAATCCTCAGCGTCAGCTGACTCCCGGACTTCTTGCTCCGTTCCAAACTATTCCTCCCGAAGCAGTCGAGCCGCCAAGAGAGTGTATTGAGCAAAGGTAGAGCCAACGAAGACTGCACCATTTGGCTGGCACGACCTGCAATCAAGAAGTGCAACAAGGAACGTGGAATCGGTGCACACGAACTGTTTAGAGGGATCCAATCACGGGTCCGAGCAGCACAGCTTCTGGACTGAAGAACCCGCCATACGGCCAGGAAATGTTGAGCGGCTGGAAGACGAGTTCAGAGACCTCCATGTCCCGTCTGTACGACATTTTCTGGTGTAAGGTCACCAGACCCATTTAGCACTTCAGCCAGGGGCAACCTGCACAGCAGCGAGTCGTCGTTCTTCGACGATATGCGACCTCAGGCACTCAGTTGCACAGGCTTGGCAAACAACTCCACAACCCACCTTCGCCCAGCACGACATGCAAGGCAGGCAGGCCCAAATGAGCGAAGATGCACTTGCCAGTCAAAGATATGCGTCTTCGTCTCGCGAAGAATGGCTGCAATGCCCAGAGCGAGCCTGCACACACAACGCGCTCCAGACAAAGAGGCGCTCTCTCCACCTTTGCGTGCTCCCTATCACTATCAGATGCATCGGAGGCTCCAGACCAGCTGGATGGTGCGCGTCACGAAGCTAACCAGATTCCACGGCAAACGGTTGACTTGGATGTTGGGATCGGCTTGGCTTCCTGAGGGCAGCAAAGCTCAACAGGACACAGTAGCATGATCCATCTGAGTCCATTTCGCTCTCCACGTCCTCGCAGCGGGGTTTTCTCATCCTTGGATCTCAGCAATTTCATGGCAGTTGGCCGCGCAAGAATCAATCTCTTGAGATGCGTTTGGTAACAGGACACCTTGAAGCTGCAAGCTGCTGCAAGCTGAGCTGCTTCTCTGGAGATTCTGCTCCCTTCACCGACATCCTGTCGTGGACATTCCTACTTATGACTCACGACGTGACGAGGTTGCAAGAGACAAGAAGATCCCAAACGGCCCCGGGCTCACCTGGTCCGAGTCTTCACTTCGATCGGAAGTTTCATCAACGGTTCCTTGTGGGCATTTCGCCAGTCATGCCGTATATGTGACAAGCAGAGATCTGCACACGCACTAGCTTCAACCAGGCTCCATGTGTCATCATCTCAACCTTGCGCTTGAACTCCTTGGCTCACGGCGGAAGCCGAACAACAGTACTGAGACCATAATACTCCGAGACGCCATGCAGATGGCCATAGCACTGTCTAGGTCCAGAATGTTGTCGCTCGACGGTCTGTCCAACAGGACACCTCCCGGAAAGCTGCTGCGTGCAGGCGCACAACAAATATCAACAAATACACGCATGTACATGCTCGCAGACAGGTGGATCAAGCAAGGCGCCGTTCTGAGACCTGTATCGGTTCTCTATGTCGTAGAACCACCTCTGCATCGCGGCCAAACTACATTTGCCAGGCCGTTCTAGCGACTGGTCAGACTCGCGCTGCAATCTGCCCAGGGCACGTCGACACCACCCCAGTGCCAAACCAAAAGGAGAACGGCCCAAGGACCTCACGGACTGTTGGGACATCAGCTTAGCTCCAGCTACAACGGCCAAGTTCCAACCGCTGCTTCAGCAAGATATTGAAGCCAAAAACGAGAAGAACGGCTTCCTAACCCTTACTGTAGCAGTCCCGTGCGACAATATATTACACACATTCCAGACTCGACTGTTCAATGAGGACTTGACGCAAAGCAGAGAAGGGACTTCTGCTACGGTGGCGGACTTGTGCAGGTGAAGCTGCTGTGCCAGAGAAAGGGTCCTTGCGCCGTTCAGCTGTAGGGAAATCTGCCCAAGGACGATCGTCCTGACAGGAGCCGTCCACATCTGCCAACAGCAAATGTAGAAATGCAACAAAAGGAGGCCCTTCCAGTCGCGAAGTTGCCTCCACTGGAATTGGCATCTCAAGCTTCTCCATAAAGTCCACGAAGGTATCGGCTGTGGCGTTGTAACCTTGGCCAAACTACCAGGTGAGGGAGACAGAGACATCGACAGAGAGAGAGAGACATAGACATAGACAGCGAGAGCGAGAGCGGGCCAGAACAGATCTCGATTTCAACGCCATCAGAGGCTGAAATTAAACAGCGCAAACCGCCAACAGAATCCAAAGGACAGGAATGGTAGCCTACAACGAAGGGTCAGATGTGTCTTGCCATGCCATGGGGCTCCTCAGCAGCTGCTTCCTTTGCCGATACTGCCTCAGCGTCAGCCATCTGCGAGGGACGGCCTGCACATAAGATGACAACAAGCGCCAGCTGGGCCCCACTTGACGTTGCATGCATGCCCTACCTGTTGCCAAAACCTTCATGCTATCACCGAACTGCCCGGTGCCTCCCATCTCCTGATAGCCGCACGCGTCATGTTCAGTGACTTTTGCACCTGCTGCAGTGAGAAGTAGCTTCAAATCCAATCTGCCGCGGCGTATCACTCTCTTTGCTCAAGTACTAAGTGACCATACCCGAAGTCTTCTCAAGTAATTGCGGATTCCAGATGGGCGACATAGTTTTTCAGTAGATAACTTTGCGAAGGAACCTCAACGATCTTGGTTTGGTCCCTCAACCTTTTTGCCCTCACCCTGTGGTTTTCCACGCCATGGGCTCTTCCCCCCCTCCTTTTCCGGTCCAGCTTTGACCGCACGTATAGGCTCCAATTAACCACCACCGGTAGTTGCTCCCATGAGGCGGGTTCGACGGAATGTTAACAAGATACCCTAGACAGCCGCCTTGAGATTTTTGACACGCACCCTCTTTTTCCGATCCTGCTTCTGGCGGCGCCTTCCCAATTGTCCGTGCGGCAGGTGATATGTCCGAAGGTTCTGAACGCATTTCGTTGTAGCCCTTTCCGTTGCCGTGGTATGACCCACTCTTTCCGCCAACATTGCCTCCAAATGCTTGACAGTTGAACTTCCCCCAACCAGGCAGCACCTGTAGGAGCCGGCAGCTTTGGCCGTATCCCGCGAAATCAGAGATCGTGCTTCGACTGTCACGTAGCTCAACAGGTCCGGAAACTCGTCCGCAGGCCGCTTGACCGTATACGCATCCCCTTCGCGGCTCAAGGGTGCCACACGGCGCACGCAGTGGCCTCAAGCGCGGCATCACCATGACAGACGAATACGCGTCCCCTGCCTTCTGACGGTTTCGCGGCCGTCACTTCCGCCACACGCGTTCCAGCATGCGCCCCAGCGGCTTTCCATGCAGCTTTGCAGTGGCCGCCGAGGAGACACAAAGGCACCGAGCCAACGTCATTGCCGACTGTGGCCTGCACCGTGGTCGGCTATGTCCCCCTTCACCGCAGACATCAGTTGCCGCCGAACAGCGGGAAACCCACCCAAACTCGATCCTCTTGCTTGGCTGCTCGTCTCGACTGATGCTAAAATCACCTTAGGGCACCAAACGTATCCCATGTTCATGAGTGCTCGTGCAGCTCGACGAAGTGACTCGGGCAACGTTCACGGCCATCAGCATGACCATCTGCGGAGCAGACCACCAGTTCGTGTGCCCCATGATCCCCCTCAAACTCGAAGATTGGCCACCCTCTGGGTCAAAGTCACAGCCTTATGTTGAGGTTGTAAACGAATGTGGCGGCTAAGACTATGTGCCGGGGTGTCAGCAACAGATACGCAGCGCAGGTCAGTGGGGCAATCTCATGGGCGCGGGGTTCACAACAAGATGTAAGTGGCTTGAAAAACTAGTTCGCCCATTCCAAAGTTTTCAGTTGCGGGGACCAAAGCTGGCAAAGCCATACGTGGCGTGCCTCAGGGCGCCTTAGTTCTACGACTTCCTTCTCCTCACTCGTCAGCACTCCAGCTTCATTGAGGTCACTGAAGACCTTAGCACGCCACCCGTCATTACACGCACGTTACGAAGGCGCGAAAAGCTGTGTGTGCCGAATGCTCTCGCTCCAGCCATCTGCTTGCCAGCAGAGAAACATCCATGAAAAGGACAGACTTGAACTGTCGCGGCAGAAATCCAGCATCACCCATAGGAGATGCCAGCCTGATGTGCAGACATTCCGACTCTATAACGACAGTGTTCACGCGGATGGAGTTCGGGCCATTTCATGTTCACAGATCTGAGTGGCCAGTGGAGCATCTCGAACCACAGCACTTCCAGCGGATACATGATCAGCGTCAGCCTCGCGACAAACGTGCGAGAGACGTCAATCTAGCAAGCAGTGGCGATATGCCACAGCAGAACGGAATGGCAGCTTGAGGGTCCATTTCGAGGGATGCCTAATTCCAGCTTTGTTTGATCAATTTGGACTACTTTGAATTCCGGTCCAAATTGATGATCCTGCTTTCTTATGTGGAAATTTATTATACTTGATCAGCACTTTGTCGCGACAGCCAGGGTTTCGCTGACTAAATCTCGAGAGTTGTTTCATCAGCAGATATGAGGAATCTCATAGCTTAGTTCGGCTCTGTCTGGCAAGTGGCACATAGGGTTGTTCGGAGTCCAGCGCACCAAACGTCCTCGGTCTTTCGAAACATATCACGACCCGCGCTAGCCGCTAGCCGCTGGCATCCAAGTGCTTGTGAGTGGCGTTCGCTGAGCGCAGGCAAGAGCCATGATGGCGCAAAGGCCTGAGCTCCGCCCTACTCCTACTGTAAACCTTTCGCCTCTCATGAAAGTTAGAGCGCTTGACAGCTTGATCGGCATGGAACACGAAAACTCATGCTACATGCCAAGATGCAGGGCAACGCTCCGATGAGCGAGAGGTCGTTGACACCTGTTGACATGACCGTTGGCTCTACTCCTGCCTGCCGGGACTGCCAGAATTCCATGTCATTTGGCATTCCGAGGCACCATGGATGTCGAGGGCGGCCAAGTTCAGAGCCAAGAATTGAAACACCACTGCGCATGCCTCGACCACATTTGCCAAAGGAACAGCCTTGACGATGCACTTCCGTCAAGCCGTCTGAGAAGCAGACTGCAGCCACATATGGAGCATTGATCTGCACCCAGCATATACCTCAAAGGCATCTATTGGCAAAATGAAGATCTCGTCAGCTGATGCATTTCAGCCACCGAGGAGGTAGTAGGAGATGCCCTGGAGCATCATCCTGTAGTCAAGATTCCGCTTAATCCAGGGTTCATGAGACAGGGCCTCTACGCGAACTAAACCCTGGGGCTAGAACAACATGACGACCGTCCGCGTATCAAGCTTTCGCCGGGGCGTGGTACAACGATGTGAAACCGCTACGTCAAAGCACGTGCCTGACGCCCAGGGACATGCAAACTCGCCTGAAGGCATGACACCGTCAAAATGGTGGACGCTCGGTCCTACAGACACTGCCAGCTTCATACTGGAGCTGAGCCACGCATATGCGTCGTAGCATTGCCAGAGTGCTTGCAGTCGCCGAAAGAGCTGGATGTGGCGCTGAGTTCGGTGGTGGACCTCAGTTTGTCGTCCCGGGCTTGATTTTCCAAAAAACTCGGACTGGACCACAAGGTTATCAAGCATTGCTTGCGCTTTGGTGAATGTTCAATTCCGACAACAAGGTATACCACGTCCAGGCAGAGGACACCAGCTTGCTGTGTTAATACAGTTTCGCCGTAGTCGGGATGATCCAGGACAGTGTGCGACACCAGTGCCAACAAGAAACCGCCTTCATGATGTCTTCCTCATAACCAGCCACGTCCTCTGCTTTGATTCGCAATCTTTGGCTTTTGACGGGGCTGGCGCAGGAAAACCCACATCTCTCGAAACTGCAGTGGCCATGCAACACTGCCCCTGCCATTGCAACGGCAAATGCCACCAGGTTGCGAGTTTCATCAAACCTCCGTAGGCCCAGATGCCAGCTCCCAACTGGTCCGGCGGAGCTGAGCAGGCATCATTGGACTGAAACTCCGCTCTTTGTGCACTAAGACTTCTGTTGCTGAGGCTTGATATTGTGCCGAGTCACCTTCTCGCTGTACCTCGAGCTGTGGTCGGTCTTGCCAGTTGTTGTTCGCCTCAAAACACCGAGGGAATGCTTGCAGTGCTCGAGGCGCAGTTGATGCCAAGCGCCTTGTTCAAGAAGGGTATTCGCAACATCCTTGGATATGTTGGTTTGACAGCGCCTCTGTTCGTGCAAAGCCTGGTTTCTGTGATAGGGATACTGCAACTGGGAACGCGAAGCAGTGCTGTGCTGTACACCGGTGGCACGAATCCAGCGTTGATTAGAAGATGCAACGGGTGAACTAGGCAACTGCAGGCGAAGGAAATGCATTAGAACCTTTTGCGGGGCGATACTGACTAAGATTCCTGTTGAGCGCATGAAGTGACTCAACTTTGATGCAGGCTCTCCTTCCCTTTTGTGCGCCTGAGTTTCTGTCGGCCTTGCCTCTCAAAGTCTGCAAAGCGCGCATTCAAGACCTTGCTCAATATTTGTGATCCGAAGGCTGACAAAGCATCAGGACGCTCTGGCAACTGATTACGAGTAGACATGAAACGCAGATAAAACTCTGAGAAAAAGTGTTGAGCATTAAGATAAGGAACATTCAGCTGCGAGCTGCCGGGGATGGGCAACCGGATGAATCGAGTCAGGACGCGAGTAGCATAACCTTAAACTTGAAGGCCGTGACGAGATGTCAGTATGGCAACAGCGTCTTTCGCAGAGTGCGGGACCAGCATTCACTGATGTTCGGTATCAACGAAATGCTGTCCAAGAGATCCAAGAGGCTGTGTGAAGTCACGGACGCGTGCATGGACAGCCACACGGCCATGATGAGATAAACAACGGAGCTTCCCTGACGTCGTCACAAAACATGTTGCAAATTGATCTTTCACGCAGGCGAGATCCTCGCGCGGTGGACACAAAGAAACACTGCTTTGCGATGCTTGGGTGCACCACTGCGGCTCTTACGCTAATTCTTGTTCGCGCTGATTCTGTGCTAATGCAACTCTTCTTGCTGGAATCGCAGACTGCAGCACCAGATCCCCTCTGCCGCCTGGGACATATAGTAGTAGCCTGCAGCTTCTGGAAGCGAAGACTCGTGATCCAATGACCGAGCGCCACGCATGTGCAGCCAGAGAGCAGAGAAGAAAAGGAGGAAGCCCTTCCTCGAAGAAGCCCTCACAGAAATAAATACAGATCCTGGGTCAGCATAGGTGTGGAACGGTGTGGATGTCATGTCAAGCATGAAACATGAGAGACCTGAAGTTCACGGCCAGGGGTCATCTTTATGAATAATGCACCCACAAGGTGATACAGGTTCATCTTGCTGGTGGTCATCTCTACCTTGCAGCGAATGCAGCGGGAAGGGCCTAGGCCTAGGCCTTCCCAAGTGGCATGACATGGCTCGACGTCATGCTCCTCATCAGGCCTGGGCACCAAGTCTCGGATGTCTTCGCGGAAAAGGTTAAATAGCTCGACCTGCGCGTCACTGCATCATGGCAAGGCCTAAGGTGAGCGCTTCGGTGGTTTACGTGCGTTCGATACATGAGCCGCATGTGAGAAAGGGACACCCCATTCCTGCTTAGGCACATCCACAAGGCTCTTCTTGTGCGAGCTAATGCAATTGAAGGAATGATATGACCCATGTACGAATTTTATGTAATCGGGTCAGCCCTTTGCTCGGCTGCAGCAAGTTAAACCAAACCGCATTTTACCTATGCGGGGCGCTTTCCTTATTAGGGCTACGGACTACAGTTATCCCGGCACCCGGACTCCGGACTTCTCAACTTTCGGTTGGCCTGCATCTTGACACGGACTTCATCGCGGCTGAAACGCTGTTCCTGGCCCCCACTCACGCCGAATCAGATACAGCCCTGCTCCCTCCCACAGCACAGTCTAACAGCATTCTCACTCGTGCTGAACTTCTCTTGGCTCTTTGGTGCGGCCACCTGGTCAAACTCGAAATTCTCTCGGTTGTACCGAAAAACCTTGGAAAAAGAAAACGCTTGCTGGGACGTGCTGTTGGCTGTCACGAGCCGGCCGACCTCCGCCCCTGCCAGGCCCATGGCCGCCATGAGCTCCATGGCCGGCATCTCCTTGCTTTCCGCTTTCGGCGATCAGCTCTGAGCAGCACAGCATCTTTCTTGGTGCAGCTAGGAGGCTGCGAGCGGCCAACTTGCAAGCACAAGCTTGCCGAGGAGATAGGCGAAGAATCAATCTCGATTGTCGTCTAGAGGTGTGTGACAAAGTGTCCAGCGGCTCTCCGCATGAATGAGGAGGGATCGAGTCAGACTGCATACAGGATGTGTGGAAATAGAATCCTGCAGTTGCCTTCCTGGTAAGCCACGAAAGTCGCATATCAGAACACAAGACCTTCATCAAGCGCCCAGGCTCACGGAAACAAACAGTCGAAGCCAACCAGGTCAGCTAGACGGCTCCCAATGCAGCCATCATTGCCACTCTGCCGTGCTTGATTTCAGCTGCCTCGGGGAGTCATAAGTGGAGAGACAAAAGGCATCTGAATCATGTCTCAACCCGTACACCGTACACCGTAGGTCCGGGCACGAAGACTCTGAAAGCCATCCTTGTCTCCCACCTTGCTGAAGCCTGATCGAGGAGCCCGTGGCCACGGCCAAAGCTGTGAGCCGTGCTAAGCTGTGCAAAGCCTGCAGGGTCGAAGAAGCCAAGCGGCCTTGGCAAGCGCTTCGGAGGAATCGACGAACCCCACTGAATTCAGTTGCGTTCTGACGTCATGTCAGGATTTCACGGGCAGCTCAGCTTCAGATTTTCGGCCACACGGCTAAGACAGTGACGCCATGGCTCCGACCTGACAGGCAGCTTGGAACCTCTGAATTTCGGCCATACCCTCGAGATGAGTTGCTTTGGCTCTGCCTGCTTGGCAGGATCGAAAGGCGGTGGCTTGGGGGCCTCCTCGCTGAATCTCTCAGCTGCGATGCAACGACAGCTATGATGCTAGACGGCAGAAGGCATGTACCTCTTCTGCCTCGGCGCGCAGCGGCGAAGCTGTGTAGAGAGCCTGTCAAGTCTCACACCAAGTTTGGACTTGCATCCAGCTGCATACCCTCTCTGAGCACTGCACCCAGTCACCCCATGCAGAGCCGGTTAGACCGTCTTGAAAGAACATGCCAATGATGGCCTGGTCGAGGCAGCCGAGTACTTGGCGGCAGCAAGCACGTGCCAAGCAAATAGACAGCAGAGTTCACCCGGCAAGCCATTGCAACTGTCGCACTCTTGCATGGTCTTGCAGCTTCAAGCCTCGTCTCAAGCAAGACCTTAATGCCGGCAAGGCACCATCATGGCCAGGCGGCCGTTGGCCAACTCGGCCGCCAATTTGCTTTTGCGGGCCTCCGGGTCCTCGACCTTGCCCAGGAAGTTGGGGAAGCCGACGCCATAGTTGCCCGGCTCCGCAGACTCCGTGGAGTCCTTCATGGAGAACTGACCCTCGCGAGGGCCACGGCCATCCGTGGTGGACGATGCCTGGAAGAAGCCCGTGGTCTCGATGAGGCCGCAGAAGGCAATGATCTGTGCTCCTCCAAGAACCGGAATCCTCAGACCACGTTGCATCTGCAAAGCTTGCGAAACTTCTGAAAACCAACGAGGGCGATAATACGCGATGATGAATCTCAAGCACGTTCAAGCATTACACAATCATCCCAACATCGAACAACTAAGATCGTGGCTTGGACAATGCGGCCAGGCCATTCGGCACGTCGCTGAACTTAAGACCCAAACTTGGGCTCAAGTAGCCCGGAAACTTGAAGTACTCTGGGACGATATAGCCCATGGTCGCATACATGGCCTTCAGTCAGTCGTCTGCAAAATTCACGGAGCTAAGCTACTTGCAACACTGCATGCTGCCGGTCGCTTCGACTTCCACCCAAACCCATACAAGCAATCTGCATATATGCATCTGCTTTGCACGAATCATGCGATGTTCATGGGCTTGAAGCGGCTTGAGTCCGGGGCAATTCGGCCATGCTTGATCTCCACGGCGCGGCGGCGCTTGAAGGTGGCCTGATCCTTGTCGGCGCTGAGGCCTACCAGGGCAATGACGACGCAGCGAAGTCGGAGCTTGCACGAGTTGCCCACATGCCGAGCTGCTACCCTGGACTACCCCGCCTAGCGGGTCCCAGAACCCGATGGGATCTTGCACACCCAACTCCGTGGCCGGGTCGAAGCTGGCATAGCTGGTGGTCTCTCCACCGAAGAAGTTGCGTGCAATCTTCGACTCTCTGGCACGCAGGGGCGAGGCCGTGTAGAGGCTCCAGTCACCCCATGCCGATCCTGTGAGTCCATCTTGGAAAAACATTCCGATGATCGCCTGCAGCACGCATCATCCGACACTGCAATCGATGCAGGTCCGTGCATGTGGCAAACTGGCAAGCCCGTCCAAGGCGCACGCATGCCCGCGTCTACCCATGCTTTTTCCGCATCCAGGGCGCATGCGCCCTTTCTTTTCATTGGTTTTTGCCAGGTTTTTGAAGATTTCGGATTCAGGATTAAAACATTCTCAACTATAGTTTTGTTGGGTTTAGGGTGGCTGTTCAGGGGTTTGAGGGCGCGTGCAGCTTAGAAGTGGCGCCCACACAGGGGCTCGGGGTAAGCCTGTCTAAGGCGTTTTAGGGGCTTTTCAACTTTTCGGCTCTTTTAGGCCGTAGGGTTTAGGGTTTTCTTCGGGTGGATTCTTTTCGGGCTTAGCTTTCAGGATCCATGGTTTAGGGTTTTCGGCCTTAGGGTTTCGGGCTTTCGGCCTTGGCGGTTTAGGGCTCATGGTTTTTTAAGCTTCAGGGTTTACGGCTTTCGGCCGTTTTAAGGTTCAGAGCTTAGGGTTTTTTGGTTAGGGCTTCGGGTTTTTTTCGGGTTCAGGGCTTAGGGTTTTGTCTTTTTGAGGGTTGAGGGTTTGGGTTTTAGGGGTTCAGGGTCAGGGTGTCGGGCTTAGGGCTTAAGGTTTCGGCCTCAGGATTCAAGGCTTTCGGCCTTAGGGTTTAGGGCTTAGGGGTTTAAGGCTTAGGGTTTTTTAGGGTTTAGGGCTTCGGTTTTTGGCCCTGACCTTCGGTCCACGATCCGGATAAACTTGTAGTTTGCCATCTCCACCCATCTTCGAGCAGATCTAGAGGGACCAATGGTCTGACGAACGGACTCGCCCGCCACTCGGCTCGGTTCCCCCTGCGCCAGGCGTAGGGAAAACCGCCCTTGACCGTCCCTGGAAAGCCATTCCACGAGGCCTGACAGGTCGAAGGCCCGTGCGGCTGCCTCCCTTGCCTCCCGTGTGGGCAGTGCCCGGCGTTGGTTACTCGCTTCCAGAGCCTTCGCCTGCAGTGCCTCCTCCCCATCGCCCGACATGCTTTCCAGAGCACTGCGCACTTCAGCAGACAGAGCCCGTGCGGCAGCCGCTCGAATCCCCGTGCGTTCGATAACCCGTTCTCCACATCCGCCCACACGTTGTCCAGGGCATCAGAGGACTCGATTCGTATGAATCTGTATGAGTGAGCCTCTTCAACCCTGAGCTCGACGACATCGAGCCGGGACGCATGGTCGTCCACTCGCCCTTCCAGCTTTCCCAACCTGTCTTCCAGGTCTTGCACTTTACGCTCGCGGGCGATGTAGAGAAGAGGACCGAGAGAAAGCAGGCCAGTACCACAGACAGGTTTCGACGAACGTCCATGTCTCGCATGCTACGTCTCGCGTTCGATAGATAACGGCCGCATAGAGACTCACAACTGTGCCAACGCTACCTGACTGAACATGTAACACACACTGCATTCACTCATTCTCTCACACTCTCAGCCTGTCCGACGCTCTCACGCTCCCGATCGTTTCTTGGAAAGTTTCCCTATGCCCCCGTCTCGTAGAGACTCCTCTGCATGCGTATACCTTTTATGGTTTTTACGAGCCATGACACTTCCCAGGACTTCGTTGCAGTTCTTGCATGTGCGGTTGGCTGCTCCCGGGCCCCTGCATTCCGGCTGATGTTGCGGTAGATCACAGTTCCTAAACTGAACATTACATACAGGGCATGTGACCAACGGATGTCGTCCGAGCCGCGGGACTGCCGCATCCGCTGCCGCTGGTCGCCGTCGCACTCTAGGATTTCTTGGGGCCGGGGGAAGCTCCCGACCATTATCTCCCATGCATGGGTCCCTCCGGTAACCGCATCCATGACATCGTGTGTGGCGACACCCTACCCGAAGCCCCCCTGTCAGCCAACCTAACCGCCACCTCATTGCCTTGTACCCCAGTATGCCCGTACACGTGTCGAAACCGGAGGTTGAAAGTACGACGTACCGCGCTGCCAAACGCCGCCACTGACTCCGACAGCGCGCCATGTTCCCTATCCCTGGTGAGTCCCGTAGCTATACCGTACACATACTCCGTGTCATACAGTATGGTTGCTTTGCGTTCAGCATCGGGTGGGAGCCTACCATCTAACTCCAACAGCCATTTGCACGCCTCGCCTATCGCCGTGAGCTCCGCTGTGTTGTTTGTACCCCGTCGTGCCCCCATCCAGACCGGGTCATCGGACGCCGTACACACCGGACCGTATAGCGCCGCCAACCAGGACAAATCCGGATCAGGATTGTCAACCTTAGGGTTTTTCTGGTTTAGGGCTTAGGGTTTTCGAGGGTTCAGGGTTTAGGGTTTAGGCGGCCTTAGGGTTTAGGGCCTCAGGGTTGAAGGCTCAGGGTGTTTTAAGGTTTAAGGGCCTTAGGGCTTAAGCTTTTGGGCCTTAGGGCTTGGGGGCCTCGGGGTTTAGAGTTTAAGGTTTTTTCGAGTTCAGGGCTTAGGGTTTTGTCTTTTTGAGGGTTTAGGGTTTGGGGTTTAGGGGTTAGGGTTCAGGGTTTTCGGGCTTAGGGTTTAGGGTTTCGGTCTCAGGGTTCAGGGCGTTCGGCCTTAGGGTTTTTTTGCTTTAGGGTTTAGGGTTTTGTAGGGTTTCAGGCTTCGGATTTTTAGATTTAGGGCTTCGGGTTTTTTAAGGTTTAAGGCTTCGTTCAGGGTTCAAGGTTTTCGGGTTTAGGGCTTCGGCCTCAGGGTTCAGGGTTTTCGGCATGAGGGCTTAGGGCTTTCGGTTTTTTTAGGGTTTAGGGCCTCAGGGTTTATAGGGCATCGGGGTTTAGGGCTTCGGGTTTTTAAGGGTTGGTCATGCAGGGTTATACAGTGTCACCCGTCACGCGAGGCCAACTTGATGTACTAGTGAACCCTTTATCTAACATCGAAGTGCCAGCAGCGTCGGGGGCGTCGCCAGCCCACAAACCTTCATATTCCAGAGAGCGTGTTTGCGAACATGCTTGCAGACGACATTGCGCAGGTCTGAGGCGCTGCGCCGGGATCGGCCAACACCGACCAATAAGTACATGCAGTTTCCAGCACCGGTGTTGTCCTTCAGCACCATTCCCGCAGGGATCGGCGGGCCACTACACCCAGCCTTCTGACGCTTGGAGACCTCGGCCGAATCGGTTTTAGCCGAGGGTTTACCATCATCGAGTCGAGGGGCATCACCAGACTCGACCTGCATCTCGGAAGCAGCCGGCGGCGGAGAGGAAACTTTCGCGGCACGATCCCCGAAGTGGCCCACCGTCTCTTCCCCCCGGGCTTTCCCGCGGGCTTGAAGACCTGAGAACGCTCAGCCGGCAAGGGCCGCGTCACGGCAGCAGAACGATCCTTGCCCAGTCGCACGGCCTCAACCAATTGCTCGGCAATCACAGTGGAGAAGAAATCATAATCAGCAGCAGCCCTAGCCTTGAAAACCCAGCAAGTAGTGCCGTTACGCCAAGGACGGCGCTCATGCAGCTCGACCTCCTCGAAAGAAGCATCCCCCAAGAAGGTCTCCACATCCTCAAAGGCCCAATCCCTCGGAATGCCGGTGAGTCTCCAGGATCTGAAAACGGTGCGCGGCCGCTCCGCATCGGCGGTGGTAGCAGCCCTCCCCACCCCAAGTTGGGACATGCCCCAAGCCAGACCGAAACCCGTATCAGCCAATGCCCGGCGAGCACGTCTGGCATATTGAGACCAAGATTCGCCTTCTTGCCAGTCCAGCCAGTCGACTGCCAACGGTGGCACACCATCCAAAGTCTGCTGCCTCGAGACAGCGTTCACAAACCAGCGCTCCGAACGGGCGTAATGCCCCGAAAGCTTCAGCAAAGTACAAGCATGCTCCGAGGGGACACGCACAAGTCCCTCGATCGTCGCTGTATTTCCTCCCAGCCCTCTGACCACAATTGCCATCCCCAGGAATCCCGGATGTGCCCTATCGCGGCATGGGTCCAATCCCTGAAGTGGGCTCCTGCGTTCTTCGTCAAAGCCTCCCACCTGAGTTCATGATGAACCCAGAAGGCCCAGAAGGACCACCGTGCTGCGCTCCGCCGGCGCTCTAAAGGTAGCCGACATCTGCTTCAAGCGCGGCGCATTATCGCTGCAGAAAGCAGCCCACACATTGGCCGCCCGGACATGGCCACGCCACTCACCTGGCATGCGAAGCTCCTCCCAAAAACCTCGGGGAAGTCAGCCCTCGCCTTTTCAAGGTGGCCCTCCATGATGAGGATGGTGAGGTCGGGCGGGTCCTCCGAACTCTCGGTACCTCTCCAATTCCTCCTCTGTCTTGACATAGGACATAGGCAACAGCATCGATGGAGGGATCATGCAGGACCTCCGTGACATCCTCAATGATACGGGTGCCCGGCTGCCAATCAGCAGCCCGCGGGCCCCAATGCAAAGGAGAGAGGGGACCCAGCTGACCATTGCCTTTGCCGCCAGCCTGAGCACGATCCTTGCCAGTCCCCCTTCCAGAAAGAGAAACAGAGCAACCTGCGAATCACGTCCCTTGGGCTTCTTGGCCTTCTTGCGAGAGACCTCCACCCAACCAGCATCATCATCAGCACTAGAAGCGGCGTGCCGGCCCCACCGATCCACAGGAGCATAGCCATCCCAGCCAGACCACGGTGTCCAATCCTGATCATTGGCCCGCTTCTTGCGCGACCATCTGGGCGCCACGTGCACCGTCCGGGCAGGATTCTGCCACTCCTGCATAAGCGCAGCCAAGGCACGAACAGGGTCAGCAGGACGCTGCCATAGCAAATGCTCGAGCTGGGCGAAGAGCGCCTCGTAAGACTCGTCCTCCTCCGCCCCAAAAGTTGCAGCAGCGCCGCCGTCATCGTCGGCCCAGCCATTCAGCAACTCGGTCAATGAAGCAAGCATCTTCTCCGTGCGGCGCCTCCGGGTAGAGGAGCCCCCGGCGCCTCCACGAAGACCATCCACAGCATGATCGCCGTCACCACACCCACGAAAAGGATCAATGCCAGCAGTGGGCATGCAGCCAAAACACCACCGGCCCCACATCCATCTCCAAACTCAAGGCTCGCGGCCGATCCTCCACCGGCCCCATCATCAGCCTGAACACAACCACTGGAACCAGGCAAAATGCACCGGTCCGGCTCATCACAGCCTGCTGCGACAAAGTCGTTCACGACGACATCGGCGCCGCTCTCAAAACCACAACTGCACTGACCATCGCCACGTCGGGCAGGTCGGGCGCCTGCACAAACTAATCCCACAGCGAGGGGAGGACTGGCGCACCGAAGGCGCCGTCCAAGCCCTCTGTTTTGCCAGGCCCAAACCTGGGTAGCCGGCCAAGCAGCAATCGGAATACCACCATCGCCTTGAGTAGCAGCCGCCAAAAGGGCATCGGACTGCGAAACTGCTGAAAGGGATGCAAACACTCGAATCACGAGAAGCCCCGGCCGAACAAAGGTCCTCGACAACCACAGCCAAGGACCGATCCCTCAGGAAAAGGTGCCAGCGGCCTTCTCTCACCAAGACCAAACAGCACCTGAAACTCAAGCTGAAGATCTGCCAAGCCCTGCCGCACTGTGCCGCAGCAAAGAGCATGTTGTAGCAGGCACTTGCTCCCACAGCAAGCGCACCAAAGAAAAGGAGGAGGCGCAGCACCCAAAGCCCACCCCCAGCGTCATCAAAGAAAGAACATGAGAATGCATCCTCCCATGCAAAGCGCCCTGAGCCATGCCAGGGCTCCCATGGTGAAGAAAAGGAGCAGGCCGAGGAGCCTGGCAAAATAACTCGGCACCGCAAGCTGTGCCGTCCTCGCAGGGATCTCTTCGCACCCGTCGCACGGGCCCGCATACACCTCTTGGAGGTCGATCCCAAGTATGCGTTCAGGGCTCAAGGTAGGGGCCTTATAGGGTTTAGGGCTTAGGGTTTTTTAGGGTGCAGAGTTCAGGTGTTTCGGGCTTAAGGTTTGTTAGGGCTTAGGGCTTATAGGGTTTTTTTGGGGTTTAAGGGTTCAGGGTTCAGGGTTTCTCGGGCTTAGGGTTCAGCGTTGTGGTTTGGAGTTTAAGGGTTTAGGGTTCAGGGTTTTCGGGCTTGCGTTTTAGGGTTTCGGGCTCAGGGTTCAGGGTTTTGGGCCTGAGGGCTTTGGGCTTAGGGTTTTTTGCGGCTTAGGGCCTTTAGGGTTTACGGCTCAGGGTTTTTTAGGGTTTTGGGCTTAGGGCTTAGGGTTTTTTGAGTTTAGGATTCAAGGTTTTTCAGGGTAATTAGTAGGGCCGCTAGCAGCAGCGGTGTTGACCACGCATTCCGCGAACGCATCATACACTTGGAGCTTCCAAGGCTTCGGCTTGGCGGTGGGCCTCTGGGACAACTCAAGCGCCGCTGTACGTCGCCAGTCTGTCCATCTGCGGGCAAGGCGCTCTTTAAAGTCCCCGCTTTGAAAGTAGACAAGCCCCTTGCTTGCGGTGTAGCCTCCCAGACGAAACGCAGAGATACTGGCGAGGTGAGCCGCGTCTGTAGCAAGGGTTTCCACTGCACTAAGGCGATCTCGCATGTTGCCATCATCCCTATCATCATGATCATCAGAACGCTCGCACCCACGGTCCCGCTCGCGGCCGTCCCTGCGGTCCCGACCACCAGGCTTGTCATGCGGCATGACATCCGACCAGACGCACGGGAGACTCAACAGCAACCACTGGACTGAGCCAAGACTCACTGGACATGCTCACGCAACCTGTGGACAACAAATTCCCGAACAGACGTGAACGTGTTTTGCAACCCCTGCAGAAGACAATGCGGACATGTAATGGGAAGCTCTTCAGCACCTCTTTTCTGCCCAGCAGCAAGATGTAATCTGATCGTGGCTGTGCCCGGAAAGAAACCTTGACAGCACGGAGACGCAAACGGTGACGCACCTGGCTCATGTAGCCGTAAATGTTGTGTCATTGCACTTTCCAGCTCGAAGGAGCGACAACATTTCGGACAATCCCAACCTTGTTCAGCCTTGTTCCCGATAAGTAGCCTCAGTGTGCTTAAGAATCACATGAGTTCCAAAGGCCCGACTTTGTGGTATAACTACGCGTACGTAGTGCACCCACTCGGTTTTCGTGCCCTGGCCCTTGCCTTTGCACTTCACCGCAACCCCCGCATCTTCTGCCACCTCGCGGTAGAGAGCCGTTGGTCGCCAAGTGCCTTGCTTGACTCCAAACTCGGGCCACATGCCGTTCTTTTTGGACACCAGGCGTTGTGGATCTGTTCTGTATCTCAGAGAGCGCGCATGCTTCTTCCGCGTACAGACCCAGCAAAGGTGACCACTAACACCCACGGTGTATCCGTGTTAGGAGGATGCTGTGTGTCGGAGATGGCTGTGATATCCGAGCCAGCAAGAATCAAGAAAGCCAGCAATCTCTTGGCAGCGACCAAGTGCTTCCGGGCACACCTTATGCGTAAGCAACCGAATGCTGGATGAGTCCATTGTACATCAAGATTTTCAGCGGTTCAACGCGCCCTGCGCCTGCGGATCCTTCGAAGCGACCCCACCACCATCGCGTGCCTGATCACGAGCATCTTGGTACGTCTTCAGAATTCCCTGCATGTGCTCGCGAAAATGTCCGGTGAGGAAGACTGCAGTCTGTAGCGCCGCCTTAGCCTCTCCAGCATCCCTCGCCGTAAACACTGTTAACTTGCTCGACCGTTCAGACTTCTCCTTGAGGTCACGTAGCTCTTCGCCTTGTCGTCGCACTTCCATTCCACGCATCCCACTCAGCATCAGTCCAGCCCGCCTCCTGGGCACGTCGGGCCTTGGATCAGCGTGGGGCAACATGAGGCTTCCCCGCTGTATCACCACTCTCAGTGAGTTTCGCGATCAGCAGGATGCCCAAGGAAGGTCCTGCGAACCGCCCAGGCGAGACTACCTGGCGTCCCAAAGAGCTGCAGTCGACGCCGCGGCCTGCAAAACGGTCTCCTCCCAGCGCTGCGCAGCTTCACGCGCCAAGAAGCAGCGGCGCCTGGCCGAGGTCTGGCTCCTGCGGCCCACATGCCGCTGCGCAGCCCTGTCCGCTCGAGCATTCAGATGCCGAAGGCGAGCAGCCGAGGCACCTGACAAAGCTCGCCAGTGCCTGGGCAACGGCTTTCCATGGCTTGGGATCCACTCCAGTCGCACCCTGAGCCCAGAGGACGCCAGCACTGCAACACTCGAGGAAACCTCAAGCACCAGCGAACGCAAAGCGCCATGCCCTGCAATCGCGTCCTGCAAGGACTTGCAGTCCACAACCACCCACAACGTGCCTTGCCGGTCAAGACGGCGAGCAGCTCGAAGAAGAAGGGCAAGAGCAGAAAGCTCAGCTCGGCCTTATACGGCGACTGGTCCTCCCCAGAAACGCCGCCAGCAAAATCAGCACCATCCTCAAGACAAACGGCGTACGAGGCAACATCAGAGAAGCTGGAGCCATCGGTAGCAACGAACAGCTCAGCAGAGGCGGCCGGCCAGGCGGCGCACAGCGCCTCAGCAAGCTCCTCCTCGAGGCCCCCGCAGTCCAAGGCCACAGGAGGAGCCGGTTTCTCGGGGACCTCGCGCGCCAGAAGCCGCTCGGCGAGCCTGTCAGCGACCGGCCCGACAGCATCTCGAACCCGTGGAAACTCGGCACAGTGCCACACCAAGTGGGGTCGACTAGGCTGTGGTAGCCCGCATCTGCAATCCGGCAAGACCTCAAGCTGGTAGCGAGCGGCCTTGTCCCAAGCACAGCAACCATGGCCCAAGCAAAGCTGACGAAGATAAAGATCCCCTTGGTCATACAGCTTGCGGTGACCGGCGAAGGTGCAAAGAACACCAGGAGCAACAGCAGGAAAAAGGAGCCCAGAAGCGAGGCCAGCGGTGGGTCTGTGGAAGCCCCTGTGAACACGACCACAAGCCTGAAGAGCCTCACGTCGGTGCCAGTCAGCGAGCCACTCGTGCAAGACCGCCAGCCCGTCGGAGCCAAAGTTGAAGTGGCGCAGAACCCCAAGTCTGTCCCGCCGTACAAGAGAGCATTGACCAGGGCCAAACCACCAGCCAAGCTCCTGCAGCACAAGGTTCACGAACGGGAGCACAGTGGAAAGCGGAGCCAGAGCAACAGTCAAAGGAGCCGTCTCCTGCCAAGCTCGGGTGTAAGTCTTGAGCCGGACAAGTTCACGAAGAGCGCTCCACCGCCTCATAAAAGGCGGGTCACAGTCGTAGCCAAGAACCTCCAAGCAGAGCGGCCGCGCCTTGTCGCGCGCTGAGGCACCACCAACTCGGAAGAGGAAGTCGTTACGAAGTTTGTAAGCTTCGTCGCGAGAAACGCCTCCAAAGGCGCCAGCCCAAGTGAAAGCAGGCACCACCAGCCTCTTAAAGAGCCCGCGCCTCACACGAAAGTGAGGAGCAACGACAGTCACCAAGCGAATGCGTCGTCGAGTCCTCTGCAGCGAGAAGCCCGCGAGATCAGCAACACCACCAACGTCCAGGTCAAGGTCCAGGCCGAGCACCTCAAAGCGAGAGGCCCGCGGGTACCCAAAGTGGGCCGCAACAGCACTTGCGCCAGCATGGGACGAAGGGGCACCAACGCGGCACTTGGCGATGTCCCGTGCGAAGCCGAAAGCATCATCGAACTCCGAGCTCAGCTGCGAGGCAGTCTCAAAATCAGCACCAGCCTTCAACATCAGGAAGCGATCGTCCACAAAGGAGGCCGTGGCCACGCCAGGCGCCGTCTCCACCAGAGCGGACCATGCTGTCAGGCACGAAGCCGCCAACAGCGGGCTGAGCGGGCAGCCCTGAAAAAGCCCACGGCTCACGGAGCGCCACCCAGAGCCCGAGACGCCGGCAGCAGAAAAGAGCTTGTAGTGTTCTTCGTAGACCAGCTGCACCAGACGACGAAGAGGGGCAGGGGCACCGAGTCGCTGGAGCACTAAGTCGACGTCCTCAACGTCCACCGAGTCGAAGTACTTCGTGAGGTCTTCACCGACCAGAAGCTCGCCCTGGTTGCAGGCCGCCAACAACTGATGCACGACATCCTTGGTGGAGCGCTGCGGGACGCCGCCACAAGTCTGGTGTCCAAGCCACTGCGTGGCCCAAGGAGTGAGCTTCGCCACCACTGCCTTCATGCCGATGCGATGAGCCACACAAAGCGAGAGTAGCGCCAGATGCTAGGCATGCGGCCGTCACGCACGACCGCCGTCCAGACCGCCGCAAGAGCCTCCCAGAAGTCCAGCGGCAATTGAAGCCATTGCTCAACGACCCAACCGTCAGGCCCACCAGCACGACCTTTCATGCCAGAGGCCACACCACGAAGCTCTGCACCAGTGAAACTGAAGTCGACTTGGAAGGGGGCCCGCTCCGGAACCGCCCGCAAAGCAGCAGCCACAGCAGTAGGGTCACGCTGGAAAGAGCGAGTCCATCTCGGCAACCACTCCCGCTCGGCCTCAGCAATGAGGCGCACCGGATGAACAGCAACTCGAGGCCGAAGAGGGTCAAGAGGAGCAGAATCCGCGGATCTGCTCCTCAAGCATCATGCGCCGCTTGACCCAAGCGCACTGCGCCTTAAAGTCGTCACAGACCTTGCGCTGCCAAGAAGCAACGGCGGCCTCCTTAGTCTCAACCTCGAGGGCAGTGACCAAAGTGGTCACCAAGCTCAGCGCACCAGCCTCAGCGCCACCCAAGGAGTCGTAGAGTTCCGGGAAGGTGTGTCCCAGCTTGGTCAGGTCCTCGACAATGTTCGCACGAAGAGCAGCATCACGAGGAACTCGCCGAAGATGTGCAAGACGTCGTTGAAGCCGGCGCATCCGAACCAGAAGAACGGGCTCGGAGCCCAAAGCAGCTTTGTGAACAGCCCGAGCAGCGTGAGGAGCCCAGGTAGAATGTCGTGCAACGTAGCGGCCAGTAGTGACAGCGGTAGTGTCAGAGCCCCCTGCAGAAAGCACCTCCTCAGCAGCACCTGAAAGAAGAGCCCACGCCTCGTCCAAGTCCTCGGTCAAAGCGCGCCGAAAGCGCGCAGCCTGCGGTCGCCACGTGTGATGCCAGGCGTCCTCCGAAACAGCCTCAGAGTGAAGACGAGCCCGAAGCGGCCCAGCGTGGCCCGAAGGCAAGGTGACCGGCACCTCGTAGGCCGTCCCCAAGTGGTCGGCAACAGTGTCGAAAGTCAAGAGCTGAGTTGCAGAAAGCCCCCGCGAGGCGAGCCCATAGTCGATCCGTCGGCCTCGGCTCGGAGAAGTGCTTGGGAGCTCACCCTGGTGCGCAAAGGCATCGTCGAGAGCTCGCAAGTCAGAGCGCGCAGCGGAAGCTGTTGCCGCCGGAGCCTCCTCCAGTGCCACGTTGAAGTCACCAAGGAGCAGCCACTCGCAAGCACAAGCAGAAAGCGCAGAGAGAACCTGAGCGTGGTGAGCGGCGGCCCGGTCCTGACAAGCAGCGTGACCGTAAGTGCAAGCCAGTATGATCTTCTTGAGCGAGTGCTCGAGGCGCGCTTCGAAGACCACAGCAACAGCCCTGTCAGGTTCATCGATCCCACTCAGCCGGAGGCACTTCAGGGGCATGCGAGAGACAATGGCGCAGCGGCGAAAGGAGCCCAGATGGCCCTCACCAGAAACTGTAGCGCCGCCGATCAGCTGGTAACCCTGACTCTTGAAAGAGGCCACCACCCTAGGCCACGACTCCTCATTAACATCGACCTCCTGGAGACAAGCAGCATCCAAGGAGCATCGCTGGAGCACACTGCAAACGGCCAAGACCTTACTAGCCAAGCTCTTGCCCACATTCATGGTGCCAACACGTATCACTCGGCCCTCTAAAGGATGGGCCGCCGTCATGATGTCACAGAAGCAGGTCTGCGGCGAGGATCACTGCGATGCAATGCTGCTTCAGCAGCAGCCAGCCTGGCGGTGAGCACCTCCTCAGGAAGACCGTGCGGCCCCCGCCTGAGGATCTTAGCAACCTTGAAGAAGCGCCTACGGCGCGCAGCGTGGGTGCCCTGTCGGGGCGGCACTTTGCAACACCTGCGAGACCTGATGGACTTCGGCGACACATGTGTGAACAGATGGCAGCACTCCTGGCAGCTCCAAGCCTTCCGCCAAAGCACATGGCAAGTACGACGGTTTTTCGAAGCAAGCACTGGCCACAACAACTCATCGAAGCCGGGGAAGTCAGCACCGCTCGCCACTCGCTTCACAGCCCTCTTATTGGCAGCGCACACCACACGGCTCCGGCGAGCGCTTCGGCGGCGCATTGCCTGCGTAGCAGCCAGCGCCTGCCACTGACGATCATCGTAAGAAGGATGTCGTTCACGACGATGCTTTGTCGCTTCCCTCTCAAAGACATGTTTGGAGATGCTGTCCCTCGCCTGAGCAGGTATGCCGAAGCGGCAAGCAGGGCATTTCCAGTCGTAACTGTCGGCTTGGATCTCGGCCGCGGTAAGCCTCCGGAAAGGAGTGTCCACAACCCGCACAGATCCAGGGACCCCGACTCCATCGTGCCAGCGAACCAGGTGAGTCCGCCGGGCTGAGGAAACCACGGTCCTCGAGGGGTGGGTGTAGGCGTAGTCGCAGTGAGGACACTCAAACCGCTGTGGGCCATCACCAGTCACCAACACATTCCGTCGGTAGCGCGGCTGAAGCAGAGCGCGTTTGCTCGCGCTAAGCACCGGGGGAGGATCAGCATCGGCGCCTTCATCCCCGTCATCACGAGAAAGCTTGAGGGCTGAAGCAGAAGAGCGCTGCGTCCTGCCACCAACAGAAGAAGGAGCAGCAGCTCCGACAGTGCGCCGGCCAACCTGTAAGATCTATTTCATGTAATTTTACACGTTCGGAAAATTTACACGCCAAAAGCGCTATAAATTATTTACACGCCAAATTGGTGCGTAAAAAAATTACAGGTTTTCGTGTACATTCTGGCGTGTAAATTTTGTCCTATTTTGTTCAATGGGCCAAGCTGTGCCGAAAAGGTGTTTTGAAAACCAGGCACCGGGAAGTGCGAAGTGTGGAAAAAGTAGTGGATTCCGAATGCCGGGCAGGCCGACGTGGCGATAGATTCGTATAGATTCCGAGAGCGAGATTTGCCGACAGAGACAACATGTACAGTTGTGACTCCGAAGGCCGAGCACAAGCCGAAGTGCCCGCGAGCATGGCTTGTCTTGTTTTGGTGAAAAAACAAAAGAAAAAGAGAAAGAGAGAGCCAGAGAGCGCGAGTTATCGGGCAGGGCTAGGGTTCCCCTTACAGATTTCCCAAATTTCAATGTTGTTTCGACCGAAGCAGCAACAGTCACAGATAACAGCCATAACGAAAACACCCAAAAACCCAAGCCCAAAACCCAAAACCATAAGCACAAAACCAAAAAAACAAAGCCCTGAATCCAAAACCCAGCCCCAAAACACAAATCCTGAGCCCGAAACGTTGAATTTGTGGTAAAATTGTTTTGTTTTTCCACTCGAACCATTGACTTTTTTGCAACAATCCCAGAATTTTGTGTAAAACAATGTGCTTTTCAGCAAAACGTTTTGATGTTTTACAAAAAACTTTCGATTTGGTTTGGGGTAAAGGTGTGCGACTTGTTGACAAATATTTTTTGCTAGAAATATCTAAGTTTTTTGTTCCGAAAAATCGTAACCAAAAAATCTCTAGCTTTTGTGAAAGAAAAGTCTTGCTTATTCCAAAGCTATGAATGTTGAGTAAAGAATCTAAACCCCCAAGCCACAAACCTAAGCCCCAAATCAAACACCCTAAGCCCCAACCCCAAACCCTAAGCCCGAAACCCAAAACACCATGAGCCCCAAACCCCAAACCCTGAGCCCCCCAACCCATAACCCTAAGACACCCTAAGCCCTAAGCCAAAAAAACCTACATTTGAGCTCAGGGTTTTGGGGTTTAGGGCTCAGGGTTTTGGGTTTAGGGCTAAGGGTTTTGGGTTTAGGGTTAAGAGTTTTGGGATTAGGGCTAAGGGTTTTGGGATTTATGGCTTAGGGTTTTGGGTTTCGGGCTTAGGGTTTTGTGTTTGGGCTTCGGGTTTTGGGGTTTGGGTCTAGTTTTTGGGGTTTGGGGTTTAGCGTGTTTGGGTTTGGGGCTTAGGGTTTTGGTTTTAGGGCTTAGGGTTTTTGGGTTTGGGGCCTAGTGTTTGGGTTAGGGGCTTAGGGTTTTTGGGTTTGGGGGTTAGGGTTTTGGTGTTTGGGGCTCAGGGTGTTGGGTTTGACGTCTCAGGGTTTTGGTGTTTAAGGATTAGGGCTTTGTGTTTGGGCTTAGGGTTTTGGGGTTTGGGTCTAGTGTTTTGGGTTTGGGGCTTGGGGTTTCTGGGTTTGGGGCCTAGTGTTGGGGTTAGAGGCTTAGGATTTTGGGGTGTGGGGCCTAGTGTTTGGGTTGGGGGCTTAGGGTTTTTGGGCTTGGGGCCTAGTGTTTGGGTTAGGGGCTTATAGGACTTTTGGGTTTAGGGGTTCCGGGCTTACGGCTTTGGGGTTGGGGCTTACGGCTTTGGGGTTGGGGCTTAGTGCTGTTGGGCTTTAGGGCTCAGGGTTTTGGGTTTAGGGTTAAGAGTTTTGGTATTAGGGCTAAGGGTTTTGGGATTTATGGCTTAGGGTTTTGGGTTTCGGGCTTAGGGTTTTGGTGTTTAGGGCTTAGGGTTTTGTGTTTGGGCTTCGGGTTTTGGGGTTTGGGTCTAGTTTTTGGGTTTGGGGTTTAGTGTGTTTGGGTGTGGGGCTTAGGTTTTTGGGTTTAGGGCTTAGGGTTTTTGGGTTTGGGGCCTAGTGTTTGGGTTAGGGGCTTAGGGTTTTTGGGTTTGGGGGTTAGGGTTTTGGTGTTTGGGGCTCAGGGTGTTGGGTTTCGGGCTTAGGATTTGGGTGTTGGGGCAGGGTTTTGGGTTCTGGGCTTTGGGTTTTTGGGTTTAGGGCTTAGGGCTTTCGGTTTTGAGTTTGTGTGTTTTTGGTGTTTGGCCTTGGGGTTTGGGCTTCGGGAAGAAAGCTTGTTTTGGTTTGGGGACTTAAGGCCTTTGGGTTTTGGGTTTGGGGCTTCGCGCTTTGGTTTCTGGCTCAGGATTTTTGGGTTTAGGGCTTCCGGGCGTACGGCTTTGGGGTTGGGGCTTAGTGCTTTTGGGCTTTAGGGCTCGGGGTTTTGGTGTTTAGGGCTCAGGGTTTTGGGTTGAGGGCTAAGGGTTTTGGAATTTGGCTTAGGGTTTTGTGGGTTTCGGCTTAGGGTTTTGGTGTTGAAGGCTTAGGGTTTTGTGTTTGGGCTTCGGGTTTTCGGGTTTGGGTCTAGTGCTTAGGGTTTTTGGGCTTGGGGGTTTTGGGTTTGGGGCTTGGGGTTTTGGTTTCGGGCTTAGGTTTTTGGGTTTAGGGCTTTGGGTTTTGGGCTTGACGTCTCAGGGTTTTGGTGTTTAGGGCTTAGGGCTTTGTGTTTGGGCTTAGGGTTTTGGGGTTTGGGTCTAGTGTTTTGGGTTTGGGGCTTGGGGTTTCTGGGTTTGGGGCCTAGTGTTGGGGTTAGAGGCTTAGGATTTTTGGGTGTGGGGCCTAGTGTTTGGGTTAGGGGCTTAGGATTTTTGGGCTTGGGGGTTAGGGTTTTGGTGTTTGGGGCTCAGGGTGTTGGGTTTCGGGCTTAGGATTTGGGTGTTGGGGCAGGGTTTTGGGTTCTGGCTTTGGGTTTTTTGGGTTTAGTGCTTGAAAACTTTTTTGGGTTGGGGACTTGTAAAGCCTTAGGGTTTTGAGTTTGGGGCTTCGCGCTTTGGTTTCGGGCTTAGGACTTTTGGGTTTAGGGGTTCCGGGCTTACGGCTTTGGGGTTGGGGCTTAGTGCTTTTGGGCTTTAGGGCTCAGGGTTTTGGTGTTGAGGGCTCAGGGTTTTGGTGTTTAGGGCTCAGGGTTTTGGGTTTAGGGCTAAGGGTTTCGGGATTAGGGCTAAGGGTTTTGGGATTTATGGCTTAGGGTTTTGTGTTTGGGCTTAAGGTTTTGGGATTTGGGTCTAGTGTGTTTTGGGTTTGTGGGTTAGGCTTTTCGGGTTTGGGGCTTAGTGTTTTGGGTTTGGGGCTTAGGGTTTTGGGTTTGGGGATCAGGGTTCTATAACCTTCGGGGTACACTTCCGGCCGGAAGTGTATACACTTGGGCCGGAAGTGTATACACTTCCGGCCGGAAGTGTATACACTTCCGGCGAAAGTGTATACACTTCCGGCCGAAAGTGTATACACTTTCACCAAAAGTGCATACACTTTCACCAAAAGTGTATACACTTTTGCCGAAAGTGTATACACTTTTGGTGAAAGTGTTTACACTTTTGGTGAAAGTGTATACACTTTTGGTGAAAGTGTATACACTTTTGGTGAAAGTGTATACACTTTTTGCCGGAAGTGTATACACTTTTGGTGAAAGTGTATACACTTTCGGCCGGAAGTGTATACACTTTCGCCGGAAGTGTATACACTTCCGGCCGGAAGTGTATACACTTTTGCTTAAAATGGTGGCAAATACATGATTTCTGGACCAAATTGTATGATTTTTGGACCAAACTCTATGATTTTTGGACCACATTGTATGATTTTGGAACCAAATTATATAATTTTTGGAGCCAAATTGTATGATTTTTGGTCTAAATTGTATGATTTTTGGACCAAACCTTTTGGACCAAATTGTATGATTTTTGGATCAAATTGTATGATTTTTGCACCAAATTGTATGATTTTTGGACCAAATTGTATGATTTTTGGACCAAACTCTATGATTTTTGGACCACATTGTATGATTTTTGAACCAAACTCTATGATTTTTGTACCAAATTGTATGATTTGTGAACCAAACTCTATGATTGCTGGACCAAATTGTATGATTTTTGCACCAAATTGTATGATTTTTGGACCAAATGGTATGATTTTTGGACCAAACTCTATGATTTTTGGACCACATTGTATGATTTTGGAACCAAACTCTATGATTTTTGTACCAAATTGTATGATTTGTGAACCAAACTCTATGATTGCTGGACCAAATTGTATGATTTTTGGACCAAATTGTATGATTTTTGAGCCAAACTCTATGATTTTTGGACCAAATTGTATGTATTTTGTGCCCTTTTCAAGGATTTTTGTGCACAGCCAAATACATTTTCATCAGAAAGTTCGAAAAAATCCACCCAAAAGCTTATAAGCACGAAACCCACAAAGCCAAAGCCTTGTACCCAAAACCCTCCGCAAAACCCAAATCCCAACCCCTGAGCGTAGAACCCTGAACCCCAAACCCAAAACCCTGAGCCCCAAACCCAAAACACTAAGCCCCAAACCCGAAAACCCTAGGCCCCAAACCCAAAACCCTGCCCCAACACCCAAATCCTAAGCCCGAAACCCAAAACCCTGAGCCCTAAACACCAAAACCCTAACCCCCAAGCCCAAAAACCTTAAGCCCCTAACCCAAACAGTAGGCCCCAAACCCAAAAACCCTAAGCCCCAAACCCAAAACCCTAAGCCCCAAACCCAGAAACCCCAAGCCCCAAACCCAAAACGCTAGACCCAAACCGCAAAACCCTAAGCCCAAACACAAAGCCCTAAGCCCTAAACACCAAAACCCTGAGACGTCAAACCCAAAACCCAAAACCCAAAGCCCTAAACTCAAAAACCCTAAGTCCGAAACCAAAACCCTGAGCCCCAAACCCAAAACCCTAAGGCTTTATAAGTCCCCAACCCATAAAAGTTTTCAAGCACTAAACCCAAAAACCCAAAGCCCAGAACCCAAAACCCTGCCCCAACACCCAAATCCTAAGCCCGAAACCCACAACACCCTGAGCCCCAACCACCAAAACCCTAACCCCAAGCCCTAAAACCAAAACCCTAAGCCCCAAACCCAAACACACTAAACCCCAAACCCCAAAAACTAGACCCAAACCCCAAAACCCGAAGCCCAAACACAAAACCCTAAGCCCTAAACACCAAAACCCTAAGCCCGAAACCCAAAACCCTAAGCCATAAATCCCAAAACCCTTAGCCCTAAACCCAAAACCCTGAGCCCTAAACACCAAAACCCCGAGCCCTAAAGCCCAAAAGCACTAAGCCCCAACCCCAAAGCCGTAAGCCCGGAACCCCTAAACCCAAAAGTCCTAAGCCCGAAACCAAAGCGCGAAGCCCCAAACCCAAAACCCAAAGGCCTTTTAAGTCCCCAAACCAAAAAAATTTTCTACCCGAAACCCAAACCCCAAGGCCAAACACCAAAAACACAAAAACTTAAAACCGAAAGGCCTAAGCACTAAACCCAAAAACCCAGAGCCCAGAACCCAAATCCCTGCCCCAACACCCACATCCTAAGAGCAAAACCCAAAACCCTGAGCCCCAAACACCAAAACCCTAACCCCCAAACCCAAAAACCCTAAGCCCCTAACCCAAACACTAGGCCCCAAACCCAGAAACCCTAAGCCCCAAACCCAAAACACTAGACCCAAACCCCAAAACCCTAAGCCCAAACACAAAGCCCTAAGCCCCAAACACCAAAACCCTGAGACGTCAAACCCGAAACCCAAAGCCCTAAACCCAAAAACGCTAAGCCCGAAACCAAAACCCTAAGCACCAAACCCAAAACCTTGCCCCACGCCCAAAAACCCTAAGCCCTAAAACCAAAACCCTAAGCCCCAAACCCAAACACACTAAACCCCAAACCCCAAAAAATAGACCCAAACCCCAAAACCCGAAGCCCAAACACAAAACCATAAGCCCTAAACACCAAAACCCTAAGCCCGAAACCCACAAAACCCTAAGCCATAAATCCCAAAACCCTCAGCCCTAATCCCAAAACCCTTAGCCCTGAACCCAAAACCCTGAGCCCTAAACCCCAAAACCCTGAGCTCAAATGTAGGTTTTTTTGGCTTAGGGCTTAGGGTGGTTTAGGGTTATGGGCTGGGGGGCTCAGGGTTTAGGGTTTGAGGTTTGGGGCTCATGGTGTTTTGGGTTTCGGGCTTAGGGTTTGGGGCTTGTGGTGTTTAGGTTTCGGGCTTAGAGTTTGGGTTGGGGCTTAGGGTGTTTGGTTTGGGGCTTAGGTTGTGGCTTGGGGGTTTAGATTTTTTACTCAACATTCAGAGCTTTGGAGTAATCAAGACTTTTCTTTCACAAAAGCTAGAGATTTTTTTTGGATACGAATTTGCTTTTTCGGTGAAACTTAGATATGTTTAGCAAAAACCTGTTTGTCAACAAATCGCACACCTTTTTACCAAACCAAATCGAAAGTTTTTGCAATGCATCAAAATGTTTTGCTGAAAAGCCGAAGATTTTTTTGCAAAATTCTAGAATTGTTGCAAAAGTCAATGGTTCGTGTCGAAAAACAAAACAATTTTTCCACAAATTCAACGTTTCGGGCTCAGGATTTGGGTTTTGGGGCAAATTTGTGGCTCAAAAGAACAGAGGACTCTCTCTCCTCCACACAAACATGTATACATCTCTTTGTTCGGCTTGTTGTTCTGTCGGCCGCATTCTTCAGTGCAGGCGACAACATCCTTTTTTTCGTGTGTGTGTGTGTTTTTGTGTGTGTGTGTGTGTGTGTGTGTGTGTGTGTGTGTGTGTGTGTGTGTGTGTGTGTGTGTGTGTGTGTGTGTGTGTGTGTGTGTGTGTGTGTGTGTGTGTGTGTGTGTGTGTGTGTGTGTGTGTGTGTGTGTGTGTGTGTGTGTGTGTGTGTGTGTGTGTGTGTGTGTGTGTGTGTGTGTGTGTGTGTGTGTGTGTGTGTGTGTGTGTGTGTGTGTGTGTGTGTGTGTGTGTGTGTGTGTGTGTGTGTGTGTGTGTGTGTGTGTGTGTGTGTGTGTGTGTGTGTGTGTGTGTGTGTGTGTGTGTGTGTGTGTGTGTGTGTGTGTGTGTGTGTGTGTGTGTGTGTGTGTGTGTGTGTGTGTGTGTGTGTGTGTGTGTGTGTGTGTGTGTGTGTGTGTGTGTGTGTGTGTGTGTGTGTGTGTGTGTGTGTGTGTGTGTGTGTGTGTGTGTGTGTGTGTGTGTGTGTGTGTGTGTGTGTGTGTGTGTGTGTGTGTGTGTGTGTTTCGTCCAAATGTGGCATTGGGAAACACATGGAAACACAAGCACAACGGAATTTTGTGCCAGTAATCTCGGCTGCAAATGTACCGAAACAGAGTGTAATTCGGAGAACATGGGTGTATAATTTACACGTTTTGGCGTGTAATTTACACACCCAAATTTACACGAAAAAGTGTAAATTTCATAAAAAAAATTACACGTCAAAAACGTGTAAAAAATTAAAAAATGTAAAATGTAAAATTACATGAAATAGATCTTACAGGAAGAGTCGAGACAGCCTTGAGCTCGCCAGTGGGAGCAGCTCGCGACGACGGCAATGACCCCTGAGTGCAGCCACCCAGACTCGAGGCAGCAGTACAGCCACCCAAGGAAGAAGCGGCTCGCCCCACGGAGGGAGCACCACCATGATCTGCAGGATCGCCGATCTCGGCCTTGACAGCTCGCTGCAAGCCACCGCCTCTATCGGCAGGATCGCCGATCTGAGCAGGCTCTGCATTGGCGATGGTCGCGCGGGTGAGCTTGCCGACCAACGCCTCGTAGTGCCTCTGGTGAAAGAACAGGGCGATCGGATGCCCACGGCCCTTGGCATTGAACACAGTGATGTTGTCGGCATCGCCGCGGAAGACATAGATGGCTTGGTTAAGAGTGGCCGCCAAAGCCGACAACTCTAGGCTTCCGCCCCATGCTCCATCTTGAGCAACAGCAGAGACGTAGCCAGCAAAGTCGGTGCCCAGCGGCTCGCCATTAGCAGTTGGGGCATCCCCTTTCCAAAATCCGGCATAATGGTCGGCGTGGGTACGGAGATGGGTACACGCCAACATCCGAATCTCGCCGGTCTCGCGCTTGGATCTGCCTTGTGACACCAAGGCATCCCGCACAGCATGGAACAAACAGTTCCCAGCTCCAGAGTTGGGCTCAACCCTCATGTCAGGAGGGATACGAGCCTGCACCGCCTTGGGCCGACCCTCCAATCGAGACCGCTTGGAGTCAGCCTCGGTCTCAGGCCCCGCGACCTTGCTTTTGCCATTTTGGCGCTCATCGTCGCCACCACCATCCACCACCATGTCCTCGAGCACCACATCGGAACCAGAAGCATCCGCAGGGGCATCCGAAGTCAAAGACGTAGGCGCCGAACCAGGCTTACGAGCGGTTTTGGTCTTCCCGCCGCTCGCCTTGAACTGCTGACGCCACTCCATGGGCAAAGCCCGAGAGTGGGCGGCAGCTCGATCACCGCCAAGCCGGGTGGCCTCCACAGGGCCACAGTTGAGGTCGACTATGGCATAGTCGAGAGCACGATCGGCCGTCGCGAGGAGGGTCCACGCGGTCTGTTTGCGCCAGGGCATGCGCTCATCAGCCTGCACGGACTCAAAGCCCCAATCCACCATGAACTGAACCACATCCTCACAACTCCAGTCACGGGGCACGCCAGTGATGCGCCATCGCCTCCGAACCGTCTGAGGGCGGTCCCGGTCCTCCTGCGTGGCGGCTCGACGAACACCAAGTTGCTTAGCACCCCTCGCCAGCCCAAAGGAGACCGGCTGAAGTAAGCGGCTGCATCGATTGGCATACGACTGCCAAGACTCCTGCTCATGCCATTCCACCCAGTCCACGGCCAGCTCAGGAGTCCCCAAATGCTGAGCGCGAGAAACATTCGAGATGAAGAACCGGGTGCCATCGACCCACGAGCCGGAGACGGCGAGTGCCTTGGCAACCTTGTCTTTCTCGATGCGCAACAGCCCCTCCACCGTGGAACCACGGACATCAGCCCAGCCCCACGTATCCTTGATGGATCCAAAAGCTTTGCCCGCCCAGGAGCGGAAGGCGCGGCCAGGATTGGCCTGGAGTGTGGCCCAGTCCGAATCCACAAACTTCCAATCACAATGCGCCCTCAGGACCACAGTCTCCCGAGGGGTCGGCACCGAAACGGCAACTGAAGTGGCACGGGCCTTGAGGGTCGGCGAGACTTCACTGCAAGCAGCAACCCAAGCCGTAGCCGCCCGAACTTGTCCACTCCAAAGCCCTGGGACACGACACTCCGTCCACTCGACTTCCTGAAAATCGCGGCGGGAAGACTCGAAGGAGCCTTTGAGCACAACGATCGTAACATCGGGCGGTGAATCCGCCGGGGCAGCAGCAACAAAAGTGCGGCATTTCTCCAGCTCCTCCTCTGTCACTGGCACAAAAACACAATCCTGCACAGCCTCAGTGTTCATGAGCTCAGAGAAGGTGCCAACAATGCATGGGCCACCAGTCCAGTCACTGGAGCGAGGCCACCACGTCCAAACGGAAACCGGCTCAGAAGCCTTGCCCTTGCCCTTCTCCGAAATGGAAACCACACGGCGCGGGGCAGCGTCCGAAGTCGGCTTGCGGCGCCGCTTGCTCTTGACCTCCGTCCAGCCGGCATCTTCAGCAGAAGCTGGGGTATCACGCCCAGCATTCCATGCATCCCATTCGGCTTGGGACCACACCTCAGCTTGATCACCCTTGGCCTTGTTCTTTCTCCAGCGAGCAGCAGGCTTCCAGGAGGCAGCAAAGTCAGTCCTGACGGGCTCGGGAGCCCAAGCCCTCGCACAATCAGTGGCACCATCATGGCTCCACGACGTCACTATCTTCTGCAAGGCCGTGTAGGGGTCCCTGGGTCGATCCCACAGAAGCTGCTCAAGCTGTGCATAGAGAAGCTCAGCCCCCTCATCAACCCCAGCATCGTCCTCGTCGGCGCCCCAGCCGCTCAAAAGGCCATGCAGGCCCTCCAGAAGGCGCTCCGTGCGCTTGCGCCTCGAGGCAGCCGCACCACCAGCGCCTCCACGAAGAGGATCACCGCCGCCTCGGAGATGAGCAGCTCCGAGATCGACATCATTATTCTCATAAGCATGCCCGACCAAAACACCTCCGGTCCCGCAATGCTTTGCCTCGCCCGCCTCAGCACATGAATGCCCGGCAGGACCACCTCCACAAAGGCCACCAGCCGATCCACCACCGGCTCCATCATCGGCCAAGCTATCGTTAACATGAGCAGGCCCGGGCAAAATGCGCCGGCCCACAGCATCGCCATCTGTACGAGCACATCCAACGGCAGGCTTGGCCAAAACACCTCCGGCCCCGCACTGCCCAGCATATCCACCATCCTCCGCCTGAGCCCGACAGCCTCCATCAGCAGAAGGGAGAAGATGACCACCCGCAAGGCCACCACCACTGGAGCCAGGCAAACTGCCCCGACTCGGAACATCACAGCCAGAATCAGCCACAGCACATTTGCGAGTGCAGCAGCTTGAAACATCAACCCCAGAGGGGGAAAAACTGAAAGCAGTGTCATCGGCACCACCAAGGGATTGAATCCGGCGGCCTCGAAGAGCACGGGGAGGAACAGGGCAGACGAACCGTCGCCTTCCAAGCCCGCGACCACGAAGAACCCAGATCTGCGCAGACCGGCGAACGCCAAGCCGAATCCGCCTGAGCCTGACGGCAAGACGCCGTCCAGCTGCAAACCGAGCAGCCCAAGCAACTGTACACCAAGAACCACCATGCAGCTTGGGCCGCAGGAGTCGATGAAGGGGTTTTCGCTTCATGCGGCGCCGCCTCCACCATCTTCGACGAAAAGAGCTCCTGCCAAAGGCAAGTGGCACTCGAGCTCCCACAGCTCTCTCACCACCATCAGAGCGTGACCTGACAAAGTGCAAGCCACCATAAAGACAACCAAGACGCACACCAGCTCCCACAGCCAGAGTGCCACATAATCTCGAAAAACATCGGAACGAAAGCCACAGCAAGCCGGCTCCCACAACCAGCATGCAAATGAAGAGGTAAGTGGCAACTGTCCACGCCACCACCTCCCGATCCCTCCGTAGAACTCGGGCAGAACCAACCAGTGGCTGCCTCATCGAATTTCCATCCTGACTGCCAGTGAAGACCAGGTCTTCCCAGGCGTAGCGGCGAAGAAGCCAAGCCATCTCCCCAAACATGAACAGGTAGAAGAAGACGCGGGAAGCGGCTTGGGAGATCAGTTCGTACCCGAGATTGTCACTCGGGCCCGTGTGCACCTCGTGGAGGTCGATCTCTAGCACACGCTGTATCACCACCATCAAAGGAGCCCTGGCCCCAGGACACAAGAAGATGCTGAAGAGCAGCAAAGGGGTCCTTGGGACGATCCCACAGCAACTGCTCCAACTGCGAATAGAGCAGATTCGCCTCGTCCTCCTCGCCATCGTGATCCTCGGCATCCCACCAGCTCAACAATCCATGAAGACCTTCGAGCAGCCGCTCTGTGCGCTACTTTAGGGGCCTTAGGGTTTAGGGCTTAGGGGTTGTTAGGGTTCAGGGCTTAGGGCTTTTTCTTTCTTAGGGCTTAAGCCTTTTTGGGGTTTAGGATGGTTTAGGGTTTAAGTGTTTAGTGTTCAGGGTTTTCGGCCTTAGGGTTCAGGCTGCAGGGTTTCTTGGAGCTTAGGGGCCTTAGGGTTTTTGTGTTTTGAGGACCCTTTTCCAGCTGCGGGCCTTAGAGTTTAGGGCTCAGGGTTTTTCAGAGTTTAGGGCTTAGGGGTTTTAGGTTTTAGGGCTTAGGGTTTTCAAGCCTTAAGTTCTTTTAGGGTTAGGGCTTGGGTTTTTTCAGGGTTCAGGGTTTAGGGGTTTAGGGCTTAGGGTGTTTCAGGGTTTAAAGCTTAGGGTTGTTGCCCACAGAACCCGCCCCGCCTCCAAGCTCACATGCAGGTAGTGAGACTGGTTGTGAGAATGGTAGTGAGCGTGGTAGTGAGACTGGTAGGGAGAGACAAGGCCACATACCCTTAGGGCTTTTGGGTATCACACTTCGCGCCCACATCGGCCCTGCGCAGGCTTCTGGCACTGCTTACGAGTTCTGAAGAGGGGGGTCAAGGCGTTTCCGGGCACTATGCAGGTCAACAAAACTCGGCCCTGCGCAGGTGTCCAACGTTGCGCCTGCACGTTAGAAACAAACGGCGCATGCACGCTGGACACAGGTCGCGCGTGCAGGTTAGAAGTGGCGCCCGGCAAGCTGCCCTGCATCAACTTAGATTCTTGCTTACATCTTGCATCCTCTCGTCTCGCTCGTCCTCTCGCACTCTTGCATGGTCTTGCAGCTTCAAGCCTCGTCTCAAGCAGGAGCTTAACGCAGGCAAGGCACCATCATGGCCAGGCGGCCGTTGGCCAACTCGGCCGCCAATTTGCTTTTGCGGGCCTCCGGGTCCTCGACCTTGCCCAGGAAGTTGGGGAAGCCGACGCCATAGTTGCCCGGCTCCGCAGATTCCGTGGAGTCCTTCATGGAGAACTGACCCTCGCGAGGGCCACGGCCATCCGTGGTGGACGATGCCTGGAAGAAGCCCGTGGTCTCGATGAGGCCGCAGAAGGCAATGATCTGTGCTCCTCCAAGAACCGGAATCCTCAGACCACGTTGCATCTGCAAAGCTTGCGAAACTTCTGAAAACCAACGAGGGCGATGATACGCGATGATGAATCTCAAGCATATTCAAGCATCACACAATCGTCCCAACATCGAACAACTAAGATCGTGGCTTGGACAATGCGGCCAAGCCATTCGGCACGTCGCTGAACTTAAGACCCAAGCTTGGGCTCAAGTAGCCCGGAAACTTGAAGTACTCTGGGACGATATAGCCCATGGTCGCATACATGGCCTTCAGTCAGTCATTTGCAAAATTCACGGAATCACTGTAAGCTACTAGCAACACTGCACATTGCCGGTCGCTCCGACTTCCACCCAAACCCATACAAGTAATCTGCATATGCATCTGCTTTGCACGAATCATGCGATGTACATGGGCTTGAAGCGGCTTGAGTCCGGGGCAATTCGGCCATGCTTGATCTCCACGGCGCGGCGGCGCTTGAAGGTGGCCTGATCCTTGTCGGCGCTCAGGCCTACCAGGGCAATGACGACGCAGCGAAGTCGGAGCTTGCACGAGTTGCCCACATGCCGAGCTGCTACCCTGGAGTAGCCCGCCTAGCGGGTCCCAGAACCCGATGGGATCTTGCACACCCAACTCCGTGGCCGGGTCGAAGCTGGCATAGCTGGTGGTCTCTCCACCGAAGAAGTTGCGTGCAATCTTCGACTCTCTGGCACGCAGGGGCGAGGCCGTGTAGAGGCTCCAGTCACCCCATGCCGATCCTGTGAGTCCATCTTGGAAAAACATTCCGATGATCGCCTGCAGCACGCATCATCCCACACTGCAACCGATGCATGTCCCTGCATGTGGCTACATGCCTTACGTCAACTTAGATGTTTGCTTACATCTTGCATCCTCTCATCTCGCTCGTCCTCTCGCACTCTTGCATGGTCTTGCAGCTTCAAGCCTCGTCTCAAGCAAGTGCTTAACGCAGGCAAGGCACCATCATGGCCAGGCGGCCGTTGGCCAACTCGGCCGCCAATTTGCTTTTACGGGCCTCCGGGTCCTCGACCTTGCCCAGGAAGTTGGGGAAGCCGACGCCATAGTTGCCCGGCTCCGCAGATTCCGTGGAGTCCTTCATGGAGAACTGACCCTCGCGAGGGCCACGGCCATCCGTGGTGGACGATGCCTGGAAGAAGCCCGTGGTCTCGATGAGGCCGCAGAAGGCAATGATCTGTGCTCCTCCAAGAACCGGAATCCTCAGACCACGTTGCATCTGCAAAGCTTGCGAAACTTCTGAAAACCAACGAGGGCGATGATACGCGATGATGAATCTCAAGCATATTCAAGCATCACACAATCGTCCCAACATCGAACAACTAAGATCGTGGCTTGGACAATGCGGCCAAGCCATTCGGCACGTCGCTGAACTTAAGACCCAAGCTTGGGCTCAAGTAGCCCGGAAACTTGAAGTACTCTGGGACGATATAGCCCATGGTCGCATACATGGCCTTCAGTCAGTCATTTGCAAAATTCACGGAATCACTGTAAGCTACTAGCAACACTGCACATTGCCGGTCGCTCCGACTTCCACCCAAACCCATACAAGTAATCTGCATATGCATCTGCTTTGCACGAATCATGCGATGTACATGGGCTTGAAGCGGCTTGAGTCCGGGGCAATTCGGCCATGCTTGATCTCCACGGCGCGGCGGCGCTTGAAGGTGGCCTGATCCTTGTCGGCGCTCAGGCCTACCAGGGCAATGACGACGCAGCGAAGTCGGAGCTTGCACGAGTTGCCCACATGCCGAGCTGCTACCCTGGACTAGCCCGCCTAGCGGGTCCCAGAACCCGATGGGATCTTGCACACCCAACTCCGTGGCCGGGTCGAAGCTGGCATAGCTGGTGGTCTCTCCACCGAAGAAGTTGCGTGCAACCTTCGACTCTCTGGCACGCAGGGGCGAGGCCGTGTAGAGGCTCCAGTCACCCCATGCCGATCCTGTGAGTCCATCTTGGAAAAACATTCCGATGATCGCCTGCAGCACGCACCATCTGACACTGCAATCGATGCATGTCCCTGCATGTGGCAAGCTGCCCTACGTCAACTTAGACGCTTGCTTACATCTTGCATCCTCTTGTCTCGTTCTTCCTCTCGCACTCTTGCATGGTCTTGCAGCTTCAAGCCTCGTCTCAAGCAAGTGCTTAACGCAGGCAAGGCACCATCATGGCCAGGCGGCCGTTGGCCAACTCGGCCGCCAATTTGCTTTTGCGGGCCTCCGGGTCCTCGACCTTGCCCAGGAAGTTGGGGAAGCCGACGCCATAGTTGCCCGGCTCCGCAGATTCCGTGGAGTCCTTCATGGAGAACTGACCCTCGCGAGGGCCACGGCCATCCGTGGTGGACGATGCCTGGAAGAAGCCCGTGGTCTCGATGAGGCCGCAGAAGGCAATGATCTGTGCTCCTCCAAGAACCGGAATCCTCAGACCACGTTGCATCTGCAAAGCTTGCGAAACTTCTGAAAACCAACGAGGGCGATGATACGCGATGATGAATCTCAAGCATATTCAAGCATCACACAATCGTCCCAACATCGAACAACTAAGATCGTGGCTTGGACAATGCGGCCAAGCCATTCGGCACGTCGCTGAACTTAAGACCCAAGCTTGGGCTCAAGTAGCCCGGAAACTTGAAGTACTCTGGGACGATATAGCCCATGGTCGCATACATGGCCTTCAGTCAGTCATTTGCAAAATTCACGGAATCACTGTAAGCTACTAGCAACACTGCACATTGCCGGTCGCTCCGACTTCCACCCAAACCCATACAAGTAATCTGCATATGCATCTGCTTTGCACGAATCATGCGATGTACATGGGCTTGAAGCGGCTTGAGTCCGGGGCAATTCGGCCATGCTTGATCTCCACGGCGCGGCGGCGCTTGAAGGTGGCCTGATCCTTGTCGGCGCTCAGGCCTACCAGGGCAATGACGACGCAGCGAAGTCGGAGCTTGCACGAGTTGCCCACATGCCGAGCTGCTACCCTGGACTAGCCCGCCTAGCGGGTCCCAGAACCCGATGGGATCTTGCACACCCAACTCCGTGGCCGGGTCGAAGCTGGCATAGCTGGTGGTCTCTCCACCGCCGAAGAAGTTGCGTGCAACCTTCGACTCTCTGGCACGCAGGGGCGAGGCCGTGTAGAGGCTCCAGTCACCCCATGCCGATCCTGTGAGTCCATCTTGGAAAAACATTCCGATGATCGCCTGCAGCACGCACCATCTGACACTGCAATCGATGCATGTCCCTGCATGTGGCAAGCTGCCCTACGTCAACTTAGACGCTTGCTTACATCTTGCATCCTCTTGTCTCGTTCTTCCTCTCGCACTCTTGCATGGTCTTGCAGCTTCAAGCCTCGTCTCAAGCAAGTGCTTAACGCAGGCAAGGCACCATCATGGCCAGGCGGCCGTTGGCCAACTCGGCCGCCAATTTGCTTTTGCGGGCCTCCGGGTCCTCGACCTTGCCCAGGAAGTTGGGGAAGCCGACGCCATAGTTGCCCGGCTCCGCAGATTCCGTGGAGTCCTTCATGGAGAACTGACCCTCGCGAGGGCCACGGCCATCCGTGGTGGACGATGCCTGGAAGAAGCCCGTGGTCTCGATGAGGCCGCAGAAGGCAATGATCTGTGCTCCTCCAAGAACCGGAATCCTCAGACCACGTTGCATCTGCAAAGCTTGCGAAACTTCTGAAAACCAACGAGGGCGATGATACGCGATGATGAATCTCAAGCATATTCAAGCATCACACAATCGTCCCAACATCGAACAACTAAGATCGTGGCTTGGACAATGCGGCCAAGCCATTCGGCACGTCGCTGAACTTAAGACCCAAGCTTGGGCTCAAGTAGCCCGGAAACTTGAAGTACTCTGGGACGATATAGCCCATGGTCGCATACATGGCCTTCAGTCGCTTCCACAGTTGATAGGACTGCGGTTTTAGCACTTACAACATCGTTCTGCACCATGCTCCCCACTGACGCGATGCCAGCAGAGCTGTCGCAGGTATCTCTGTAGTCACTATACTGATAGTGGGACTATCAGGGGATGCTATCTGTAATTCTTAGAAGCTGTATGAGGGAGAGCAAATTACTTGCAACTCGCGTCACTGCCATGTCTTGAACCTTCAATCCTCAACTCCTCCGCCTTACACCGAAACTCGGAAAAAGCGAACCTCAACACATCTCCACATACCCGGACAAGAAACCCTCTACCTACGCAACAAGAACTGTTAATGCAACTATATGATAGACCCCAAGGGCCGCTCCAAGATCTAAACCTAGGCGCTGCAAGAACCCGTAAACACCAAACTGCTGCAAACAACAACACGAAGTACTAAAACCTTCTAAGCTCTGTGATGACAGCCTAAGCCACATCAACCAAAAAAATGTCTCCATGGGCCTTTGCTTACAAACGTCGGCGACATTTCGTTTCATGGATTTGAGTCTGCGGCGATTCGGCCGTGCTTGATCTCCACGGCGCGGCGGCGCTTGAAGGTGGCCTGATCCTTGTCGGCGCTCAGGCCTACCAGGGCAATGACGACGCAGCGATGCGCCCAGCGGATTCGAAGCTTGCTCGCGAGTTGCTCGAGCGGTGTCTGCGCCGCGGCCGGCCTAGCGGGTCCCAGAAGCCGATGGGGTCCTCTGCAAAAGAAAGTCGTGTGTGTTGCATGCCTAACAGTCTGTGTTCTTCTGCTGCTGGACCTGTTCAAAACCTGTTGAGTCAGGTGCAGTTTGACACTCGGTGGGTGAAAACTTGGGAAATCTTCTCCCTGGCTGCAGCTGTAGCCTGAACCCCCCCCCACCTGAAAGTATTGGCCCTCTCGCCTCGTTAGTCGTTTGTGCGGAGAGTCTTGTGTATGCATGTTCTCCCACACATCGAAGGCGAGAACCAGGGCTAAAAGTAGCACCTGGGAAGCAAGCCGAAACTGATCATCCCCGGAAAAATCAGATTATGCCAACAGATTACTCCACCTGCGCCTCTCACGTCCAGAACCCATAGCGAGTTGGCTCTGAGTCAACGCTTGCGGCGTGCATGCCACGCGTGCTCCATGCAGCGATCGCCATTTATTGGATGTTCGGATGTACCCCGTGAGCTGCACCGAAGAAAAATATATAGACCAAGCAAAAATCGGTTGGAAAATTCGAGGACAAACTGTGCATGCACAGATACACGCACCAAATTTGTTGCCAGCATTGACCTGGCAGATCGACGAGGCCGAGGCGGTGTTTTTCATGATCTTGGGTTGACTCCGACCACCCAGCCCCTGCCGTCAATACCGAAACTTAACCACCGTGCCATGCTGCAGTTTTCATGCAACTCGTCAAGACGATAGCAACAGTACAGCCGCAATGTCGGAACCGCCCTGGTGAGAAGTTCAGAAGGACTCTAGCATGTGGACGATGCACACCACGTTCTCGCTGCCGTGAATGCAACATTGCCGTGCATCAAGTTGTTGCGAAGCCAGACGATTGCGTTGGGTGAAGAGCCCAAGTAAAGTACAGTAGCAGCGGAATGCTCGGGAGTGAGACTGCAATTAGCGGATGTTTGCGGCCTAGCCAAAATCCAGCCAAGTGTATCCTCACTATTGCAGCGGCGGAAGGGACGCACTACACACCTGCAGGGGAGGATCCAGCAGATAACAGGGAATTGAGATACTCAGTACAACATCCGGAAACAGAGAACTTCATCGTAAGTGCCAGTGGAAGTTCCACGAAACATCCTAACTGACTTCATACATACACTGGCCTGGACTCCCAGCTCTGTTGCAGGATCGAAGCTGGCATAGCTGGTGCTGCCGCTGTCACCGAAAAAATTTCGGACGGTCTGCCAACACAGGAATGCTGTATGAAACAATCCGCTCTCACGGCAGACACAAGCTCTCCAGCCGCTTCAAGCCTTGCTAGTCTGCTTGGTGGCCTTTTGGACAGGGCTGCTCACGACTCAAGCTGTTGTGACGTCCAGTGACTTTCTCAGTCTTCCGTCACAAACAACAGATTCTACATGAGTTTTCCAAGCCACGGACACTGCGGGCAGCAACCTTGGATGGGATTGCAAGGATCTCTGCGAGTCTGTTGCCGTCAAGACCACCGTGCCAAGAAGGCCGAGGCGCCGCCAAAACTGCACTCGAGGCGACCGTTGCAACTGGGATGCTGGAAAATGCCTGCAGGTCGTTGCCACTAGTCTTCCAAGGTAGCTACGAATGCCCGGTGTCCGTGATTCGTTCACGCCCCGTCCATGTTTGAGGACGGAGCTGAGCTCGACGACACCCGAGGCTGCAGCGGTGCATGCGACCTGGGTTTGTCATCGGTTGCAGGATTGGCAGGCTGCCTCGAGACATCCCTGGTAGAACTCCAGTGCTCTTCTTTCGTTATTCTTTGGCACGAAAGTCTGGGACAGACTTGGTCCTGGTAGGTCTCAGAGAACTAGCGACCAGTAGTAGCTTCACCCTTTGCCGGGGTCCGCAGGCCAGAAAGGCCAAACTGCTATTCCGCTCTATACTTTCGCCTAGCTTTCGGGGATTGTTGGCGGGAGAAACAGCCGTCGGCTCGGAGCAATCCATCTAAAACCCATATCGCGCAAGGTTCGATACGGAATCCGGCTTGTTGGCTTCAAAAGCACAAAGGCCGGCATTCATTTTTTGTGAAAGACAAACTTCTAGCATAACACATACATGTAGACCGGTGCCACTCCGAGATAACGCTGTTCAAAAAAGGTGCTCACGAAAGTAAACGAGCCAAGTCAAGTCTCGGGTCGGCGGCAGAGCGGAGCCTGTAAAGAACAAAATGCCAGTGGGATCTTCCTACCTGGTCGCCGACCAGCTCTGTGCACCTTCTGTGCGCCTTCTGGGCTCCGGGCAATCCTGATTGTCGAGCAGGGGTCGCGCCGGGCGCAAGAAAACTGGGAGCCTCAAGACAGGCTTCAGCGCACTCAAAACCCCTGCAACTGCCCAGCCACGGGCTTCGTCTTGCTGGCAGCGAGGGCTCAAACCGATGCACTGTACTTCGCTTGAAGACCGGGCTCTTGGCTGCAAGCATCGCTCCGGCACTCAGAGCTGCACCTGAAGTCGAGCTCGAAGAGTGCTGGACTCTCACGTCCGCTATCTGCTATCAGCCTTATTTAATCCAGAAAGTTCACACTTGGCATATCTTGGCATGTGGGCATTAGTGGTGCTGACCGAGGGCTTGGCCACATGCAATACGTCGTCCGTTGCTGGCCATGTTTTTCCAGTGATTGCACCTGCAAACTACAAGAACCCGAGGTCACCAGGAAGATCGTCGGAGTTTGTGCCAAGCCTGCCGTGCCAGCCCGCACGTCGTTTTGGCGTGCTTTTGAGCCGAAGCTTGCGGGGTCGAAGGCCGAGGAGCAATCACTTGTACGTTCTATCATTCAGCCGAGGCGAACAACACATACCATGCTGGCGTTCCTCTGCAAAAGATAAGCAAACGCTCATGCTACAGATGTGGCTGCAAGATAACCTGCAGATTATTTCGTTCTACACAGGGCAGCCACAACGAGCCTCGCGAGCCAAGACCACATCAGTGGCCCAGATGCGGGTGCGAACATATCCTCGCCCTTGCATCATCCCCCCTGCACGTTCTTTCCCGATCCATCTTCGCGAAGGGGCTAGCTTCAAGAGTCAAACGAAACGCGCCGTTGCGTGAAGTCATCTTCTGCAAAGTGTCCAAAACAAAATCAACAAGACCGGAGCGAGGAAGCACGCATGACCTTTCTGCGATCAGGCAGCAACTCGAATTGAAGCTGCGAGATGCCCGTGGCGCCAAGGTCTTCGAGCAGTAAGTTCAGCCGACAAGTACTGCCATGCAGCTGTGCGACGCACCTATGTTACGGGCAGGCATCACACCCAATCATACTGGCTGAGAGATGCTGTTGTCAGATGTGGCCATAGTGTTTGCATGAGATTCGGAAGACCAACGCGGCAACATGACCACGCAGGACCAATTTTGCTAGAGTGTGGTGGCTTGCCGTGCAATACACCCGACGACATTGCCCAAAACTTGCAGTCCGAGCGATTCGCGCAGATGATAGTCGAAGTTCTTCTCGGGATTTTGCTTCCGGGTGATGTGCTCAGTATGTACTTGCCGCTGACCAGAACTCTTCGCGCACTCGCGCAGGGGTGCAAGGGCTCGCGATTGTGCGCATGTTTCGGCCATCTCCGACATTCACGGGCAGCAGCGCGAACTTCGGTGCACAGAAAACGTGCGGTATTGATCCACGATTTGTACTGGCTTGCAGCTTGCAAGCATGCAGAAAATCTCAAATCATAGAGCAAGAGAACAGGCCGCCTTGTTCTGAATGCATGCGATGTCTCGCGTGGCGTCCGAACGCCCTATTCGTTTAAGGGATACGACACGTGGGAGCGTCATCCTGACACCCACGGAACAAATGTTCTTTCAAAACTGACCCGGGGGCCTCGAGGTGTGAAAACGTGAAACGTGGCTATGATTGTTCGAAACTAAGCTAGAGGACGGCCGGCCGGTGTCCCACACATGTAAATGGTGGAGGGCTGCAAACATGTGTTCAAGATCTTCAAGGTGTGGGACGCCGCCGTTGCCACGTTTTGTGACTACGCCCTGACTAAGAGACACCTGGCCTTTCACTTGCCATTACAAGAAATGAGACATATTGGCTGCAATTTTGCAAACGAATCCTTTCTTACGCAAGTCCGAACTGCTCGATGGCATCCTTGCCGGTGTAGACGTTTGCGGCGATGATACCGATGGCTGCAAACATGGCCATGCGACCGTTGTTGAGCTCACGGTTGCGCATCTCCAGCGTGTACTGGTTCAGGCCGGCGGGGTCGCCGAAATTGCCCGGCTCCTCGGAAAGGCGATTCTGTTTGAGCGACTGTTGCTGTTGTTTCTCTGTTGTAATGATTGTTGTTCTTGCTGCTGTTGATGGCGCTGTTGGTGTTGTTGGTGGTGCTGCTGTTGTTGCTGCTGTTGTTGCTGCTGTCGTTGCTGTTGTTGTTCTTGTTGTCGTTGTTGTTGAAATTGCTGCTGTTCTTGTTGTTGCTCTTGTTGGTCTTCTTGTTGCTGCTGCTGCTGCTGCTGCTGCTGCTGCTGCTGCTGCTGCTTCTGCTGCTTCTGCTGCTTCTGCTGCTGCTGCTGCTGCTGCTGCTGTTGCTCTTGCTCTTGCTCTTGCTGTTGCTGTTGCTGTTATTGCTTTTGGTGGTGGGGAGTGTTGGGGCTGTTGTTATTGCTTTTGTTGTTGCTGTTGCTGTTGTTGTTGCTGTTGTAGATCTCACACGCGCGCTCCTTGGAAGGGTCCTCCGTCCAGGCACCAAGCTCCAGCAGGCCTGCGATGGCGAAGAGCGCTGCGAAACCGTATGTACCCGGTGCGACTTCCACCGCACCAAGCCCGGCCGGAACGCTTTCAAAGCCAGGGAACTTCACGTAGTGCTGGAAAACGGCACCTACTGCTGCCATCATGGCCACCCTTCCGTGCTTGATCTCGGCTGCGCGCAAGTTGCGGAAGCCAGCCTTGTCGCCCTTCTTGCAGAAGCCAGCCGGATCAAAGTAGCCGAATGGCTCGGTCACGCCCACTTCATTGGCCGGATCGAAGCTGGGCTCGGGAGGAACATCCTCGCCTTCACCGCTCAGAGACTTGCCGGTTCCGGCAGCGACGCCCGTGCTGGCAGCGACGCTCTTAGCTCCTGCACTTGCGCCTGCCTTGGCAGCCGCTGCTTTGGCCGCAGCAGCCGCCGCAGCCGCAGACACAGGCTCTGCTCGGAGGGGTGATGCCGTGTAAGTTGCCCAATCACCCCAAGCACTGCCTGTCAATCCGTCCTGCAGCTCACGTCGTGCAGCAGACACACACGCACACAATTTCTGAGAAAGAAATAACGTTAACATGAGATATCTACAACACGTGCACACCAAGTGATTTGAATCATTGAGTGGACATTGAGCATGGATGCCGCAAGCGCGAAAATGTACACGCTGGTAAACGGCAGATTCGGACCACGCGCTCCCGACGAGAAACTGCTTTCAACGTTCGACATGCTGCAGGACCACGATCAAACAGGTGCGAACATCGATCCGAGCTCATGTTTCATAGGCCACCTTCGGATTCAACAAGCAAGAGCGCTGGCTAATGGAACTTGCATGAAGCCCGCTGGTTGGTGAACATCCTGCCTATTCGGCTCGCGGCTGTTGTTTCGATGAACAGAACTCTGCTGGAGCCGTGAAGATTTTCATGCCAGCAGACTCTGCTGCTTGCCAGGTCCGCTCACTCCATGTCGAGAAGGCGCCCTGATGTCGCGGATTGTCTTCGGTGCAAATACGGAATGGTGGCCTGGTTGCCAATGTTGCTTTCTCCTGGCAGCCCGCAACCTTCCTGTAATGCTACGGGGTCATGTAACAGGCTGGGCAGGCTGGGCAGGTCTGCCCCCTCTCACCTGGCAATGAGCAGACGTCTCGAAGCCGGTGCGAAGCTAAAGAGCAGTCGCGAACAAGACTGTCAGCGCTGGTGGAAACCGACGTCAACACTATGTTGGAATATCTGTGACCATCATTTTTCTGTTCCTGTGGCCATTTTTTCTGCTTGTCGAATCCTTCTGAGGGGAGGGTCCCGGGGTGTTTAGGCAGGGCAGGGTGGCTGGGGCAAGGGGGGAAACTAGAACTGCTGCTGCTGCTACTACTACTACTACTGCTACTACTACTACTACTGCTACTACTACTACTACCACTACCACTACTACTACTACTACTACTACCACTACTGCAATTACCATTGCTTAGCAGTGGCAGTAGTAAGCAGTGGTTGTTGTTGTCGTCGTACTAGTGCCAGTGCTGGTACGGGTAATACAGGTAGTAGTAATAGTATTAGCAGCAGTGGCACAGTAGTAGCAGTAGCAGCAGTAGTAGCAGCAGTAGCAGCAGTAGCAGTAGTGGCAGTAGTGGCAGTTGTAGCAGGAAAGCGCTCGTAGTAGTCGTCGTCGTCGCCGTCGTCAAAGTACTTGACCAGTATTAGTACCAGTACTAGTACTAGTACTGGTACTCGTACTAATACTACGTAGTACTATTACTAGTAGTAATAATAATAGTGGTAGCAAAATGTAGTGGTAGTTGTTGTTGTTGTTGTAGCAGTAGCACGGTTTAGGGTTTACGGTTCGCCGGCACAAGCACCCCGGGTAACGCAAGCAGTCGTCCATTAAGAGGCTCGTGCTTCAGCTTTACAACCAAAGTCACCACGTCCCTTTCTGTGGCTGTTGGGAGCTTCAGAAGGGCTGAAAGGCCGCGGTGAGATAGCTTACCGCGCCCCGTTTTCTCCGTTTTCATCTCCAAAAGAACACATGCGGACGCGGTGAGATAGGTTTACAGAATCCCTTTTTGTCCTTTTTGAGCTCCAACAACACAAAAGGGGATTTTTACAATGCCTCGGCTCGAAATTCGAGTTGTTCGGTCTGCTTGAGAAACTGATCCGTAGGGACCAAAATCCGCCGAGGCCACAGGCCCAGGCGTTTTGGTGGTTACCTCAGGTACCCTCCACCTAATCCTCCTCCGCAGTCCAAAAGTTTGGGGACACCCTGTTTTTGCGCTCGTTTGCCACCCCCTTGCCCGGCCTCCCCTCATTTTCTTTGATTTGCGGGCCTACCCGCCCCCTCCCAGGCCTCCTCCCCCCTCTTTTTTTCCTCCACCCCCCCCCTCCCCCTCCCCCCCCCCTCCCCCCTCCCCCCCTCCTCCCCTCCCCCCCCTCCCCCCCCCCTCCCCCCCCCTCCCCTCCCCCCCACCCTCCCCCCCCCCCCTCCCCCCCCCTCCCCCCCTTTTTCTTCCCTCTTTCCTGCTCCCACTTCTTCTCCCCGCCCTCGTTTCGTCTTCCTCGCCCCCGCTTTGGCTTTTGCGTCGTCAATCCACTGCCTGTCTTTCTTTTCAGGCTCTTTCTATGTTGTTTTTTCTTGCTCCGGGCGGCATGGCTGGAAGGCCTTTAACCGGTTACAGACCCAGGCGTCTTGGTGGTTACCTCAGGTACCCTCCACCTAATCCTCCTCCCTGCAGTCCAAATGTTTGGGGACACCCGTTTTTTGCGCTCATTTGCCACCCCCTTGTCCGGCTCCCCCCCTCCCCGACACTCCCGCTTAGCATGCTGTATACAACATCCACTGCCGCCTCGCCCTGCCGCTACAGAGCCGAGGCGGGCGGCGTAGCGTTAAAATTAAATAAAGTTAGGCCACCACTTGTGACAAAATCCAAGAAGATGACGCGGCAGCATTGCGTTGAGATGAATTCGTACCCGCCAGCTCGGCATGCAACAAGCTCCTGAGCAAAGCCAGAAAGGGTGCTGCAGGCACGGAGAGCATCGATAGCAGCCTGGCAATTACAGGCGACGACCAAACGTCCACACCATCGTCCACGAAGTCGCGCGGCAGCTCTGCGCAAGGTGAGCAAAGCGACAACCTCAGCTTTGTAAGAGGACTGGTCCTCCCCAGCAATGCTGAAAGCCACAGAAGCACCATGGCCGGTGGCAATGGCGGCCGCAGGGCGCGGAGCAGCCGCAGCCAAGGCACAATTTGTTCAAAGAGCTGCTCGCACTCCGCGTTTTTGGCAGTCTGCTCATCGCCTTCATCGCCAGCCCAGTCGAAGAGCAGGCCAGCCAGTGAGGTGAGCAAGCGCTCAATCCGCTTGCGCTTCGTAGCAGCAGCGCCGCCTGCTCCCCCTAGGCTCAGAAGGCATCAACAGCATCAGCACAACTCTTATCATGCAAGGCCATTCCACCGCATCATCATCAGCATGAAGACTCAAAGGAGCTCCAGGCAAAATGCTCCGAAGCTTTCCATCGCCACAAGCCAAAACACCTCCGACCCCTGATCCACCACCTGAAAGGTTGAAGTCCCTGGCCTCCCGGGTTGGTAGTGCAGGACGGCACTCGCAGCAGCCGTTCGGATTCCCGTACGCTCCGTGGCACCACTCTCCACATCTGCCCACACTTTGTCAAGGGCCTCGCTCGACCCAATGGGCAAAAACCTGTACGCCTGAGCCTCCTCGACCCTGAGCTCGACGATGTCGAGCCGGGACCCGTGGTCGTCCACGCGACCCTCCACTTTCCCCGCCCGGTCCTCCAGGTCTTAAATTGTGTTTTTGCGACCGGTAGGATGCCTTCCGAGGAAGTCCTGCCAGCCGCCTGGGAGAGGAACTCACCCAGCGTCCCACAGGAAGGCCGCCCGCTCAGCAGCCTTCAGAGCATCGACCTCCCAGCGCTGCGCAGCTTCACGCGCAGCATGGCAGCGCAAGCGAGCAGAGAGCTGGCATCGGCGACCACAGTGTTGGCGAGCAACCCGATCAGCACGCGCATTGAGCGCCCTCAAATGCGCCTCCGTAGCACCAGATGACGCGACCCACCCAGGAGGAAGAGGTTTGTCATGGCTCGGCACCCACTCCAGCTTGAGCAGCAAACCCCTGGAGGAAAGAACTGCAATGCCGGCAGAGATCTGCATCACCAAGGAGCTGAGAGCACCACGCCCAGTGATGGCGTCCAGCAAAGACTTGCAGTCAACGACGACCCACAGCGTGCCCACGAGCTCGAGGCAGAGCGCAGCACGGACAAGCAAAGCCAGGGCACACAGCTCGGCCTTGTACGACGTCTGGTCCTCGCCCTCAACGCCAGCGGCAACCGAAGCGCCGTGGTCAACGACGACGGAGTAGGAGGCAACCTCAGCGTGGCAGGAGCCATCCGTAGCAAGGAGTAGCCAGGGCCGCTCGGAAGACCAAGCAGCACGAAGAGCTTCGGACAAGTCTTCAACAATCCCATCGGTGTCAAGCACAGGCGGCGGAGCCGGCCATTCCGGCACAACACAGCCGAGCAATCTCTCCTGGACGCGATCACGAGGAGCTCCAACAGCAGCAGTGCACTGAGAAAAGTGTGCACACGCCCAAAGCAAGTGCGGCCTGCTGGGAGCCTCCAAGCCACAAGTACACGTCGGCAACTCATCCAGTCGCTGAGCTTTCTGCCTATCCCAAGCCGAGCAACCATGACCAAGGCACAGCTTGTCGAGAGCCAAGGAACCAGTGCCATACAGCTTGTGATGGCCGGCGAAGAGGCAGAGAGGATCCGCAGGGACCGGCAGCGAAGGACCTCGAGCAAGCCCCTGATCATTACGATGGTAATTCATCTTGATCCTCCCACAGCTCTTAACATCAGCACGGCGATGAAAATCAGCGAGCCAAGTCTGGAGCACCTGGAGGCCATCAAAGCCGAAGCGAAAGCTGCGCAAGGCGCCCATGACATCACGTCTTTGCAGACCCCGTTCGTCAGCAGAAAGCTGCCAGCCAAGCTCGTGCAACACCAAGGATACAACCGGCAAGGTCTGCTCCAGAGGGCGAAGCGCGACCGTGAGCGGCGCCGTCTCCTGCCAAGCACGGGTGACAGTGCGAAGTCGGACAACCTCCTGCAGCACAGACCAGTGTCGCATGTAGCACGGATCGCACTCATAGCCCAGCACCGCGAGACAGAGAGGCTTGGCTTTGTCCCGCGCAGTCGTCGACCCCACCCTGAACAAGAAGTCTTGCCTAAGGGCCTGTGCATCCTCAGCCGAGATAACCCCGAAGGCACCGGCCCAGATGATCTTTGGCATGACCAAGCGGATGCTGCGGTTGTGGCCCAGGACTTGGCCAAATACTTCGACGCCATTGACATCAAAGATTTGATGGTTGTGCTGGAGCGGCTTGCTGCCCCTCGACAGCTCATTGCTGTGGTCCAAGCGCTGTACGATGGGCAGGAGCGCCTTTTTAGCCGGTCTGGCTTTCTTTCGGGGAGCTGGGTTCAGGCATCCAGAGGATTGTGTCAGGGCTGCCCGCTTAGCCCCTTGTTGGCTGCTGCAGTTCTCCGCGGGTGGTCAGCGCTGCTTGGCACTGCCGGTGCGCGTGCCGCCTCCTTCGTCGACGACAGGTACTTCTGGGCAAGCAGCTCTGCCGCGCTCCGCTCGGCTAAGGACCTCAGTGACGAGTACGACCTCGCCTTTGGCTTTCAGTGTGATAGGAGGAAGTGTGCCATTGCGGCTTCTGCGGTCTCGAGCATTGCTGGCGAGGTCGCGGATGCTTGTGGCTACAGCCGTTCCGAGCAGCTAACGATCCCGGGCCTCACCATTGGCTTTGGCAGCCAGGGCGCCGCTGTTCCGACTGCTTTTGCGCTTTGTCATGTGCGGCGCAGGTTGCGGCTTGTTGCTGTGCTCACTCGCAACTTCCGGGCTCGGCCGGATGCTCCTGCATGCCCGCCAAGAGCTGGTAGACGAGGTCTTTGCCAGAGCGAGCCGGCACGCCCCCACAGGAAGTGTGATCAAGCTGTACTTTACGCTTGCGGGCGGCTGCGTCCCCCATTGGGAAAGGACCAGAAGGAGGCCAGCCAGCACCAAAGACAGAACTCGACAAACGTTCATGTCGCGCGTGCTATGTCCGTCGTTCGATAGATAACGGCCGCGTGGAAACTCACAGCTCTGCGCCACGCTCGCCGCCGATCTCGTAGTCAAGCTCACGCTCGGCAACGGCTAAGGCAGTCTAGGCCGTCTGCAAGAACCCTAAAAGGCAATCGGAACCGTAAACGGAACCTCAAAAGGAATCCTAAACGGAACCCTAAACGGAACCCTGAGCAGAACATCGTAGGATTCGGACAACTATTTTAGAGTTCGGACTACTTGTTTCGGATTTCGACCATTATTAAACGGTTCGGACTCCTATTTCAGGGTTCGAACTATACTAGGGTTCGGACTACTCTTAGGATTCAAACTACTGGGTTCGGACCACTAACTATGGTTTTGAAGTTTGGACTACTATTTTCGAGTTCCAGCTGCAAGTTCAGCGCACGTACCACTATTTTAGGGTTCGGACCACTGCTTGAAGGTTCGGACCACAGTGTAAGGATTCGGACTAGATTAAAATGTTAGGATTCGGACTACTTTTTTCGAGTCAGGACTACACTTTTCGAATTGCGACTATGGTTGTAGGGTTCGGGCTACTATTTCAGGGTTCGGACTACTATTCTAGGATTCGGACGACTTACTATTTTCGGGTTCGAAGTATTGGCCATAGGCCACGACATGTTGGCCATGCGCCACGAAGCCATTAAAGTTCAAATTAATGCGTGATAGAAAGGTTTAGGGCCTAGGGCTTAGGGTGTTTTGCTGGCACCCATTTTTCATCTGCACTATCCATGAAGTCGGAACGCCTTGCAGGACGAGGCATTGGTAGAGGCTCTTCAGGTTTAGGGTTCCCCAAAAACCCTAAAAACAGCGTTCCGCGTTGATCGAACATGTGCGAACATCGATCCGAGCTCATGTTTCACAGGCTACCTTCGGATTCAAAAACGAACAGGAGCGCTTCGAAAACGAACAGAAGTGCTGGCTGACGAAACTCGCATGCACAATGCTTGCTGCTTCACATCCTGCCTATTCGGCTGGTGGTTCCTTCTTGCGAGAAGCAGGAACTCTGCTGTGGCCCGTGAAGATTATCATGCGAGCAGACTCTGCTGTTTGGCAGGCGGATTGTCTTCGGCGCATGAGGTTGCTTTCTCCTGGCAGCCCCTGACCGTCCTGCAATGCTACGCAACAGCCTGGGCAGGTCTGGGAACAGTGTTTCACTCTCACCTGATAATGACCAGGCATCTCGAAGCCGGTGGGAAGCTGACGCGAAAAAGACAGTCAGCGCTCTTGGAAATCCGATGAAATCCGAGGTCAGGCCTCTTCTTACCGAAGGTAACTTTGGGATTCTCAACTTGAGGATCGGCTTGGAGACCGGTCACCTGGCTATTAAAACCTGTGAACTCCTACTACAGCTACAAAGAGAAGAGTTCAATCAAAACTCTCGGGGCTCAAACAGAAATAGCAGCAACATCTTTGGAGAGATCATGCAGGACGCAACAAGTCGCACTGTCCTGGAAAAACATGCCGATGATTGCCATCATGGCCAGGCGGCCGTTGGCCAACTCGGCCGCCAATTTGCTTTTGCGGGCCTCCGGGTCCTCGACCTTGCCCAGGAAGTTGGGGAAGCCGACGCCGTAGTTGCCCGGCTCCGCAGATTCCGTGGAGTCCTTCATGGAGAACTGACCCTCGCGAGGGCCACGGCCATCCGTGGTGGACGATGCCTGGAAGAAGCCCGTGGTCTCGATGAGGCCGCAGAAGGCAATGATCTGTGCTCCTCCAAGAACCGGAATCCTCAGACCACGTTGCATCTGCAAAGCTTGCAACCCTTTTAAAAACCAACGAGGGCGATGATACGCGATGATGCATCTCAAGCATCACACAATCATCCCAACATCGAATAACTAAGATCGTGGCTTGGACAATGCGGCCAGGCCATTCGGCACGTCGCTGAACTTCAGACCCAAACTTGGGCTCAAGTAGCCCGGAAACTTGAAGTACTCTGGGACGATATAGCCCATGGTCGCATACATGGCCTTCAGTCAGTCGTTTGCAAGATTCACGGAGCTACTGTAAGCTACTGCATGTTGCCGGTCGCTTCCACTCCCACCCGAACCGATACAAACCAATCCATATCTGCGTCTGCTTGCAGAAATCATGCGATGTACATGGGCTTGAAGCGGCTTGAGTCCGGGGCAATTCGGCCATGCTTGATCTCCACGGCGCGGCGGCGCTTGAAGGTGGCCTGATCCTTGTCGGCGCTCAGGCCTACCAGGGCAATGACGACGCAGCGAAGTCGGAGCTTGCACGAGTTGCCCACATGCCGAGCTGCTACCCTGCACTACCCCGCCTAGCGGGTCCCAGAACCCGATGGGATCTTGCACACCCAACTCCGTGGCCGGGTCGAAGCTGGCATAGCTGGTGGTCTCTCCACCGAAGAAGTTGCGTGCAACCTTCGACTCTCTGGCACGCAGGGGCGAGGCCGTGTAGAGGCTCCAGTCACCCCATGCCGATCCTGTGAGTCCATCTTGGAAAAACATTCCGATGATCGCCTGCAGCACGCATCATCCCACACTGCAATCGATGCATGTCCCTGCGCGTGTCGTAACATGCCCTAAGTCGACCTAGATATACCTAGATGTTTGCTTACATCTTGCATCCTCTCATCTCGTTCTTCCTCTCGCACTCTTGCATGGTCTTGCAGCTTCAAGCCTCGTCTCAAGCAAGTGCTTCATGCAGGCAAGGCACCATCATGGCCAGGCGGCCGTTGGCCAACTCGGCCGCCAATTTGCTTTTGCGGGCCTCCGGGTCCTCGACCTTGCCCAGGAAGTTGGGGAAGCCGACGCCGTAGTTGCCCGGCTCCGCAGATTCCGTGGAGTCCTTCATGGAGAACTGACCCTCGCGAGGGCCACGGCCATCCGTGGTGGACGATGCCTGGAAGAAGCCCGTGGTCTCGATGAGGCCGCAGAAGGCAATGATCTGTGCTCCTCCAAGAACCGGAATCCTCAGACCACGTTGCATCTGCAAAGCTTGCAACCCTTTTAAAAACCAACGAGGGCGATGATACGCGATGATGAATCTCAAGCATCACACAATCATCCCAACATCGAACAACTAAGATCGTGGCTTGGACAATGCGGCCAGGCCATTCGGCACGTCGCTGAACTTAAGACCCAAACTTGGGCTCAAGTAGCCCGGAAACTTGAAGTACTCTGGGACGATATAGCCCATGGTCGCATACATGGCCTTCAGTCAGTCGTTTGCAAAATTCACAGAGCTAAGCTACTTGCCACACTGCACGTTGCCGGTCGCTCCGACTTCCACCCAAACCCATACAAGTAATCTGCATATGCATCTGCTTGCAGAAATCATGCGATGTACATGGGCTTGAAGCGGCTTGAGTCCGGGGCAATTCGGCCATGCTTGATCTCCACGGCGCGGCGGCGCTTGAAGGTGGCCTGATCCTTGTCGGCGCTCAGGCCTACCAGGGCAATGACGACGCAGCGAAGTCGGAGCTTGCACGAGTTGCCCACATGCCGAGCTGCTACCCTGCACTACCCCGCCTAGCGGGTCCCAGAACCCGATGGGATCTTGCACACCCAACTCCGTGGCCGGGTCGAAGCTGGCATAGCTGGTGGTCTCTCCACCGAAGAAGCTGCGTGCAACCTTCGACTCTCTGGCACGCAGGGGCGAGGCCGTGTAGAGGCTCCAGTCACCCCATGCCGATCCTGTGAGTCCATCTTGGAAAAACATTCCGATGATCGCCTGCAGCACGCATCATCTGACACTGCAATCGATGCATGTCCCTGCATGTGGCAAGCTGCCCTACGTCAACTTAGATGTTTGCTTACATCTTGCGTCCTCTTGTCTCGTTCTTCCTCTCGCACTCTTGCATGGTCTTGCAGCTTCAAGCCTCGTCTCAAGCAAGTGCTTCATGCAGGCAAGGCACCATCATGGCCAGGCGGCCGTTGGCCAACTCGGCCGCCAATTTGCTTTTGCGGGCCTCCGGGTCCTCGACCTTGCCCAGGAAGTTGGGGAAGCCGACGCCGTAGTTGCCCGGCTCCGCAGATTCCGTGGAGTCCTTCATGGAGAACTGACCCTCGCGAGGGCCACGGCCATCCGTGGTGGACGATGCCTGGAAGAAGCCCGTGGTCTCGATGAGGCCGCAGAAGGCAATGATCTGTGCTCCTCCAAGAACCGGAATCCTCAGACCACGTTGCATCTGCAAAGCTTGCAACCCTTTTAAAAACCAACGAGGGCGATGATACGCGATGATGAATCTCAAGCATCACACAATCATCCCAACATCGAACAACTAAGATCGTGGCTTGGACAATGCGGCCAGGCCATTCGGCACGTCGCTGAACTTCAGACCCAAACTTGGGCTCAAGTAGCCCGGAAACTTGAAGTACTCTGGGACGATATAGCCCATGGTCGCATACATGGCCTTCAGTCAGTCGTTTGCAAAATTCACGGAGCTACTGTAAGCTACTAGCCACACTGCACGTTGCCGGTTGCTCCGACTTCCACCCAAACCCATACAAGTAATCTGCATATGCATCTGCAGAAATCATGCGATGTACATGGGCTTGAAGCGGCTTGAGTCCGGGGCAATTCGGCCATGCTTGATCTCCACGGCGCGGCGGCGCTTGAAGGTGGCCTGATCCTTGTCGGCGCTCAGGCCTACCAGGGCAATGACGACGCAGCGAAGTCGGAGCTTGCACGAGTTGCCCACATGCCGAGCTGCTACCCTGCACTACCCCGCCTAGCGGGTCCCAGAACCCGATGGGATCTTGCACACCCAACTCCGTGGCCGGGTCGAAGCTGGCATAGCTGGTGGTCTCTCCACCGAAGAAGTTGCGTGCAACCTTCGACTCTCTGGCACGCAGGGGCGAGGCCGTGTAGAGGCTCCAGTCACCCCATGCCGATCCTGTGAGGCCATCTTGGAAAAACATTCCGATGATCGCCTGCAGCACGCATCATCCCACACTGCAATCGATGCATGTCCCTGCATGTGGCAAGCTGCCCTACGTCAACTTAGATGTTTGCTTACATCTTGCATCCTCTTGTCTCGTTCTTCCTCTCGCACTCTTGCATGGTCTTGCAGCTTCAAGCCTCGTCTCAAGCAAGTGCTTCATGCAGGCAAGGCACCATCATGGCCAGGCGGCCGTTGGCCAACTCGGCCGCCAATTTGCTTTTGCGGGCCTCCGGGTCCTCGACCTTGCCCAGGAAGTTGGGGAAGCCGACGCCGTAGTTGCCCGGCTCCGCAGATTCCGTGGAGTCCTTCATGGAGAACTGACCCTCGCGAGGGCCACGGCCATCCGTGGTGGACGATGCCTGGAAGAAGCCCGTGGTCTCGATGAGGCCGCAGAAGGCAATGATCTGTGCTCCTCCAAGAACCGGAATCCTCAGACCACGTTGCATCTGCAAAGCTTGCAACCCTTTTAAAAACCAACGAGGGCGATGATACGCGATGATGAATCTCAAGCATCACACAATCATCCCAACATCGAACAACTAAGCTCGTGGCTTGGACAATGCGGCCAGGCCATTCGGCACGTCGCTGAACTTAAGACCCAAACTTGGGCTCAAGTAGCCCGGAAACTTGAAGTACTCTGGGACGATATAGCCCATGGTCGCATACATGGCCTTCAGTCAGTCGTCTGCAAAATTCACAGAGCTAAGCTACTTGCCACACTGCACGTTGCCGGTCGCTCCGACTTCCACCCAAACCCATACAAGTAATCTGCATATGCATCTGCTTGCAGAAATCATGCGATGTACATGGGCTTGAAGCGGCTTGAGTCTGCGGCAATTCGGCCATGCTTGATCTCCACGGCACGGCGGCGCTTGAAGGTGGCCTGATCCTTGTCGGCGCTCAGGCCTACCAGGGCAATGACGACGCAGCGAAGTCGGAGCTTGCAGGAGTTGCCCACGAGACGAGCTGCTACCCCGCACTACCCCGCCTAGCGGGTCCCAGAACCCGATGGGATCTTGCACACCCAACTCCGTGGCCGGGTCGAAGCTGGCATAGCTGGTGGTCTCTCCACCGAAGAAGTTGAGTGCAACCTTCGACTCTCTGGCACGCAGGGGCGAGGCCGTGTAGAGGCTCCAGTCACCCCATGCCGATCCTGTGAGGCCATCTTGGAAAAACATTCCGATGATCGCCTGCAGCACGCATCATCTGACACTGCAATCGATGCATGTCCCTGCATGTGGCAAGCTGCCCTACGTCAACTTAGATGTTTGCTTACATCTTGCATCCTCTTGTCTCGTTCTTCCTCTCGCACTCTTGCATGGTCTTGCAGCTTCAAGCCTCGTCTCAAGCAAGTGCTTAACGCAGGCAAGGCACCATCATGGCCAGGCGGCCGTTGGCCAACTCGGCCGCCAATTTGCTTTTGCGGGCCTCCGGGTCCTCGACCTTGCCCAGGAAGTTGGGGAAGCCGACGCCGTAGTTGCCCGGCTCCGCAGATTCCGTGGAGTCCTTCATGGAGAACTGACCCTCGCGAGGGCCACGGCCATCCGTGGTGGACGATGCCTGGAAGAAGCCCGTGGTCTCGATGAGGCCGCAGAAGGCAATGATCTGTGCTCCTCCAAGAACCGGAATCCTCAGACCACGTTGCATCTGCAAAGCTTGCAACCCTTTTAAAAACCAACGAGGGCGATGATACGCGATGATGCATCTCAAGCATCACACAATCATCCCAACATCGAACAACTAAGATCGTGGCTTGGACAATGCGGCCAGGCCATTCGGCACGTCGCTGAACTTAAGACCCAAACTTGGGCTCAAGTAGCCCGGAAACTTGAAGTACTCTGGGACGATATAGCCCATGGTCGCATACATGGCCTTCAGTCAGTCGTCTGCAAAATTCAGAGAGCTAAGCTACTTGCCGCACTGCATGTTGCCGGTCGCTTCCACTCCCACCCGAACCGATACAAACCAATCCCTATCTGCGTCTGCTTTCAGAAATCATGCGATGTACATGGGCTTGAAGCGGTTTGAGTCTGCGGCAATTCGGCCATGCTTGATCTCCACGGCGCGGCGGCGCTTGAAGGTGGCCTGATCCTTGTCGGCGCTCAGGCCTGGTCATCATGACAGATCGAACATACAGCTTTCACCAGTGCACTGCCCGGCCCAGCGGATCCCAGAAGCCGATGGGGTCCTCAAGGATGCAAAGCGCCCGTCTCACCGCATGCCGATTCCAGATCATGCGCGCCTATCCCAACACTGCGAACCTCTACTATCCCGCACGAAGAAGAGGTCCAGGCTGCACAAAATCACTCGCACAAGATGTGTTCTGTGGCCGCTTGTGATATCAAGAGATGCTCCCCGACCAGCAGTCCTGTACTCCGAGCTCTGTGGCTGGGTCGAAGCTCGCGTAGCTGCTGCCACCACTGTCACCGAAAAAGTGCCGGGTGGTCTGAACAGCAGCCGAGGTACAGCTTGTATGCTAGCGCTAAACAGCACTGCGAGGACAAGAGCAGAGCCTTGGAAGCATGCTTACCCGCCTCGGCATCGATGAACTGCACCAATATGTCATGCAGGAAGTGCTGTAGCTTTAGGACTGGTGTTGTTCCATGACAGTTGCTTGCCGCATGCCTCTGCACACTATGCCTAACTGCCGGCGACTCGGTGCTTCTTGGTTCCACACATTGCGTGCGGCCACCTCAGAGGTTGCACGCAAAGACGTCAGAGCTTTATCGCTTCTGTCCCATGCCTCCCCTGCAGCAGTTTCTGATCGGTGTCGCAGTCTGTGACAAGTCGAGATAATGGTGTTAATACTGCTCTACATCACGTTCATTTCCTTCCTGCTCACGACCGTTCCCCTGTCTTCTTCTGGCATGTCACGGGCACCTCCCCACGCACAACACCTGCAGCCAATTCTCTCCTTTCCCCAAGTTTCGGTGAGGATACAGTAGACGTTGTTTTGAATGCCAAGTGTATCATATCACAAATTTGCCGGAGACATACAAGCTTGGCAGACAAAATGTCGGTCGCATGTAGTTCCAAGATGAAGGGTGGGCTTTACTGCATCGGCATCGTGAAGTGTATCGTGTGTTGTCATGCAGTTCTTTGTTGCGCACATCTTCGGTAACGAAGTATCATTCCAAGCTCGTAACAGTTTGCGATGTGCGGCATCTCGAGTCTTTGCCCACCTTTTCGAGAGCGATTACATACGCACTTCTTCATGCACTTCAATCTGTGTCCCGAGCTACCTGTAGGAGACTTAGCCTGACCTGTGCCCTGGAGAAAATCTCAATGACTCTAGAAACTCTACCCTTCTCAATTGTATTTCAATGAACTCCGCTTGATTAATTCAACCACGTAAACCTACGGTTTTGGAAATGTCTGCTCGCCGTCGTCGAAGTGATTAGAGGCGTTCAGACCCGATTGCAGAGAGCAGAGCCCTCAAGAAACACAAAACGGACCATCCTCAAGGCTCAGGGGCCCATACTCCCCCACGCTCCTGAAAACCGCCCAAAAACCGACACAAGCCCCACCACCCAAAAAAAAACACGCATCCAGCTCCTGGCATTCGGGCGTTCTTCTAACTATGTTGTCAGACTCGCTCCACGGTTCATGACGAAGGCTGTCATGATTTGAACTCTTCACTCAAGGGATTGGGCGGTGGAAAAAAATGCGGCCGTCAGAATGGCACAGCCTGGCAAAGTGAGTTTTCGTCTCAAAATTCTGCTAAGCAACGAACAACTCAAAGGGTTGAGCTGCTATTGCGGAAGAAGCCAACGATCATCAGACTTTCCAACATGTGGTACAGAGGAGCTTTCTTTTGCCAGCAAAGAGGACAGGGGAGAGACCACTGCCTCAGCACCCACCTCTTGTGGAGAGGAGCCAAGCATCAGAGGCATACAGCCCCGAGAGGCTGCCAGCCCTCGGGAAACCAGATTCCTCAAAACATATTTCTTTCTTTCTTTCGCCAGGGCTGTGGTGAAAGGGATTTCCCCGTCTCTCTCGCCCTCGTTTTCCGCTCAGCCCGAGGGTGACGAGCACCTTCAACGTCTCTCCCTTGTTCTTATGGGCCTGATCGGCCGTGCGTGGGTGGCAAGATTCGCCCTCCGTGCAACCAGTGTAGGGGTTGCGCGCAACCCCTTGGCCCGGAGGCCTACCCGCACACAGCACGCTGGATCCATGGTCAGTCCGGCCCCTTCTCGGGTATGGAGAATGCGATCTGAGTGCCCCCTCGACAAAGCCTACAGGCCAACTGTGCTAACCCGCAACGAGAAAGGTGGCACTCAGGTCATCCGCACCCCCAAGGAAACTCACAGCCATGGGCATCCGTGGCTCCTCGTTGCAGAACAGCGGAACAACTCGAGTAAGCGACCTCCTAGGGAAAGTACACCTGCTCAACTACGCACAGTGCCCCTACCACGTGAGCCATGACTCATGTTCCGATCCATCCGCGGCTCGAGCTGCCTCCGCCCAACCACGTTTTACCAATTCATCTAGCATTCTTTGCATTTCCGCCCATCCTAGCTTCAGGTATTCTTGAATCGCCTGATAGTGTTCCTTCCACACCTCCACTCCCTCTGATTCACAGCGTGACGCATCCCGCCATCGGCTTTCTTGCGTGTCGCCATTCGGTTCGTCCACCAATTCATTCGCCTCCTCAGCCTTAGCGCGCAACCAGTCGACTTCCCACTCACTGAGTGTTCTGCGTTTCGTCTGTCTGGCCTGTTGCACCTCCCATTTATCCCTTAACCATGGCACGCCCTTGTAACTTTTGAGGACACCGTATACTTCAAAAGAAACATCCCGACATATTTTTTGCATAACCGTTCCCACTGATCGTCCATTCCTGTATTTTCCATGTCCGGCCTACAACTTCGGAGTCTCGCTTCCACCTCTCACTCCATTTCTTCCTGAGATCCTGGGCTGGTTGTCCTACTCCCGACATGCGTGCAATGTGCGGTCTGGGAGCACATTTGGCTCTGCTCAGATTGGCCGCCAACCGCTTGCCCACCCTGGTTGTAATCCGTGTATTCCGTCCATGGAGCCTGTACGCTGGGGTCCTCTATAAGAACCTTTGCCGCCTGCAGATGCCACAGATCCGTTTCATGGATTAATACATGATCCAGTTCGTGTAATGACCGAGACTCGAAGCTTCCCTATACCCATCTCGGCCACACCATGCTCTCCACTCCTCCCCCACTGTCGTGATTTTGGGTGTCGCAAATGCCCCCACCATCTCGTAGTTGGGGGGCCGGTATTCTGGTTGTTACCGAGTTCCCATTTAAGTCCCCCACCACCATGCGCATGCTCGTGGGCGTAGCCAAGCCCATAGCTATGTCTACTTTCTGACGAACGGCTTGACGTGCCGTCTTGCCAGATGCACGAATCGAGCGAGCATAATGGACCCCAAGAAACCAACCCTTCCCGCCACCACAAGAAACCTGCTTTGACCTGCATGCCGGAACTTGCGAACGCCGTCTTGTCTGTATTTTAAATCTGTGAGTCCCACCATGTCACATCTTTGTATCCTCATCCTTTCAAGTATCGCCGTCTTTTTCATCTCCTGATCAATGTCGCATGCCTCTGCCCCCAATCCTTGTTCCATGTAGCTATATGCATGTGTGCTCGGAGCTGCTTCGCCTCTAAGCGCCGACGCCTTGGCCGCTGGACAATCACGCATGATCGAATGGACTTCATCTGATACAGACGGCGCTGTGTATGTGCAAACGACGGCTTAATTGCCTTCGCCCGTCGCCTACATCAGCCACCCCTGTCCGTAGTATTGGGCAGTGTCCGAAGCGAGGCCTGTAACCTGTCACGAAGGCCTCGACGTCTTAACATATTCGCGCGCTTTTTGTCGTGCCGTACGCCGAACCTGAAACAGGAGATTGTGGGTTGCGGTGGTTCTTTTCTTTCGTTGTTTCTTGGTTTTACGCTTAAGGGGATTCCTATTGCTTTGTGCGAAAGTAGCGTAGGATCCCCCTGTCACGATGTAGAGCCCTGTTCCCAAACCACCGACCCGTGTCGAACACCGTAAGGTCAGAACCCCCTGGGCACACCACCAGACCGACCAGCCACCGGTGACAAACCACCGACCACAAGGGTTGCCCCGACCGCCTCGACACCAAGCCGGTTCATATAACCACCGAAGCTTATTCGTCCCTACGCGGAGAGCCGGAACGCCATAGTGGCATTCAGCCCAACGGTCCCAAAGGATTTGCGCCGAGACGGCATAGAAAATGATTGGCAATCCCGTCCCCTTCCGCCTAAATTATGCGCGCGTAAACCCCGCGAGACCCGCTACCCCAAAGAAAATCCTCACCGAAACGCGGATGGGCCCAGGTGGACCTTGCCTTTGATGCCAGCAATTCAGGTAAGCACGGCGAGCGGAAGACACAACAGTCCTCGAGGCATGAGTGTGCACATAGTCACACAGCGGGCACTCGAAAGTCGGCTGGCGGCCACCTGCAACCAACGTGTTGTCTCTGAAGCGCCACTGACATGTAGCATGCTTGCTAGGCTCAGGAAGCAAGGAGACACCTGCTGAAAGGGCTACCTCTCCAGTCTTAGCCGTGCCGCAGTCCGGAAAGCGATGCTGCAGGTGCGCCCCCCCAAGACGGAAGGAGCACAGGATCCAACTTCGGAAGAAGGGTCTTTGCTAAGTGGTCGTTTCACAGACCTCCGAGTACGGCCTCCCAGTGTGGAAGCTGCACCGCTGCCACAAGAAGCAGTCTTGCCACCCGGCCGTTCCCAAAGAAGAGCGTGATATCACCGACCTTTGGCCGGCTTGGCTGCCTTGCGCTGCTGTGGCGTGAGCTTGCCGGTCAGCGCCTGGTAGTGTCGATCCGCATACCACAATGCCAACAGGACTACCCTTGCATGCATGACCAAATACAGTGATGCGATCCCCGTCGCCAGGTTGCAAAACGTAGACAGGCATGTCACAAATAGCAGCAAAAGCCGCAATTTCCAAACCTCCAGCTCACTCTCACTAGCGGTCAGCTCTTCTCGTCCATCTGTTCTGTGCCCCGTGTTGTTGTACGTGTCGGACGTCCCTCCCACTAGGGCTCGAAATCGGCCCGCTTATTTGTGTTCTCCCCTCCTGAGAAGGCTTCGGCCGGGCGCTTTTGTGCCCGCAATCGTTGCCTTTGCCACTGTCCCCTCGGGCTTTTCTTCGAGCTCGCCATAGATGTACACAAGGCTATCGGCGGAGAGAAAGGTCACCGGGTGTTCCACTAGGCTGAGGTATGCACCGCCCCCCTAAAGGGCCGCGGTCGGGTTCAGGGGGAAGAGCTCGACCCTCGGGCCTCTCTGAGTAAACGGCAGCAGAATGCTTGCTCAAGCACCGCTGGGAAAAGTGTGGGCTCCCCGAACCTCACAACTCCGAGTCAACAGGACACCTCCTCCCCAGATGCAAGGGAGCGGCACAGGCCCCCAAGCAAAGGCGCAGTGCTTGAGCCCAAATCCCAATCTCAATCTTTCTTTCGCCAGGGCTGTGGCGAAGGGGAAGTTCCCCTACGCCAATCTCAATCTCAATCTCTCTCTCTCTCTCTCTCTTCCGGACCCCTCAACCTGTGCGCAACCGCTACGATTCCGTTCGAGTTCGGCGTCGGCATGAGACGAGTTTCCGCGAAAATCCGTAGCTCGGAGCTGCAAGGCAGATAGTCCCAGAAATCAGCTGCACGATGCAACACATTAAACCCTACCCCCCACAGCAGTACTCTGTCTCACATCGTGTCGGGCCCCCCGCGGCTGCCGTGACGACTGCACCGGAAGCAACGCTGGCTCCCAAAGCGGAGGGCGCCTCAGATTTCGTCTTGACCCACCTAGCACACTTCCCTTCTCTGCTGTGGGACCCCGATAACCTCGCTTGGACTTCAATCTGTGAGCGGCGCAGGGCGCGAAAATGAATGGGAGGATTGCTGCTCTCTCTGCAACCTGGCAAGTCATTTTGATGACCTCTAACTTTGCAAGAGCTTACGAGACGTCTGTGGAACTCAAGCTCAGGGGCTTGCTGGGGCTCCGCGAGCCGAGAATGGGCACCAGGCGCAACAAAACCTGGGGCCTGAAAGAGAGGCACAGGAAAGCTGTTATGCTTTCGACCTTTCGCTGAGCATCTTTAAGATGCTGCTTTGACGAGCGGCCCACGCCGCGGGACGTCCACAACATGGATGCCCGGAGTCTCGGGTTCGGGCTGCAACAAGCGCGCCCGTCGATAGCACCGCACCTCACACATTACTAGCATGTGACACAAAAACCGGAGCGTCACCGGCATGCATGTTTTTCGGCTCGAGATGACAGACCTCGACCACAAGTCTCGCCGAATGTTTGCTTCTCAGCGAAAGACTAGTACCGACAGAGCTGCAAGATCTGAAGGACTTCAGGCCTTAGGCGTGCCTGTACAGCATTTCCAGGGGCTGAACAACAAGGCTGAGCACAGGGCCAACAGCAATGCGTCGTCCACTGGCCATGCTTTCCTACACGAGAGCACGAGAGCACGAGCACGGGAGCGTGGGAGCTTCGTTCGACGGCTTCCTGGCTATGTCCGGCCTGCAGGCTCGGCTCTGGCTCTGAAGCTCGGAGCGGAAAATCTGAAAAGCTGCAGGAACTCCAGCAAGTAAGCTTGACGCCAGCGGTTGCGACTGATGTGAAACATGCATGTGTTTGAGCGTTTTCGAAGCGTTTCACTGAGAATGCCTCTGGCAGACTCAACCAGCATGGTGGTACGAGTGCTAGGCTCATCTCCTTCCACAACGACTCCAGCGTCCGTCGTGCACTTTGGCCTTTCTAGAATCGAACGTGTTGGCAGAGCTCTGGGTCCGTGGTGCAATACGTTTCTGCCCAGCACACGACGTGGACACGGCGAACTGATGTTTCACATGATGTGGGTAAGGTTTACGCCTGCTGACCTGATGGCTCGCAGCGACGAAAGTGAAGGCAGCTCGCTTGTTCTGAACGCAGGCGAATGCATGCGATGTCTCGCGTGGCGTCCGAACGCCCTATTCGTTTAAGGGATACCACACGTGGGAGCGTCATCCTGACACCCACGGAACAAGTGTTCTTTCAAAACTGACCCGGGGGCCTCGAGGTGTGAAAACGTGAAACGTGGCTATGATTGTTCGAAACTAAGCTAGAGGACGGCCGGCCGGTGTCCCACACATGTAAATGGTGGAGGGCTGCAAACATGTGTTCAAGATCTTCAAGGTGTGGGACGCCGCCGTTGCCACGTTTTGTGACTACGCCCTGACTAAGAGACACCTGGCCTTTCACTTGCCATTACAAGAAATGAGACATATTGGCTGCAATTTTGCAAACGAATCCTTTCTTACGCAAGTCCGAACTGCTCGATGGCATCCTTGCCGGTGTAGACGTTTGCGGCGATGATACCGATGGCTGCAAACATGGCCATGCGACCGTTGTTGAGCTCACGGTTGCGCATCTCCAGCGTGTACTGGTTCAGGCCGGCGGGGTCGCCGAAATTGCCCGGCTCCTCGGAAAGGCGATTCTGTTTGAGCGACTGTTGCTGTTGTTTCTCTGTTGTTATGATTGTTGTTCTTGCTGCTGTTGATGGCGCTGTTGGTGTTGTTGGTGGTGCTGCTGTTGTTGCTGCTGTTGTTGCTGCTGTCGTTGCTGTTGTTGTTCTTGTTGTCGTTGTTGTTGAAATTGCTGCTGTTCTTGTTGGTCTTCTTGTTGCTGCTGCTGTTGTTATTGCTTTTGTTGTTGCTGTTGCTGTTGCTGTTGTTTGAGATTCCACACGCGCGCTCCTTGGAAGGGTCCTCCGTCCAGGCACCAAGCTCCAGCAGGCCTGCGATGGCGAAGAGCGCTGCGAAACCGTATGTACCCGGTGCGACTTCCACCGCACCAAGCCCGGCCGGAACGCTTTCAAAGCCAGGGAACTTCACGTAGTGCTGGAAAACGGCACCTACTGCTGCCATCATGGCCACCCTTCCGTGCTTGATCTCGGCCGCGCGCAAGTTGCGGAAGCCAGCCTTGTCGCCCTTCTTGCAGAAGCCAGCCGGATCAAAGTAGCCGAATGGCTCGGTCACGCCCACTTCATTGGCCGGATCGAAGCTGGGCTCGGGAGGAACATCCTCGCCTTCACCGCTCAGAGACTTGCCGGTTCCGGCAGCGACGCCCGTGCTGGCAGCGACGCTCTTAGCTCCTGCACTTGCGCCTGCCTTGGCAGCCGCTGCTTTGGCCGCAGCAGCCGCCGCAGCCGCAGACACAGGCTCTGCTCGGAGGGGTGATGCCGTGTAAGTTGCCCAATCACCCCAAGCACTGCCTGTCAATCCGTCCTGCAGCTCACGTCGTACATGAACAAGATTTAGATGCTGCTACAGCAGCGGACACCAGTTTGGAGCAAGAAACAAGAACACTAGATACCTTGAACGCGGAAATGAAACAACCAGTTGCCGAAATGAAACAAGAAGTGTACGCCAAGCGATTTGAATTATCGAGTGGACAGTGAGCATGCCTGCCGCAAGCACAAGATTGTACATACTAGCAAAAGGACCACGCGATCCCGATGAAAAACTGCTTTCAACGTTCGACATGCTTCATGACCAAGAAGATCAAACAGGTGCGAACATCGATCCGAGCTCATGTTTCACAGGCCGCCTTCGGATTCAAAACGAACAGGAGCCCTGGCTGACGAAACTTGCATGAACCCTGCTTGTTGCTTCACATCCTGCCTATTCGGCTCCTGGCTTTTTATTGCGATGAACAGGAACTCTGCTGTGAGCCGCGAAGATTTCCATGTCACCGCTCACTCCATGTCGAGAAGGCACACAGATGTCGCAGATTGTCTTCAGTGCATACGGAATGCTGGCCCGGTTGCCAATGGCCGAGGATTTTTTTTTGGACCCCCGAATGGGCTACTTTCATGCCCTGACTGCGATAATTAGGGTTTTTTGAGGACCGGCTTGGGACCGCTCACCTAACCTGTCAACTCCTATTACAGCTACAAAGAGAAGAGTTCAGTAAAAACTCTCAGGGCTCAGACAGAAACAGCAGCAACATCTTTGGAGAGACCACGCAGGACACAACAAGTCGCACTGTCCTGGAAAAACATGCCGATGATTGCCATCATGGCCAGGCGGCCGTTGGCCAACTCGGCCGCCAATTTGCTTTTGCGGGCCTCCGGGTCCTCGACCTTGCCCAGGAAGTTGGGGAAGCCGACGCCGTAGTTGCCCGGCTCCGCAGATTCCGTGGAGTCCTTCATGGAGAACTGACCCTCGCGAGGGCCACGGCCATCCGTGGTGGACGACGCCTGGAAGAAGCCCGTGGTCTCGATGAGGCCGCAGAAGGCAATGATCTGTGCTCCTCCAAGAACCGGAATCCTCAGACCACGTTGCATCTGCAAAGCTTGCAAAACTTCTGAAAACCAACGAGGGCGATGATACGCGATGATGAATCTCAAGCATCACACAATCATCCCAACATCGAACAACTAAGATCCTGGCTTGGACAATGCGGCCAGGCCATTCGGCACGTCGCTGAACTTAAGACCCAAACTTGGGCTCAAGTAGCCCGGAAACTTGAAGTACTCTGGGACGATATAGCCCATGGTCGCATACATGGCCTTCAGTCAGTCGTCTGCAAAATTCACCGATACAAACCAATCCATATCTGCGTCTGCTTGCAAACATCATGCGATTTACATGGGCTTGAAGCGGCTTGAGTCCGGGGCAATTCGGCCATGCTTGATCTCCACGGCGCGGCGGCGCTTGAAGGTGGCCTGATCCTTGTCGGCGCTCAGGCCTACCAGGGCAATGACGACGCAGCGAAGTCGGAGCTTGCAGGAGTTGCCCACGAAACGAGCTGCTACCCTGCACTACCCCGCCTAGCGGGTCCCAGAACCCGATGGGATCTTGCACACCCAACTCCGTGGCCGGGTCGAAGCTGGCATAGCTGGTGGTCTCTCCACCGAAGAAGTTGCGTGCAACCTTCGACTCTCTGGCACGCAGGGGCGAGGCCGTGTAGAGGCTCCAGTCACCCCATGCCGATCCTGTGAGTCCATCTTGGAAAAACATTCCGATGATCGCCTGCAGCACGCATCATCCCACACTGCAATCGATGCATGTCCCTGCATGTGCCAACATGCCCTACGTCAACTTAGCTGTTTGCTTTCATCTTGCATTCTCTCATCTCGTTCGTCCTCTCGCACTCTTGCATGGTCTTGCAGCTTCAAGCCTCGTCTCAAGCAAGTGCTTACCGCAGGCAAGGCACCATCATGGCCAGGCGGCCGTTGGCCAACTCGGCCGCCAATTTGCTTTTGCGGGCCTCCGGGTCCTCGACCTTGCCCAGGAAGTTGGGGAAGCCGACGCCGTAGTTGCCCGGCTCCGCAGATTCCGTGGAGTCCTTCATGGAGAACTGACCCTCGCGAGGGCCACGGCCATCCGTGGTGGACGACGCCTGGAAGAAGCCCGTGGTCTCGATGAGGCCGCAGAAGGCAATGATCTGTGCTCCTCCAAGAACCGGAATCCTCAGACCACGTTGCATCTGCAAAGCTTGCAAAACTTCTGAAAACCAACGAGGGCGATGATACGCGATGATGCATCTCAAGCATCACACAATCATCCCAACATCGAACAACTAAGATCGTGGCTTGGACAATGCGGCCAGGCCATTCGGCACGTCGCTGAACTTAAGACCCAAACTTGGGCTCAAGTAGCCCGGAAACTTGAAGTACTCTGGGACGATATAGCCCATGGTCGCATACATGGCCTTCAGTCAGTCGTCTGCAAAATTCACCGATACAAACCAATCCATATCTGCGTCTGCTTGCAAACATCATGCGATTTACATGGGCTTGAAGCGGCTTGAGTCCGGGGCAATTCGGCCATGCTTGATCTCCACGGCGCGGCGGCGCTTGAAGGTGGCCTGATCCTTGTCGGCGCTCAGGCCTACCAGGGCAATGACGACGCAGCGAAGTCGGAGCTTGCAGGAGTTGCCCACGATGCGAGCTGCTACCCTGCACTACCCCGCCTAGCGGGTCCCAGAACCCGATGGGATCTTGCACACCCAACTCCGTGGCCGGGTCGAAGCTGGCATAGCTGGTGGTCTCTCCACCGAAGAAGTTGCGTGCAACCTTCGACTCTCTGGCACGCAGGGGCGAGGCCGTGTAGAGGCTCCAGTCACCCCATGCCGATCCTGTGAGTCCATCTTGGAAAAACATTCCGATGATCGCCTGCAGCACGCATCATCCCACACTGCAATCGATGCATGTCCCTGCATGTGCCAACATGCCCTACGTCAACTTAGATGTTTGCTTACATCTTGCATTCTCTCATCTCGTTCGTCCTCTCGCACTCTTGCATGGTCTTGCAGCTTCAAGCCTCGTCTCAAGCAAGTGCTTCATGCAGGCAAGGCACCATCATGGCCAGGCGGCCGTTGGCCAACTCGGCCGCCAATTTGCTCTTGCGGGCCTCCGGGTCCTCGACCTTGCCCAGGAAGTTGGGGAAGCCGACGCCGTAGTTGCCCGGCTCCGCAGATTCCGTGGAGTCCTTCATGGAGAACTGACCCTCGCGAGGGCCACGGCCATCCGTGGTGGACGACGCCTGGAAGAAGCCCGTGGTCTCGATGAGGCCGCAGAAGGCAATGATCTGTGCTCCTCCAAGAACCGGAATCCTCAGACCACGTTGCATCTGCAAAGCTTGCGAAACTTCTGAAAACCAACGAGGGCGATGATACGCGATGATGAATCTCAAGCATATTCAAGCATCACACAATCATCCCAACATCAAACAACTAAGATCGTGGCTTGGACAATGCGGCCAGGCCATTCGGCACGTCGCTGAACTTAAGACCCAAACTTGGGCTCAAGTAGCCCGGAAACTTGAAGTACTCTGGGACGATATAGCCCATGGTCGCATACATGGCCTTCAGTCAGTCGTCTGCAAAACTCACAGAGCTAAGCTACTTGCCGCACTGCATGTTGCCGGTCGCTTCCACTCCCACCCGAACCGCTACAACCAATCCCTATCTGCGTCTGCTTGCAAACATCATGCGATGTACATGGGCGTGTAGCGGCTTGAGTCTGCGGCAATTCGGCCATGCTTGATCTCCACGGCGCGGCGGCGCTTGAAGGTGGCCTGATCCTTGTCGGCGCTCAGGCCTACCAGGGCAATGACGACGCAGCGAAGTCGGAGCTTGCAGGAGTTGCCCACGAAACGAGCTGCTACCCTGCACTACCCCGCCTAGCGGGTCCCAGAACCCGATGGGATCTTGCACACCCAACTCCGTGGCCGGGTCGAAGCTGGCATAGCTGGTGGTCTCTCCACCGAAGAAGTTGCGTGCAACCTTCGACTCTCTGGCACGCAGGGGCGAGGCCGTGTAGAGGCTCCAGTCACCCCATGCCGATCCTGTGAGTCCATCTTGGAAAAACATTCCGATGATCGCCTGCAGCACGCATCATCCCACACTGCAATCGATGCATGTCCCTGCATGTGCCAACATGCCCTACGTCAACTTAGATGTTTGCTTACATCTTGCATTCTCTCATCTCGTTCGTCCTCTCGCACTCTTGCATGGTCTTGCAGCTTCAAGCCTCGTCTCAAGCAAGTGCTTCATGCAGGCAAGGCACCATCATGGCCAGGCGGCCGTTGGCCAACTCGGCCGCCAATTTGCTTTTGCGGGCCTCCGGGTCCTCGACCTTGCCCAGGAAGTTGGGGAAGCCGACGCCGTAGTTGCCCGGCTCCGCAGATTCCGTGGAGTCCTTCATGGAGAACTGACCCTCGCGAGGGCCACGGCCATCCGTGGTGGACGACGCCTGGAAGAAGCCCGTGGTCTCGATGAGGCCGCAGAAGGCAATGATCTGTGCTCCTCCAAGAACCGGAATCCTCAGACCACGTTGCATCTGCAAAGCTTGCAAAACTTCTGAAAACCAACGAGGGCGATGATACGCGATGATGAATCTCAAGCATCACACAATCATCCCAACATCGAACAACTAAGATCGTGGCTTGGACAATGCGGCCAGGCCATTCGGCACGTCGCTGAACTTAAGACCCAAACTTGGGCTCAAGTAGCCCGGAAACTTGAAGTACTCTGGGACGATATAGCCCATGGTCGCATACATGGCCTTCAGTCAGTCGTCTGCAAAATTCACGGAGCTAAGCTACTTGCCACACTGCATGTTGCCGGTCGCTCCGACTTCCATCCAAACCCATACAAGCAAGCATATGCATATGCATCTGCTTGAAGAAATCATGCGATGTACATGGGCTTGAAGCGGCTTGAGTCTGCGGCAATTCGGCCATGCTTGATCTCCACGGCGCGGCGGCGCTTGAAGGTGGCCTGATCCTTGTCGGCGCTCAAGCCTTGCAAGTGCAAGTCGCGAAGTAGCCAATGCAACGCACTGCACTAGCCAGCCTAGTGGATCCCAGAATCCGATGGGGTCCTGCAGCACTCTCATCGCGTTTTGGCCACATAACGATTCCAGATCAATGTAGATCACACAGCAGAATTTCTCCACCAATCTCCAGCTACAAAGCCCATGTCTGCTGTTAAGTTGATGGGATCCTGTGGTCAACAACCAAACAACTAAACAGTCGAAGACCAGTCTCAAATCCGCGGCAGAGCAATGTCCTGCACTCCGAGCTCTGTGGCTGGGTCGAAGCTTGCATAGCTGCTGCCGCCGCTGTCACCGAAGAAGTGCCGGACAGTCTGAACAGCGAAGTTAGTCAGGAGGTGCGCGCTGCTACAAAAGGAAAACCTGGGAAGCTGCAAGCAAACTGCGAGAAGGCCAAGAAGGTACTGCAACACAAGAAAGAAATGCAGTGCAGTACAAGCTGGAAATGCACCGCTGTGTGTCAAGAGGCTCAAGATGAAGCAGACGGATATGGACAGCCCGGAGAAGTTCGGTAGCAGGGATGGACTTATCACTGTGCCTGAGTTCCTTGACTTCTGTTACAGCGCAAAGCACGTGGAGCCGCCTGCAGCCCAGAGCCTCTACATGCTGCCGCAATGCGCAAACAAGCTTCTAGAAATCGAACAGGTGCGCTTAAAAGGCCGCTGGAGGGCAAGCTCTTGGTGGCAGTTTCGGGCAAGACAACTGACCGAAGGCTGGCAATGAATGGAAGAAAAGAAACGAAAACGCGAATTTGTTCATGAAGAACCTTGCCCTGCCTCTTATTTGCTGTGTGGGGATAATGCTGCCAGAGCGTTGAAGATGAGCGGATGCTTTGCTGGCTTCTGAAAGCAGCCCCGAAGAAGACTCCAAGGATATCTCGACGAATCCTGAGCCCGGTTCACCTCGTGGTGTAAGGTAAACGGCACCCTTCCAGGCCTTGGTATCCTTGTTGGCCTCAGGAAGCAGCAAAGTTAGTAACTTGGCGCTTGCAGCATTGCACCGCTGCCCTGGGGTCCTGGCCCGTCTCGCGGCGGCCTCGGAGCTGCCGAGAGGAGAGCTCTCCGCTTGGCGGCCAACTGCCAAAACTGGGGACACGACTAGGACGACCGTTGACGCACAGCCAACGGCTGCACCAGAGGAAAAGTCCTCAGACTGGCCACGAGCAAAGCGGCAAGGGCGGCTCAGGATGTCTCAGGCCCCTGCTGCTCGCTCTCTGCGAGTCTGATGAGACCTGAGAGGACTGCGCCAAATGCAGTTGTCTCTTTGATTCTCTTTGTCTATCACCCGCATGAACTTGCCTGAACTTCTGGTGGTCCAACATCCAGTATCCCACAGAAAAACTTGCCAAAGGGACTGTGCGCTACAAGTTCGAGGTCCAAGTCTCAGCACATTCCAAACTGTTTCCTATCAGCAACCACATAAAACTACGGCCTCCAACACGATTTGACATGAACCTGCTGCGATGGAACCTGTAGCAGTGATGTGCTTAACTAACTGTGGGCTTAGGTCAGATATCTGGGAGCTAATGGTGCTGCACGGGCGTAGAGTACAAAGCTGTAGCTGATTGTCTGGCAGGGTGCACCTAGGCCCCGTTGAAGGCAAGTACTGTCGCCTGAAGAGAAGCTGAGTCTCGGCTGCTGGTGCGGAGCTGTTCGCGGTGCTGCAGAATTCGCAGCAGGCGTGACGAAGCCCGGCGCCTCTGCACCACTTCACAACTTCAGAAAACAGCTGCCCATCATCCTTGTCAAAGGACTACAGGGCGGAGCCTTCTCTCAGGCGCTCTCTCTGCTTAATTCTTTCTGTGCGATCTGAATCCGGATGCAAGCCGCGCTCGGGCACCTGCTGTGCAGAACAGATAAGGAGACAGCTCGTACTTTAAACACCAACAGCGGCCTTCCTCGTATTCACGCCTTCCTTCCTACACAGGGTCGAAGGGACCTCCTCCCATTGCAGGAACACACCCTTTCGGTCTGTTGTCCGGCGATACTTTAGAAGCGGGATCTAGGAAGCGGTCTGCAACACCTGTGACACATCAGGGCTGGCTTTAGTACTAAACTTCTCTCTCGCTCCCTCCGTCTCAGGAGCTGGCAGCAACAAAAGCTCCGGCCGCCAAGGCAGCACCTCAAAGACTTCAGATGCCGCGATCTCAATCGCAAGTGCACTAACAGATCAGCCAGCATTGCAACATACTATCGGTTGACCCCCCCGCATCCGGCTGCCAAGTGCTGTGTCATCCAGGTTCCCGCTTTCCAATAAGGCTGACACCGCATGCAGCGCGTCGTCCGGTCATCGTGGGCGAAAAATGCCTGCAAAAGAGAAAAGTTCCCGGAGGACAGGAGGCGAAGTCTCAGCTTGGGCTCTTGGGCTCGGGCAAGTGAGCCGTGCTCTTTCTGAGTCAGGGGGGGGCTCGTGTAGTCGGCCCGAAAGCTGCCAAGCGGGACTCTTTCAGAGAAGTTTCTGCACTTCGGCAAAAGACCGGATGTCTGACTTGGCTGAGACAGGCCAGCAAACCGATGGATACAGATGTCACAAGACAGGAGGCCCATCACACGCTGCTTTTCCAGACGTCGTTCGATGTCCAGTACAGAAAGGTGAGCGAGCAGGCAGTGCATACAGAAAACAACCGCATCAGCGACTGGAAACTGCTTGAGTAGTGTAGGACGAACTGTTTCTAGCAGAGCACCGCTTGCTCACACAGCTTTTGGAGGCTTCTGCTCTTCAGAAGCATCGAGCTGCTACGCACTATCGACTATACTATGCTGCAGAGTGACTGTACAGATGTCGCGCTCTTCGCCATCGTCGACTGCTCTACCTGTCCCACGCATGGAGTGAAGAGCAGATGAGTGACGACAGATGCGAACTTGCCTTCGCTCGACATAACATGAAAGAAAGATGGCAGATGAGGGATTGGCACGAATAGCCATGCACTCAACCCAAAAAAACTTCTAGACGCAAAATGCGCTGAAATGCTGGGCATTCAATGTGATTGTCACGCTCCCTCAACAGCGTGCGAGGAGTGGGAGGGCCTTCGGTTCACAGTCTTCCGACCATCGTTCAGTCTCTGTAGCACTCGCTTGCAGATGACGGCGGTCTTAGCAAGCATGGACGCTTGATGGAATGCCATCTGCCACGCATCAGATCTGTCAAGGCGTCATTCTGAGCTGTGCGCAGCGAGCTGCAACGGAAACAGCATCTGAGGCAGTCCCTGAACCGGATCTGGGGCCTAAGGGGCGGGCATCGTCCCACGCCTCATCCAGAGTATTCTGCTCGTCGTTGCTGGAAACCACCTGAACACTCTGTCGCGAGAAACTCTCAAAGGAACGACTACTCCCGTGCCTGCCGCTCTTTTCTGAGCGGTATATCTTCCAGCAGAGATTCAGCCTCAAGTTAAGTGAGGCATCACGCAGAAACTGAAGCAGCCAGTGAAGTTCATGTTATGCGCTGAGTGGCTGCGTGGCTATGACAAATATACTTCTCATCCAAGAGCATAATCCTCCCCTTTGTGTAAGCGGCCCGCTATATCACGAACACCTCGGCGAGCGACGGCTGTCTTCGCCTTCCAGGCCAAGCACACGATTGCACGCGTCTTACCATCGAGTCGGGGTCCCCTCCACAGCCTCCACACATTCAAGTTGGTTCCAAGCCGGGGTTTTTAGAGTTTTTAGGATAGGGAGCGGCTCCCTCGTCTCCGCGGGCACTACTAACGTAACAGGTTGTGAGGCTTACGCCGTGGGACACCCGGTCCTGGCCTCGGTGTCGAATGTCAGCCCGTGAAGGCATCGAAGGGAAGCCTCCAGCAAGCGCGGGGCCTGACAAGGCACAGCGTCTCGCTGTGCCACCGAAGTACACATGAACCAGCAGCAGGACTCTTCTTCTGCGCCTGACAAGGAACCTCAGCGTACAGGGGACACATCCAATTATACTCTTGACGTTGTGAGCTCACCGCCATGCAGAACAAAAGGCATTACGTCGAGGACCGGACTTCGGCACACCTTGCCAAAACATCGACACCTGGCAGCCGACCACCGAAAATCGGGGGAGACGCGTATACAGCAAGCGAAAGCAGAAAGCGCCTCCGGCTGCACAGAGTTCTCTGGGTACAGTTCGGCTTAGCCTGAGCAGATTTGAGTAAGCTTTGCACTCAACATGGCTCAATTCCAAATTGTAGGGTCCTGTGTTGTGTCAGGCTATCAGGCTACTTCGGAACTAGGCCAGTACCAAGACACGGCACCAAAAAATTGAGTCTCTGATCTCACGTTCAGGGCATCCGAGAGCTGGGCTTCTCCAAAACACGAAGGGCTGCCAGCGCTGTTCCCCCGCCGTGTCGCCTCAGTTGGTCTGCGAGCTTTGGCGGCAGCGGCGGAAAGACCGAGCCTTGGGCCTTAGGATGGCCAGAAGCGCTTCGACGCCCTGGCGGGACGACGAAGGCGCACACTAGATGAGGGATGACAACAAGCAAGAAAAGGTGCCTTCAGTTGCGCAAACTCCTGGTGGACAGGGAGGCACTCCTTGTCGTAGAGCAAAGCCAAAAGCCTGGCTTGAGAAAGGGTTTGCAAGAACACTTCAGGAGTCTGAAGCTCAGGTTGAATGGAACGTGAAGTTTTCCTGCACGCCAGACGGCCAACCACGAAGTTAAACCCCGCGAAAACTCAACGACGAAGTTCAGACCAACTGCCCGACACCGTCCGTCTCACGCAGAAAGAGAAACGAGGAACAGGGATCCAAACTGTGGCTTCACGAAACCCTTTTTACGAACATGCCTCCTTGGACAGCAATTCCTCCGGAGCAATTCGCTTGTACAGGATCAAACAGCGGATCCAAGGTTTTCGGCTCTTTGAACTAGTAACTAGCAGGTGGATGAGCGTTGAAGGTTTTCGGTTAGGCTGCTGACACATTGAAGCAACGGCCAAGCACTTGATTCATTGGCGCGTTCATGATGCAAGCAGACAAGCCAGCCATGATGCCCCGGGCTCGAGAAGAATGTGCTGGCCACTCATGGCCAAAATGAGACACAAGGCCGCTGGATTCAACCGGCTTAAGTCGGTGGCAGCGCGGTCAACCTGCTCCACATCGCAGTCATGAGGCCAAATTCAAGAAGCTTAAACTGCTGAGGTCTGGCTCATTCTTGGTTCACACAGCTCACGGCATCACTCGCAAACCTGCCGGCTTATGAGACCATAGCCATAGCGGCGGTTCTTTACTGTGCAGCTGTGGAATTTTGAACATGGCTATTCGGTTAAAATGGCGACGATCAAAACCGATGAAACCAATCAACTCCTCAGCAGGCCTGTGGAAACTCGACCAAGCCAGGTATGGGACTAAACACGGAAGCTACTTGTCCAAGTCCGAAGTCATCCTAGTGGAAACACGGAGAACAAACAGCCGAGCAGACCCATGGCAGATTCTCTGCACGTGCTCTGCGCTCCCCGCATTGATTGCAAGGGCGGAGAGAGCGTTGCCTCGCGCGAAAAGATCGGACCTGGTGCTGCCGAAGGAGGGCCAGGCCTAGTGTGGCTGCCCCGGGTGGTGTCGCCGCTGCACCCTGCAGGCCCTGCACCGCCGCAACTGCGACCTCGGGTCTGCTGCAACAACATCTCCTGACGTGGTTGAGGCATACCGGCCTGTGGCAGAGCAGCCGCGGTGCGGCGGATGGGGGAATCTGGGAGACCGCTCAGCGCATTCTTCCTTTGCAAAGCCGACATGGTCCTTTCAGTAGAGGAGCCTCATAGCCCTGTGCACATCCAAGCAGCTTTCGACGCAGCTGGTCAGCGGCCCAATCCCGATCCTGGCTCTCCAGCGCTTGTCTTGGTTCTCAGATGTGGGATCTCCTACGCCTTCTGAGCTAGGGTTCTTCTTATGCTCAACGAAAGCGTGGGAGGCTTGGCCATCTCCGTGTCATGGCTGTAGTTCATCAGGGAAGGCCGGCCGGTCGCCCCGTGTCGGCGCTGCCAAGTGCTACCCCTCGGAAGCGGCCCAGCCCAGCATGTCTTTCCCAGCCCAGAGGAACGGCGCATCCATTAAGATACGTCTGCAGCTCACTGTGAGGCAGGAAACTGGGCGGCTGTTCGCATGTGGTGCCGATACTTTTCCCCCACTGCGTAATCATGATCGCACTGAGACTTGCAGGACCAGGCCGGCTAGGCGATCCAATCATGTTGCATGGCCTCAGTGTGTGGTGGTTGCAATTACCACGAAAATGAGCTACCTACAAGCTCAAACAAGCTCAGCTGGGTGAAAAGAGCCCACATCGGTCGTAATCGGCCATCCGGCACGAAGTCGATCGAGCCGTCATTTCTCACCTTTACTTTGAGGGCAGTGAAAGTACAGCATGTGCTAGACGGTCAGGCGATGTCAGGCGTATAGCAGCTTCAATCACTCGCCAGCTGCTCGTAGCCCTGTCACATCAGCGAGGCGTCTACAAAGTTGGTGGAATCCGCATATGTTCAGTGTTTTCGTGTGTTCTGTAACGAAAGGTTCGGGGAAGTGTAAAACCTGCAAAGTTCACTCAGCTCGACATCACATAAAATTACATGACTTTCCTGTGGGTGAAACTCATGCCATATACTAGATCTTCGATCCTTGCAACCATTGAAAGCATGGGTAGGATTCACCATGTTGATGATGACCGACCATGCATCCATGCGAAGCAGCATCGAATCTGCTAGCTTCAAAAAATGTGAGCTCCGGAAACGGTGCGCATGTGTCTGTGTACCATACCTCCTGCAGATGCTAGAACTCTAGATCTTGAGGCCTTACAGCTTAGGGCCTGGGCGGAAGGCGGGCAAGAAAAACCGGCTGGCATGGCTCGAAAGAGAATCTTTCGTTTTGTGGGTCCGCCCCCCTTCAGGCTGGAGATCTGGAGGCCTCAGACTCTAGGGCTCTGGCCCTAGGCACCTCGTTTGAATGACTATTATTGCTTGAAGTTTTGATCGATACCCCGAAACAAAACGTCAAAACCCTTTTCATATGGAACAAGAAAACGCAAACCTTGTGAGGGAAAAACGGCTTAAATCCGGCGAGAACAACATGGCCACGCACCTTCTCGGCTTCCATCAGCATGGCCTCGTCGGTGCCCACCGCCTCCCTGCCACGCGATCGCCAAAGTGACACAGACACAAGCAGACGCACAAACCAAAGCTGCCTGGCTGCCGCTTTGCCTGCTGCAAAGACGACCATGTCGACTCGAATACAAGTAGTTACAATGCAGGTAACTCAGCATATTCATGCTGCTTTAAGAGCCTGCTGGCCCGGCGAGGATGACTGCAGCCGCTGAAGTCAGGAGGATGCCACCAGCAAGACGAATGAAAAGCGCCTGCAGGTAGCAGAAAGTGTCGGACTCACGGCTTTCACCTATGTGCAGGACACCTGACTCAAGGGAAATGTCGTCAGCACCAGGGCCATGTTCAGGGCCTCAGTCGGCGAAAGGCCGCTGAAGCCCAGCCGAGAGTAACGGAAAGCTTCAGTCAAGGTGCCATAATGACCAGCAGGACCCGACCATTCACGGGGTGTGCCAGGTGTCGAATCTTACCCACCTTCACTTTGGCTGCACGATCTCCTAAGAATTGAAATGCACATGGGATCATGGTATGGTGACGGTGTCCTGCCTGAAGTCCCAAGTACTTTGACCAGCCCTGGAAGGCCTCGCGCCAGAGAGCATCTGCATTGACGACAGCAACCTACTCGAGCCCGGAGCCGCCTGCAACAGCATGCAGCCCAAGACCACGTATCCAAGCAATGCATGTGCTGTCCTCGACCGTGGCAAGGATGCGAGGTCTAGACATTGCATGCGACGGCATAAGGCATCTGCTTTGCTGGAGGGTTGCCAGGGTCGAAACCAAGCTGCGAACCGCCTGCCAGAACAGGTCACAAGGTCTGGCGTCCAATGCAGTCAAAAGCAGGCCCCGCCCATCAGCTGATGATTTCTGAAGATGCAGCAATAGCCAACCTCAAATTCTTGTCACTCGGCTCGAGAAGCCAAGACAAGCGCATCACGTCTGAATTCTCACCGGCTGACCACAGCGGCAAGCACAGCACAGGTCTGGATTGCAGCATGCATCGCTCGGACGGTGTCTCTGCTCCTCAGACGATGCCGATATGACGAAAGTTAGCATTTAGGCCCTCAGGCACTGTTCAGCTGCCGACTTGCTCACTGGCAGCCCATAGATCACCTCTGTCTGTCTCTGTCGGATGTGGCTCTGCAAAGGTTTTCCGCTGAGATCGGCACCGAGCCGCTGGTCATCAGGCACCAGCAAACGAGCATGGCCGCAATATGGCCGAAGAAGAGAACCGGCATTGCCGTAAACCTCAACGCCGGGATGCTTGCTGCCCTTTGTTCTCGCTGCTGCACATAAAAGCTATGGGTTACCAAGCGACTGTGCGGCACAGTCAATGCACAACGCGACAGCGAGCCCAACGACTCCAAAAGCCCAAATCGCCATGGCCACTAGCTCGTTGATCCCCTGTTGGTCTCGGGTCTCGCTGCAGAGGCTGCAGACTCTTGGCCTAAAGCATCCACTTTTCTGGCAGATCCATGGAACCTAATGATTGCTTGGCAGTGAAGCATGCCATGTCGATCCATGTTGTGAAAACAAGCTTGGGCAGTGGTCGACACACATGCACAGCTCTAACACGGGAGACTGCCAAACACTTTTGCGTGGCTGATGCCATCGATGCTAGTAAACAAAGAGCGTACTGTGTCCGAAGCTGCTTTTTGCTGAAGCTTTGGATAGCTCATCACATCCGAGCATCAGAGCCTGATCCCTTTGCTCAAAGCTCGAAGAGCACCTGGGTGAGCTCCAAGCTGCCACATTCTCGAATGGTAAACTCTGCTGCGCTGTCCTACTCCAAGCTGCTCCAGCACACGTGTCCCGGCTTCTGCATGTTTCAGAAATCACTAATGCACCCTGCACCCCCCAAGATTCCGCAATGCAATCCCCGCACCCTGCTTCTTTTTGAGGCAGACGCGGACACAGAGGTCCCATACCAGTGTGCGTTCCCAGTCCATTGCAGCAATGGACCGAAGTGGTCATGTTCTCACTGCTAGCAATGCTTCGAGTCTTGGGCCGAAAGGTGAGAACTCGCTGTGCAGGCAATCGCAGGCAATCGCAGCCCCGCACACAGCCCCCCCCCCGCTCACCCCCGCTCTGCTCTTGGCTTTGCTCGTGAAACATCGGAGGACGTGACGAGGGGCGAATCACGAAAGTGATCACCTGGCGACTGTCTCCTCTGTACTACGACAACTCGAATTCAGGGATGGCTATTCGCCTTGCTCCCTTCGCGGAATCTAAGTGTCGTAGCCTTCACCCTGAATGAAACCCACAAGCTCCTGCAGGTGCGACAAGATTCATGAACTGATGGCGAGAGCAGACATGACCAAATCGAAACTGCGTCAAGGCGTAACCTGCTGGTTGATGTGAAGTTACTACCCTAAGTGGACTGTAAGGACGATTGCTCCTTCAAGTCAAAGAGCGAATATTCGTTCTCGAATGATCCTTCTTGTCCCTCCATGCGAGCCTCGATGTCCACTGCTCCAGAGAAGTCTGTATCCATGATCGCACAGAAAGACTGGATCTGATAGTCTGGGACTACACTGGGCGGAATCCTGAGATCTCCAGTCAAGATGCACAATCTTCGACGCGTGATAGTTGCATTAACTGGCGGCTGCCCGAGAATCACATTCAAAAGCTGTGCTGCGGGGCTCTCGGACTGTCCGACTAAGGTAGGCAAAGTAGCCGCAGCACGCGTCGGAGGGCGGCCTTCACCTCATCAATCTCTAGCTCGCCGCTACGGTCCTTCGATGCGGAGCACTGGCAGCACATCTACGACTGCTAGTGCATCCTTGTCTAATCGCCGGAAGAGAAGGGCGAGATCGACACCACTCCATCCGGCATACCTAGGAAGCAGAAACGTGCAAACATGGGGCTTGTCCGCAGCATGCGACTCCAAGACACGAGTGATTATCCGCAGACGAAACACGACACTGGATGCAAGACTGACATACTGTATGCGTCCCAAGCTGCGCAGCTCGAAGAATGCAGTTTTTGATCTTCTTCACTGTCTGGCGACGGAGGCATGTCTCCAGCGTGCATGTACGGCACACTCAAAGGCAGGCTTTGGTGTCCAGTGTTGGCGGTGTTGGCAAGCCACGCTTCTTGCGTTCCTCATAGCGCACATCAGCCTCTACCCTGTGCGACTGCTAGAGCTTGCAACACAAGCAAAAAACTCATAGCTGATGAGCACAACAGGGTCCTCTGCGACAACGTGGGCCAGACGTGCCTGGCAGCCGACAAAAGACATCATCGTCGCGTTATTGATGACATCACTACAGAACAACACTTTGGGGGCCCTGATTGGAATCACAAGTTGAATTCTGTAGTAAAACGTGTTTGTATGTTTGTACAGCCTGCTGCACAATCTTCTTGTCAGTTTTGCAACAGGACCGGCACACCTTCATCTGAGCCCGTTGCCGCTTCAGCTCTGCGACCTTCACAGTTCCGTGTAGCAAGCTCAGCAGACACCAATGTGTGGAGGCTCCTGTTGCCGCAGAGCGTTGATCTCTTCCTGCTCCCTTGCTGCATCCTGACGAAGACAGCACTTGTTGTCTCGACTGTCCGACGTGTACGTGCTGCTCAGAGGGCCATGAGACGGAAGGCCTGATCTCACTTAACAAAACGCTTCAGTTTGTTCCAAACTTGTCAGCAAGAGGGCGCAGTTCCAGCACAGTTCCACAAATAGTGTAAGAGCCCCTAGCAGTCCAAGCCCCCCCATTTCAAAAGCACCCCTGAGAGCCCAAAATGCGTACCACACTGCCGTAGGTCCAGTTGCCAACCGAACCCCTCGCCCGGTGTATCATACGAGTTTGGGTGGCGGCTCTGATCCCGGACTTGTGTTGGGAGTCGAATGACACGACAGGACCTCCAGCGAGTTGATGCCGCAGCGGTCGAAGGTCTCCTGAGAGTGCAAAGGTTCTGAAGAGCTCCCTGGCATCGACAAAGACTCTAGATCCTAGCTTCCGAGATGCAGCTAGTACGCAAAGAAGACCTTCTCGAAGAAGCACAGGAATGTGTTTTTGGAAGGCAGGTTTGGTGCAAAGAACTTGGGGCTGGCTGAATATCTGTTCGCGTTGCACGAATTCGAAATGGAAAGGTGCACGCCCAGTCCTGCTCGAGGAGCCACCTAATTACAGCAACGCACCAGACAACAGAAAGATGCAGGAGGAAAGCGAGTGGCAAGACTGTGCACACGCCCACACATCTCTCTGGCCGCGACCTCAGCATGAATCGCTCCGGATCTCGAGGACATTCCTTCAGGAGGCTCATGACCATCTCCTGACCAAGGCGTTTCCCAGCAGTCTCCATGGGTTGAGTACGTAGACGATCTTTTGCTGGCAGATGCGGCCTGAAGCACTGGGTTCACGTACTCCTGCAGGAGGAAATATCCGAAAGCAGTGCAAGCGGGCGCTCAAGCCGAGACAGTAACTCCTCAATGTACCGCCTCATAGTTTCAATGGCGCGAGCATGCTTATGCCTAGGGCCTAGCAGCCTGGCAACAGATATCCGCGCGAAACACCGCTCTGTCAGTAACCGCAGCTTGGTCGCATCTTCGCTGCCGACGTATCCGCTTCCGGGGGCCGACGGCTCGGCATGGCGGAGGCGCAACTTTGGCAACCAAGGGCCTACAGGCGGCCTACACGCTTTACAGCCAACAAAACAGTTTAACGAGGACGTTTACTGCCACACCCTTCAGAACTCGAACCTACTCCTGGCTAGCAACATGTCTTCTGGAACCTGGCTTTGAGCCCTTTCCAGCAGCGGCTCTGCCACACGCAACCTGGACATGATGCAAGATGATGCAAGCAGCAAGACTGCCTGTTCCGGCAGCTGAGCCAAGTCCACAGCTGATGGCCTTCCCTATCGCCTACTACGAGCCAACTGATTTACAAAGTGGCTCATCCAAACACGCCACGCCACCTGATTCGCTCGGACTGCATCCACAGCACCGAGCTGACACAGGAGACACGGACCTGTCAGGCCCTCAGACTGCTGTGCAATGACTATGAAACAGCTGAGGGTGCACTAAGAAGCAACTAAATCCAGTCAAAATCATGTTGCCGCTTCACCGGCAACATCCTCGTCGGAATCTTCCTGGCAACCATAAAGGATCGCGACTACGAGTGCTCAAACCGCTTTCCTGCAACCTCTCGTGACGTAATGCACTTCATCATGCTGGGCTGAATTGCACAAGCTGGCCGACCTCTTCCTCGTCGTCCTTCCAGGCTTAGCAGGGAATCGTCCCCCAAGAGCTCGGAATGTCAATGCCTCGAGGTCGAGGTCTTCTTCCGACTCCAGGTCCAACAGCTCATCATCTAACAACATCTCCTGGGCCGTAGATGGCCGAAGGAGAATGCAAACCACGAGCATTTCAATCGCACGCCTCCTCATCACCCTCCTCCTCAAAACAAATGTCCGGGAATTCCTCTTCACCCTCCTGCGGCAGGTGCAGGCCTGCTGTCTCAGCATAACAGCTTGTGACAACTGCTACCCGTTCCTGTCCTCCATGAAGGCAAGGCTGTCTTCAAGCTCGTTTTCCTGCACAGGCAATCATGGAAGGCTTCAAGAGAATAAGAGGCAGAAGCGGCTCTCACTCTAACGGCCTTCATCGGAGTCGTTTCGGGCTTCCCTTCAACGCTTTCTGCGGCTGGTGCTCCCGTGTCCGGGGCCGCCTTGGCTTCGGCCTTCGCTTGCGCCTTGGCCTTTCCTTTCGCTTTGGGAGTTGGAGGATCCTCCAGCGAAGCACGCCAGAATCCCTGCGAACCGCACGTCAGCAAGCGGTGATTCCCAACAGGCCTAGAGTCTAGGGACGATCGAGTCCTTGGCTTTCGCTTTCGCTTTGGGCTCTTCACCCTCGAGGATGTGGCAAGTGCATGGCACAGAACCACGGCGGCACAGAGCCAAGAGCCTTGGCTTTCTTCTTGGCGCTGGCGCTGGGCTCCTGCAAGGGGCAAAAAGGCCCCAAAAGGGCTGCAGGGACCCTCCCCTCCCCGCTTGTCCCGAGAGCGCCTTTGGAGCAGCTCTCTTGCCTGGCACAACCACCCTCTTTTCTGGGAGGAAACACACACCAACAAGGATCACAAGGAAAGGTGGGAAAAACACGGGCACAACACGTGGCAACCTGTGGATTCCACGAGGTGGAGGGTGACAAGTACGGCTGGAGAATACTGAATATTGCATTCACAACCGCAGTGGAAGATCAGCGCAAACTCGGTCTCGGGGCCCTCTGCATAACCATGCCAAGGGCCACCCATTTGAGCCGCCAGCTCGACACAGCTCGACACAGCTACTCTGGGCTTCGGGACCCTTGACACCTTTCCTGAAAGACTGGGGGGCCCAAGGCCGGCTCTCTGTGTGGAAGAAGGCAAGAAATAGAGTACGTAGCATATGGACTTGGTCCTGGACTTCGCCAGGAATATGATGAAGAATCGCATGAGCACTTCGGTACAGTGATTCTGAAATTACATTGTTCGAAAATGCCGTCGCCTCGTTCGGGCCGAGACAAATCGAAGCTCAGAGCTGAGACACCAGCAGGACAATATGCCAGTGGACCCTCTTAGAGCTAGGCTCGCCAATGCCACTTGCACGACATGAAACTTTTTGTTGCCACCAACTGGGACCAGAAAGCTCATGTCCTGCCAGCTGGAAGCGTTGATGAACTGAACTCAAGCAAATTTTTGGCTTCAACTAAAGGCTGGGCCTAAACTCTCTGAAGACGAAGTAGGCGCGTCTGAGGGCCTGCCAGAAGAGTTAAGCTTGAGGATGCTCAGAGCTTGAAGTCCTCACAGCTTTGCCTCCTTCACCTCCTCGATGCTCCGCAGGCCACTGATCGACACCTGCTGGGGTGGGCTCGGAAGGCTTTTGAGAAGCAGAAGCACCCTCCTGCCCCGAAGCTACTCTTGCCGCTCTGTTTTTTTCGAGACGTCGCTTCTCCGGAGTTTCTGCTATCGTGTGTAGCCTACAAAAGAGTTTCGTCACCTGGCAGTGCAGTCTTGGCAGGACGGATCATACTGCCAGACTGTCTGGCCTTCGTACTTACAATGCTCAGCACATCCAGCCTTGCCCAGCTGCAAGAGAGCAGGGCGTGTGCACCCTTGACAGGACGGATCGTACTGCCAAACTTCCACACCCTCGTACTTGCAATGATCTGCACACCCAGACGCATCGTCCGCAGCTGTGAAGGAAGATTTTGTTTGAAGCAACATGTGCTGCATGAGAGCTGGAGAACATCCGGTGCAGTCCGGGTCGTACTGCCAGGTGGCACTGCCTTCATACTGGCAATGAGAAGCACAGTGCGGGCCGACCGCTGCAGAAGCATCGCCAGGGAAAGACGCGGCGGTGCAGGACTTGCAGTCCGGGTCGTACTGCCACACCGCTGCACCCTCATATTGGCAGTACTGAGCACAGCCACTGGCTGCGCCTGATTTCAAGTCGTCCTTGGTCTCCTTTGTCTGCAACAGCATCGACTGCACCAAAGATGCGGAGCAGCCGCCGCATTCCGGGTCGTGCGCCCAAATGGCAGTGCCCTCATACTGGCAGTGTGGAGCGCAAGGCGCACCTGCAGTGGCTGCATGTGCCGGAGTCATGGTGCAGTCCTTGCAGCTTGGATCGTACTGCCACGTGGCTGCTCCCTCGTACTGGCAGTGACTTTCGCACCCAGTCGACTCACTTGACTTCTTCTCCTGCGTCTGCAGGAGCATCGTTTGAACCAAAGCTGCAGAGCATCCGGTGCAGTCCGGGTCGTACTGCCAGGTGGCACTGCCTTCATACTGGCAATGAGAAGCACAGTGCGGGCCGACCGCTACAGAAGCATCGCCAGGGAAAGATGCGACGGTGCAGGACTTGCAGTCCGGGTCGTACTGCCACACCGCTGCACCCTCATATTGGCAGTACTGAGCACAGCCACTGGCTGCGCCTGATTTCAAGTCGTCCTTGGTCTCCTTTGTCTGCAACAGCATCGACTGCACCAAAGATGCGGAGCAGCCGCCGCATTCGGGGTCGTGCGCCCAGATGGCAGTGCCCTCATACTGGCAGTGTGGAGCGCAAGGCGCACCTGCAGTGGCTGCATGTGCCGGAGTCATGGTGCAGTCCTTGCAGCTTGGATCGTACTGCCACGTGGCTGCTCCCTCGTACTGGCAGTGACTTTCGCACCCAGTCGACTCACTTGACTTCTTCTCCTGCGTCTGCAGGAGCATCGTTTGAACCAAAGCTGCAGAGCATCCGGTGCAGTCCGGGTCGTACTGCCAGGTGGCACTGCCTTCATACTGGCAATGAGAAGCACAGTGCGGGCCGACCGCTGCAGAAGCATCGCCAGGGAAAGACGCGACGGTGCAGGACTTGCAGTCCGGGTCGTACTGCCACACCGCTGCACCCTCATACTGGCAGTACTGAGCACAGCCACTGGCTGCGCCTGATTTCAAGTCGTCCTTGGTCTCCTTTGTCTGCAACAGCATCGACTGCACCAAAGATGCGGAGCAGCCGCCGCATTCCGGGTCGTGCGCCCAAATGGCAGTGCCCTCATACTGGCAGTGTGGAGCGCAAGGCGCACCTGCAGTGGCTGCATGTGCCGGAGTCATGGTGCAGTCCTTGCAGCTTGGATCGTACTGCCACGTGGCTGCTCCCTCGTACTGGCAGTGACTTTCGCACCCAGTCGACTCACTTGACTTCTTCTCCTGCGTCTGCAGGAGCATCGTTTGAACCAAAGCTGCAGAGCATCCGGTGCAATCCGGGTCGTACTGCCAGGTGGCACTGCCTTCATACTGGCAATGAGAAGCACAGTGCGGGCCGACCGCTGCAGAAGCATCGCCAGGGAAAGACGCGGCGGTGCAGGACTTGCAGTCCGGGTCGTACTGCCACACCGCTGCACCCTCATATTGGCAGTACTGAGCACAGCCACTGGCTGCGCCTGATTTCAAGTCGTCCTTGGTCTCCTTTGTCTGCAACAGCATCGACTGCACCAACGATGCGGAGCAGCCGCCGCATTCGGGGTCGTGCGCCCAAATGGCAGTGCCCTCATACTGGCAGTGTGGAGCGCAAGGCGCACCTGCAGTGGCTGCATGTGCCGGAGTCATGGTGCAGTCCTTGCAGCTTGGATCGTACTGCCACGTGGCTGCTCCCTCGTACTGGCAGTGACTTTCGCACCCAGTCGACTCACTTGACTTCTTCTCCTGCGTCTGCAGGAGCATCGTTTGAACCAAAGCTGCAGAGCATCCGGTGCAGTCCGGGTCGTACTGCCAGGTGGCACTGCCTTCATACTGGCAATGAGAAGCACAGTGCGGGCCGACCGCTGCAGAAGCATCGCCAGGGAAAGACGCGACGGTGCAAGACTTGCAGTCCGGGTCGTACTGCCACACCGCTGCACCCTCATATTGGCAGTACTGAGCACAGCCACTGGCTGCGCCTGATTTCAAGTCGTCCTTGGTCTGCTTTGTCTGCAACAGCATCGACTGCACCAAAGATGCGGAGCAGCCGCCGCATTCCGGGTCGTGCGCCCAAATGGCAGTGCCCTCATACTGGCAGTGTGGAGCACAAGGCGCACCTGCAGTGGCTGCATGTGCCGGAGTCATGGTGCAGTCCTTGCAGCTTGGATCGTACTGCCACGTGGCTGCTCCCTCGTACTGGCAGTGACTTTCGCACCCAGTCGACTCACTTGACTTCTCCTGCGTCTGCAGGAGCATCGTTTGAACCAAAGCTGCAGAGCATCCGGTGCAGTCCGGGTCGTACTGCCAGGTGGCACTGCCTTCATACTGGCAATGAGAAGCACAGTGCGGGCCGACCGGTGCAGAAGCATCGCCAGGGAAAGATGCGACGGTGCAGGACTTGCAGTCCGGGTCGTACTGCCACACCGCTGCACCCTCATATTGGCAGTACTGAGCACAGCCACTGGCTGCGCCTGATTTCAAGTCGTTCCTGGTCTCCTTTGTCTGCAAAGTCTTGGCATCATCTGTTTGCAAAACCTGCTGGCCCCGTAGCTGTCTCAGCTCCAAGCCGCATTCCTCCGAAGTGCAAGATTCATCGCTGGAGAGAGCCACTTGCACGTCGCCAGCATAGCCACTCAGGACCGTGGCCGTGGCAGCTGCGAAGATTAGTGCTGTCATGGCGCGGGGAGTGGCCATTGCACCGTCGGTCTGATGTAAGTAACGCTTTTGACTGCTCAGATGAGCTGATAATGGCTTGCGTCATCAAAGTGCAGATGCCCCAAAGACAAATCAGTCAAAACAGGGAAGTGCATGATGGCAAGATTTTGGGTGGCGGCCTTGCCACCTGCTGTCACCAGGAACGTGCAGCGCGGCCTGCAGTATCTTCTGCAGATTCATCCTAGCCTTATTTCTCTCTGCTCCGTGAGGCAGATCCTGCTTGTTTTGGTGCATGTGTAGTCAGCGGAGGTTCGTCTGAAACGCCTTCTCATTCCCTCGCTTCTTCTTCTGCTGACCTTGTATCCCTTCTTCGCGAGCTTTTTGAATGCGCTCGCTCTCCGTCTCCCTCTCCCGGCCACGAGGGTTGCCCACATTGGGCCATTATTGGAGGGACGTGAAAGCAAAGGAACGTAACAAGGCACCGCATGCTAAAGCCTCATTGAATTCGGTAACTGAGGTACCGCCACCCTTTCCCCTCTTTCACTTCAACATCGAATTCACGAATACAGGAAATTCAAAGTGCTTTCATTTCTGTTGGACGTATGGGCTACCGTGGCAGCCCCAGGCCGGCGGCCCGCCCCCTCACCCTCCGTGCGCGGCATCGTATAACAACCACACTTCATGAACATCAATCACTGCAATCATCTGTCCCCGGGTTGCAACATCAGTGCAAGATCTGCCCCCGTCCTATCCCAGAGCAGAGCCTTCACACGTGGGTCCACGCTACCCCGGCGCATCGCTGCGCACTGGTTCCTCTTTCTCTTCTTCGTCAGGGCATTAGTTAAGGGCATGTCAAAACCCCCCAGCCTCTTGGGCCCCCCACTTGCTATTGGGCATTGGAGGAGCGTGAAAGACGGATTGAGTCCCCCCAACGATTGAATGCAAGTGTATTGGCTCTTTCTCTTCTCCCAGGCTCTCTCTCTTTTCAGCTTGCCTTGCTTCTTCTTGAGGGCCGGGTCTCTTTTTCTGTGAGCTTTTTGTGGCAGGTGCGACACCTTTTGTGTGCTTCTCCCTTTCCGTGCAAAAGCTTCTCGATCGGCTCGGAGGCTGTAAGAAGCTGACTGTCGTGTGCGAAATACCTTGCCAGGTAACAGTGAGCAATCAAAGTCGCGAAAAATGAACTTGCAGCCCAGAGGCACAGCTGCAGAAGAACTCTGGCTCGTAAAGAGCGTTCTTGCGGAACCTCTGTCACGCAGAAGGGACGGAGAAAGGTGAGGCCAAGCTCCAGCTCCTGGACGCCAGCACATCCAGGCGAACGGGAAATCCGAGGGTGGCCTCGCATGCAGTCACTGGCCATGGACATCGACATCTTGCAATCTTGCCTTACAAAGGATGCTGGTAACGGCGAAATCAGCAAACCTGGCAGTTTCTGATGTTGCGCTTGTGCCGCGGAAGCAGTGCTTGTCGTGAGCTAGATTGTGCCGGAAAGACTTTGCACCGTCATGTCCACACCTGGCACACCACACTCTTTTGCAATTGGGAAAGAGACCACAGCACTGCGAGTCGAGTGCCTTTGAATCAGCCTGGCCAGCTTTTTCGCTGACCTGGGCCGAGTCATACACAGTCGTTCTGGCGCAGGATTGTCTTTTTTTGTTCTGCGGCTCACCTCTTCAAGTCATCCTCTGAAGCGCAGCCTGCGTTTGCAGACCTCGGTTGCGAGTTGAGTGGAAGTTGACGAGCACACCCTTGGGCTGCGGGTCCGGCCAGCTCATTGCCAAACGAGCTACTCAAACGATCAGTTTCACGAGAATTCTGTTGTCGCATCGGATGCTTGGCATCAGCATATGCTCTGATCAGCATCTTGAAATGGAAACGAAGCCTTTTTGAATGTATGTGATATGACCAGTTGCATGGCAGTCGACAGCCCCCACCCGGCAAAGGCGTAACTGCTGGCCTTGGCCTTCAGGCCGAACAGAACAGAGGAAGCCAGACCCAGACAGACAGCGCTAAGACCAACGGCTGACGGCTGACGGCTGACGGCTGCTGCCCATGACCGCTCAGCTCGTGGCAGCGTTATTGCGCCACTCGCACGGATCAAAGCAGTGACACGAGGGTTGAAAAGACGTACCTGACCCAGCTACCAGCTTAGCAAGAGCAAATGCAGAGCTCTGGTGGTCCATCTGGGGCACCGTGATGCTGCTATGCTTGCGGGGATTGTACTCGGCATGCCGAATCCCAAATGCGATCTCAGGCGGCAACACGGCAAAGAGAAGCCTTCATCACAGCGCTTTTCAATTCTCGCGCCTGTTTCAAGTCCAGCTCGCAGCGCGCATTGAACCTTCTGATCGAGCTGTGATGCTAACGTAGGCAGCCAAGCTGTTGGGCGCTGGCACCATGTTCCAGGTTCCGATGCTCTACAACATGTCTAAGCAAACTCCTGTCGCAAGCGGAATCCAGCCCTTCGCGAATAACCGCTGTTGCCGAGTTGACTCCCGAAACCAAGTAGAGGATTTGGGAGAAGTCTGCTAAAGCTGTCATGACATCCTGAGATGTGGACTTGCACACATAGATGAATGGCACAGGGAACACATCGGGCCTGATGTACTGCACTCACCATACGAGGGTACCACAGCAGAAACGGTGAAATCCTGGGCACGGGGGCGGCAGCTGTTCATGTGGCTCCGGCAGGTCATGCCTGCAGACGCGACAGAAGGCGGGCCAGCCGTGGTCCGACACCCATGTCCGCTCTCTCTCTCGAGGAACCCCCCCCCACTCCATCCCTGGGCGAGCGGCACAACGGCCAGCTCTTGCTGATCCTGGAAAGGCTGATCTTCAACTGGAATACTTCTCAGTTCCAAGACATGGCAGGCTTTGTCACACGGCGAGCAGCGCCCATTGCGGAGTCTTTTTCTCAAACAGGCTCACTCCGCTTGCGAAGCTTCTCGAAGCTCGTTTCGCAAAGCCTTGCACGAAAATTCTGGCCGGCTTTGGTTGTTTTACATACACCTCATGGAACATCTCGAGCACCCCAGGCCTTGGGAAATCTTCTTCTTCGAGCCCGTTCAAGGTACCTCTGAGCGAGGAGGCAGAAAAATCTGCGTCGAAAAGTCCGGAAGTCTCTGCAAGGCACGGGTCAGCGATTCCGGCACGAACACAGGCTGCATTCAACCTCGACGGCACAGGAGAAACCGAGGCTGAGATAGCTGAGAGCCGTGAGTTTCTCTGAGTCTCTGGCTGTTTCAGCTCTGAAATTGAGAAGTTGGCCATGCGGCGTAAGGACTCGCGAAGGATACGGTGCACCTCGGAGTTGCTGGCACTTGGTTCCTCAGAAACCCACTTCTGGAACCGTCCGTCGGGCAACAAAAAGAATGCTCAAGCATGAAGTCCCGGCGCCAACCAGTTTGTGTTCAAATTGACTTCAACAAGTGCCTGCCAGAACGTCGCCGTCAGTACCCCTAGGAGACACATGAACCGAACATCCGGCTTGGTAGCGAATACGGTACCCGACGTCTCCGTACATCAAGGAACAGCAGAACTCTCATGAGGCTTGCCGTCACCATCGGCTCCAGCCGAGGGTCCATATCTACAGACAAAACACATTTTCGTGGGCACCACAAAGCACAACCCACGGCAAGAGTGGTCCCCACGTCCGTGAGACACATGAACCGAACATCCGGCTTGGAAGCACCGGAGTGCACGGTACTCGACATCCCCGCACTGCAGTCGCCGCTCAGCACCCACCTTCAAAGCCCATGTCACAACTCGTCTCCACACGTCTGAAACCTCGGCAATTCTAGAGCTGTGCTGATGTACTTCAAGGAACATCAGAATTCTCACGTGGATTGTTGTCATCATCGGCTCTAGCCGACGGTCAAAATGTGTGGACAACCACGTCCGTGGGTACCACAAAGCACAACCCACGGCTAGGGTCGTCCCGACGTCTGGGAGACGCATGAACCGAACATCCGGCTTGGAAGCACAGGAGTGCACGGTACTCGACATCCCCGCACTGCAGTCGCCGCTCAGCACCCACCTTCAAAGCCCATGTCACAACTCGTCTCCACACGTCTGAAGCCTCGGCAATTCTAGAGCTATGCTGATGTACATCAAGGAACATCAGAATTCTCATGTGGATTGTTGTCATCATCGGCTCTAACCGACGGTCAAAACATGTGGACAACCACGTCCCTGGGTACCACAAAGCACAACCCACGGCTAGGGTCGTCCCACGTCTGGGAGACACATGAACCGAACATCCGGCTTGGAAGCACAGGAGTGCACGGTACTCGAAAACCCCGGACTGCAGTCGCCCCTCAGCACCCACCTTCAAAGCCCATGTCAAAACTCGTCTCCACCTCTGAAACCTCTGCAATTCTAGAGCTGTGCTGATGTACATCAAGGAACATCAGAATTCTCATGTGGATTGTTGTCATCATCAGCTCTAACCGACGGTCAAAACATGTGGACAACCACGTCCGTGGGTACCACAAAGCACGACCCACGGCTAGAGTGGTCTCCACGTCCGGAAAACACATGAACCGAACATCCGGCTTGGAAGCAAAGGAGTGCACGGTACTCGACATCCCCGGACTGCAGTCGCCCCTCAGCACCCACCTTCAAAGCCCATGTCACAACTCGTCTCCACACGTCTGAAGCCTCGGCAATTCTAGAGCTATGCTGATGTACATCAAGGAACATCAGAATTCTCATGTGGATTGTTGTCATCATCGGCTCTAACTGACGGTCAAAATATGTGGACAACCACGTCCGTGGGCACCACAAAGCACAACCCACGGCTAGGGTCGTCCCCACGTCTGGGAGACACATGAACCGAACATCCGGCTTGGAAGCACAGGAGTGCACGGTACTCGACATCCCCGCACTGCAGTCGCCACTCAGCACCCACCTTCAAAGCCCATGTCACAACTCGTCTCCACACGTCTGAAGCCTCGGCAATTCTAGAGCTATGCTGATGTACATCAAGGAACATCAGAATTCTCATGTGGATTGTTGTCATCATCGGCTCTAACCGACGGTCAAAACATGTGGACAACCACGTCCCTGGGTACCACAAAGCACAACCCACGGCTAGGGTCGTCCCACGTCTGGGAGACACATGAACCGAACATCCGGCTTGGAAGCACAGGAGTGCACGGTACTCGAAAACCCCGGACTGCAGTCGCCCCTCAGCACCCACCTTCAAAGCCCATGTCAAAACTCGTCTCCACCTCTGAAACCTCTGCAATTCTAGAGCTGTGCTGATGTACATCAAGGAACATCAGAATTCTCATGTGGATTGTTGTCATCATCAGCTCTAACCGACGGTCAAAACATGTGGACAACCACGTCCGTGGGTACCACAAAGCACGACCCACGGCTAGAGTGGTCTCCACGTCCGGAAAACACATGAACCGAACATCCGGCTTGGAAGCAAAGGAGTGCACGGTACTCGACATCCCCGGACTGCAGTCGCCCCTCAGCACCCACCTTCAAAGCCCATGTCACAACTCGTCTTCACACGTCTGAAGCCTCGGCAATTCTAGAGCTATGCTGATGTACATCAAGGAACATCAGAATTCTCATGTGGATTGTTGTCATCATCGGCTCTAACCGACGGTCAAAATATGTGGACAACCACGTCCGTGGGCATCACAAAGCACAACCCACGGCTAGGGTCGTCCCCACGTCTGGGAGACACATGAACCGAACATCCGGCTTGGAAGCACAGGAGTGCACGGTACTCGACATCCCCGGACTGCAGTCGCCCCTCAGCACCCACCTTCAAAGCCCATGTCACAACTCGTCTCCACACGTCTGAAGCCTCGGCAATTCTAGAGCTATGCTGATGTACATCAAGGAACATCAGAATTCTCATGTGGATTGTTGTCATCATCGGCTCTATCCGAGGGTTCAAATCTACCGACAAAACACATGTCGGGGGCATCATGAAACACAGCCCTGGTCGTTCCATGCCCGAAAACTTCAAACCTGCAATCACCATGCTACACGATCTGCATAACGTGCCCTTGTCAGCGTTTCTAACGTTCCCAGCCGTGTCAAGCCCGCACGCATTTCTCGCCATTGTCACTCAGAAGCTGTAAGAACAATCCAAGGTCTGGATCCACTGTACCCGTCACCGCGAATGGCTGGTGGCGATTCATGCCCTCGCAACAGGTGGTACGACTTTCCTCTGCATCACATCGGAGATACAAGCCTGCCATCAACTGCTGCTGTGTCAACCGCGGAGCAAGCGAAATTCTGGTTGCAAACACGGCACAATGTCCAGGGTGTCTCCTGACAGACAAGCTGTGCTTGGTTGCTGCAAAAACGCAAGAGTGTGCCAAGGCCTGGTCTTGGAGCTTTTGCGCCCTGCGATTAGAAGCCGCTGTGCACTGCACTTGTGGCAGGGAAACCCTGCACCAATCAGCATGCGGGGAATTCTAGCAACCGCTTCACAACGTCTTGTGCGTGAGCAGCTGTTGCTTTAACAAGGCTGGTCACGCTCTAAATGGAAGAACATCGTACTTCCCGAGTGTGACTCCGTTATGGTTTATAGATTCCAACACAATCTTCTCTTTGCTGATGGTCATGTCAAAGAAACCATACTGACTGCTCCTGTAGGGAGTGGCGTCACCCTCCGAGACAATGCCTGAGCAGCTCGGGGATGTTTCGCAATCTAGCTTAAAAGGTGCGGGGCTACGGCTAGGTGAGAAGCTCGAGGTTTAGGCAAGACCTGCCTCCACCACCTCCAGTAATAAAGCAGGTCATGCCTCCAAGCAAGCCGGAGTTGTGGAAGACTTGCTGGGTATGTGTGTGCCCAGTCACCAGCAGATCGAGGCCAAACTTCTGGCGTAGTCGTTTAAACCATTCTGCCTGTGTGCCACATTGGAAGTGAGTTATTATAATCTGCCAGTCGGCGTCAGACGCTTGAAGCTTCTGCTCGACCCAAGGCTTCTGCTCTTTGCTCCAAAGGTCCCAGAACCAGCGAAAGCACTCCGAAAGGTCCTTCGGCCCACCCGTCGCGGCACAAGAAGCACCCGTGGGGTTGTGCAGGCGTCCGCACAGGTTGTGCTCTGGATCTGCATCGTAAGGCTTGACATCCATCGCATTGCTGTCAATCATCAAGAACCTCAGGTCGTTGCAAGTCTCGGGGCCCTACATACACTTCGGCAAGATCCTCTACCTTGCAGACTCTAAGCAGGTGGTTTTGAGAAGTACCTCGCAAGTTGCCGCAAGACATTCCAAGTCCAGACCAGTCACTCCGCTGCGAAGTTTTGGTCTGTATACCTTTCCGACATTCTGGACACGCTCACAGACACGCGAACATACACACACACACACATACGTACATACATGCATGCATACATACATAGATACACACATGCATAGACATACATACATACATACATAGACGTACGTAGACATACATAGTATACACAGACATACGCACATCCATCCATCCATCCATCCATCCACCCACCCACCCACCCACCCACCCCCCATCCCATCCCATCCATCCCATATATCCATACATCCATGCATCCTTACATCCATACACCCATACACCCACACACCCATACACCCATACATACATACATACATACGTACGCCCATACATGTATACATACATACACCCATAGATACATACATACATACATACATACGTACGTACGTACGTACATACGTACCTACATAAAAACACAGAGACACACACACACACACACTCTTGACACAGAGTATCACCAGGTACTCTAGATTGTTACAATGCAATTTCATCGCACTAGCTACCTGTACTAGGACTAGGATCCAGGTGCAACTCTACAGTTGGGCCCCATCGCCATCGACATAGGTGACATACCAGCTATGCACAACGGCATGCAGGAACTGCCCGCAAGTAAGTTTATGCCGCACGCGGCTGGTGTCTTCGTTGATGGGAGACCAGCACACGCACTCCCATCCCCTGCACGCAGCTGCATACTCCACACACACACACACGCACACACACACACACACACACACACACACCATGTCGATTCCCGTGCTGAAGAACGCAGCGGAACGACTGAAGCGCATCTTCGTTGCTCCACTCGCTGCATCCAGTACATAGCTGGAAGCCTCCAGCGATCACTGGCAAACGTGTAAGCGATCTGCTGGTCCCAGGCCTTCGACAGAGCTACAAGCGTCTTTCTGATCGAAGCAAGGATGGCTCGGAAACATGCGGTGCATTGCGGACATCCTAGTTGTAGCTCTGAGGTAGGTTTAAGCTGGGATAGAGTCAACAGCCTCACCTTGTTGAACTGGAATCCTCCCAGATCGTGGTTGCCGAAGACACTCAACCAGGGCTTTCCATCCAGGCCAGGTCCCTTGTAGATGTCCTCGAAAATCACCTTGAACTGGGCCTGGGTTTGGGGATGGATCTGGCTCATTGGATGGCCACATTCTGTCTCGATGCCACCCCAATAGAAATTGTCACCGACGTTCAACACAAAGTCAGGATTGCTTTCAGGCGCTCGCTTCTTCATTTGCGTCGCGACCAGCGTTTGCGCATGCAGATCAATTTCAGGACTGAAGTGGCAGTTTGTTGGACACACTGCAGTAGCGCCGAAACAGCCGGTCATCTCTTTGGTGCTGCATCCTGGACCTCGATGTCTCGCCATAGTATGTGGGCCTGGTGTGTGGCCACCTTTGTACTGGATGATGGCTTTCGGTGCACCTGATCCAACGCCTAGCAGGGAACCCCAGTCTCCCAGAGCGAAAATGTGCTTCGTATCGGTTCCAGCGATCCTCATGGTTTCCCAGGATGCACCATTGTGGGTCTTCACAGTTGTGGGCGGGTCGAGCCCGCCACGCCGCCCCAGCCTCGTGCTCGCGGGCATCGGCTGCGGTGGGTGGTATGTCGGCATGCTAGGCACAGGTGCAGTGGCCTGTGGCGGGACGTATGGTGCTGGGACCGGCGCATAGTATGGGACCGGTCTGTAGGTCGGATTGTACATCGGATACATCGGTGGCATCGGGGGTGGTGCATAGTTTACTTGAGGATGCATGCACTGAGGAAGCCAGGGATAGTACATGCACAGGTACGGTTGACGATCATTCTCCGTCTCGTGGAGCACGTCCTTATCGCGTGCTGTTCCCGCAACACTCAACTTCTGTCCACGTAGCTGCATGGCCACTAGGCTGCAGGATGAGTCGGTGGAGTCCGAGTCCATGCATTCGTCCTCCAAGAACGTATCTTCCAGCGCCACTGCAGCCAGCATATGGCAGACAATTCTCAGCAGCATAGTTTGACGAAAGCGCTTTTGTCACAAGAGAGCTTGAGCCATGAAACTTTGGAAGAAGCCACCTGCACACCTCACAACCAACTCGCGTGCTTATTGAGGTGAAGACCAACTGCAGGCCTTGCACCTGTCTCTCGCTCTACCTCTCCAACTCTTTCATCGCGTCTCCATCTTATCCATCTTATTCTGGTATCTGAAAGACGTGAAGAAGGGACGGACGAACGGACGAAGCGCTCACCCCACGAACCCCTGCAGGTTTCTGCTCGTTCTCGCGTTACGTCGTTGTTGATGTCGGTCGTTCGGTCTTTCTTTATGTACAGTATTGCTTTAGTTCTGTTGCTCTGTCTTTCCGTCGTTATGTCCTGCTGTCTTGAATCGTTCTTTCTTGTATGCTTGATTCATTTGCGCACGGCAAGCGGATTCCCACAGCCTTACAGCTTACAGTTGGTTCTTCCTCAAAGATTTACGACTACTTACGTCTTTCGTTCAATATGTCCGTCTTTCCTTGTCTAATTCGTTATTGATTTCTTCGTCTCTGTCTTTCGCGCGTTCGTTGTTTCGTTACTTCGTTCCTTATGTACTGTTCGAGGTTGTTGTTTGTACCTGGTTCTTTGTTTCTGTCTTTGTGCTTTTGGTTCCTTCTGTTCTTCTTTCGTTCGTTCTCGCTTGCGTTCGCCAATTCTTCTTCCCTTCTGTCGCTCTTGATTTCTTTACGTGTTTCGTTCCTCCTTTCTTGCTCTCTTTCTGGTAGGCTTGGAGAAAGCGCTTCTTCTTCTTCTACGTAGCCTAAAGATATTTGCTGTGCCGCGGCCTCGGCCGTCGGCAAATCGCTCGGCGCAAAGTGCCAACTGTGCAGGCGACAGCCCCTGGAGAGAGGCACTTAGCAGCGGGCGGGCCTTGACGAGACAAGCACAGAAGTACGATTGCGGCAACAACGGCCAAATAACGGGACTAAGTCTGTGCTGCTCACGTTCTCCAAGAGCTCCACGTCCACAGGCCTGGCTTCGCTCGCACTCCAACTGCGATGTCTGAGATCTCTCTTCCAGTTCGGGGCTTCCGCTTTGCAGGCTCATCTTCTGGAGCAGATGGTCCTCTGCACTCGATGCCGATGCCTGGCTACTCTCTCTTCATCAATCTTCGCTCCTGACGATGGGGATGAGGGCGAGCGCGTGCTGCTCGCAACTACAACAGAGCAAGGCGATTACAGCAAGAGACCAATTTGCAAGAGCAGGACGACAAGTGTGTGAAACCCTTGGCCTGCCCGCTGCAACGAATCCAGCCCTTCAAGAGCCTGGCCGCCACAGATTGTTGCCTGCTTCCCTTACATGCAGGAAAGCAATCCCTACGGAGCCTACGATATGCATGACATGCTACCTGCGCAACCCGCGCGCCACGCTGGTTCCTTCGGAAGCACTCGTCTGGATTCCACGGGGCCTAGATTTGAGCCGGAGGACAAGGTGAAGCAGAGCAGAGTAGGGACACTTGGCTTCGGACGAAGTACGGCACCTCAAGTTGCGGAGCTTCTGGCAGATTCAGCACAACCGAGAAGGTTAGCATGGCATACTCAGAGGCTGCATGTCCTGGGTGTCCGGCCTCGGGCAGGCCGCTGGCTGTGGAGTCCAGCTTGCGTGTTACAGCATTGTACCACCACCTCCTTCGATTCGATGTCTGTCTCTACGGCTTCAGGCTATCTGCAAAAGTTGCGAGGCTGTGGGAGAGTCCTCTTTCTCTTCGGCACAGCAGGGCTCTCATCATCTTGCATGCCCTGGAGAAGCTTTCAATACCAAGAGCACGAGCGCTGTGACAGGCTGAAGCAAAGCTGTCAAACCAGCTGCGGCTCGAACGGCTGACACGAGCCAAGGAAACAAGACTGTCAGAGGCTGTTGCACGAATCCTTCGCACAGGGGCGGCTTCATAATTAGTGCATCATGGCCAGTGTCCCCCCGATAGGGTGGATGATGACGACAAGACATGCTTCGTCAAGGTGTCGACCAAGTAGTCCGTGAGTTCAGGATAGCAAGGGCAGAAACTGGCGAAGTACCATCCAGACAGCCACCTATGCTGCATCAAGTGCCATGCCACAAGACTCCGGGCTGCTAGAACTCCTAGACATGGCGACATCGATATCACCTAATTTCTGTCATCGATCTGAAACTTGCGCGTCTTCTTGCGGACACGCTCTAAGCTGAGACCTGCCGGCACTAAGAGCTTTCAATTCAACAGCTCCGAGAAGCTGCAAGTTAGAGTCAGCTACAAGACGGTCCATGCATGAAAACACCAACTCCACAAAGACACCTGAATTCCAACGTCAACGGGGTAACAACAGGAAGAGCGACGACGAACGGAGAAAAGTAGAACAGCCAATGCAGTGTGCCTCCTCGACGAAGCCATCCTCAATGACAGCATCGACTGGCACCACCTGTTGACCACCAATGTAGTGTCTTCTGGTCAGAACTGACACCGTGCCTGGAAGCTTTCGTCGACGTCCTTTTCGTCCTGCAAGAGGTCCTCTGCAGGCGCAGACGCCTCGGCTCGCGGCTGGCGGCGGCTGGCCGCTTGGATGCCACAGGTAGAAGAACATCTCTCGGCCCTGCACGGCTTCTGTTGGCTGCTCCTGCGTGGTTTGCGCTCGTCACGGGTGTCCCCTATCCCTTCTGCAGAGTCCTTGCCGGAGAGCTGCGTGACCAGATGCGGCTCGGCAAAAGCCGGCATAGGCGTCGACATGGCATCCTGGCGTTTAGGTGAATTTTGATCGGGCTTGGATCCTCCTGGCAGGCGTCCTCGAGCGGGGCGTTCGTGCGCAGTCCCTGCAGCCCGGCCACCACCTCCTGGCCGAGTGCCTCACTTCGGCGGCGTGGGAATCGGATTCAACTCCGAGGTCTCTGATCTCGCCTCGTACAAGGCCGGCTCCGCGACCTTGGCGCACTGTAGGGTTGCAAAGCTCCGCTTTGGGCTCTCTTCGCGCTGGGCCCTCGGGCTTCCAGGCGCTGTGCTGCTCGCAGCGTCGGGCAGAGGAAACGCATTTGGCTGCCAGGGACCTGCAAAGCGAAGAGCAAAGCCATGCAAAGCCGGGGAATAATACCAGGTAATCGGTGGCTCAGGCCTTGCCGGCGAGGGCCATCCAGAATTCGATCGGAGCCTGCAAAGCGCATGCATTGGCCTTGGCCCCCGCCTTGGCCACGCTTCGAGGCCACTCGCCTCAAACGGCTCGTCCAGCTCTGCAAATGCCGTCAGCACTTCTGCCACGGAGCCGAAGGCAGAATCCTCCAAAGCATCCAGGTCTCAAAAGACTGGCAGGACATGCAATGGGCAGGCTCGGCGGGCAAATGCTTCTGGCTACAGTGGGAAGGGCTCCGAGCATGACTTTGACTCCCTTTCTGACATGCCTAAAGGGACTATGCCTGTCCCAGATCCCTGCAGCGGGGAGCTCTCTCACGTGTCCTCTACTCGCTGCAGTAGGACCGAGTTGACTGCTTTGAGCATCTCGGAGTCCTCGCCGAACACTACGAGCTCACGCGAGGTCTCTGTGTCTTGGGCCTTCTTTGCTAGCTCCTTGTAGTGCAAGCTGGCGAAGGCCTTGCAAAGAACAGCCAGGGTTTGAGGGTCTGCAGCTGCAGCTCCGTACCTGCACACAGAGTCGGGCTGTTGCCAATTATAGACAGCCCTGGAGGCTGCAGGGGGCCTTTCAGCATCTTCCACAGTGGTATAGGGCTGTTCGAACAGCAGCCGGGTCACATGCTCGGCAAAGGCTTTGAGCATGAACTCGCTCACACCTGAAACTCAGAGCTGGCAAAGCATGAAATGCCACTGTACCTCCTCACTCGGGCGGTGGCAATTAAAGTGGGCATACGCATTCAAGATCACGGCAGTCTCCACCAGGGATAGCTTGTCCACATCATCAATCAGTTCCTTTGCAAGCAGGAGTAGGCGGCGACGACTAGCGCCAGTCCTTCTCATTTCCTGCTAAGCCTTTTTTTTGCACTTTGATGGAGCATGTGAATTCTTCAAGGCGTCGAGCTTAGCATGCCATGCCCAATCCTGCTCAAGAAAACCAGCTTTGAGCCACAAGTAAGAGTGATAGACACGGCATGCGACCAGCGGAACACTCTCTCCGGAACTTTGGTGTGGCACATCCATTCAGTGAAGCTCTTTAGAATCGAGGCTCTCGAGAGATGGTCTTCATCAGGTGGGTGTGGCGGTGGTTTGCTGTCAGGAGCGTGTCCACGATTACAGCCAGGTCACCTGCGCGTGCAACTTTTGGAAAGTGCTCAAGACTGCTGCAGGTTGCTCAGGCGATGCCAGGGCCTGCCTACGTCCATAATGTCGCGCAGTTGGACTGTCCGCTCGGCGACCTATCAACCCGTGTGAGACCCGCTTGCAAGGGCACGAGCGCTCTTCGTGAGCTCCGAAAGCTCCCCGCCTGCTGCCAGAAGACTTTGTCCTGGACAAGCGCAGCGCTACGACGCTACGATCATACGATCATTCCTGCAAGGCTCTGCAAGGTGCAGTGGGAGAACAGACTTCAGGCTCTGTTCCGCCGCGTCTCCTCCAAGCGCTCGACTTGCGCGCGCTGCGCAGTGTCCACAAGCGCCCGAGGCGAAAGGAGCCTCGGCGGGTCTCTTGAGTTGCGAGAAGCGCCATGCCATCTCCTCCGTTCCTCTCTGCTCTCTGATGCTCGCTGCGGCCTCGAGACGAAGGCTCGGGCCAGCCTGGTACCTGGACGCCGCTCATGGGACCCCCAAGGTAGCACCTGCCAGCTGCGAGAAGCAAAGAAGCGACGTATTTCTGCAGCTCCGCGCTGCGGCCAGGGAGCCATTTACCACGCTGCCGCTGGCGAACGCGCTGGTACTTGTGATGCTGCCACTTGTACGGGTTCTTCTCCCAGGCATTGATGTAGTAACGAGGCACAACCTCAGGTCATGTAGTGCAAGCCGACAAGTGAGCATCGGTCGCAACACATATGCGAAGGCCTTAAAACCAATGCCCAGTAAAGTTTCAGCTGCTTTCAAACGTGCGACAGCATTTCTTGACATCAAGCAACAGCACACACTGTGCTTCTGCCAGCTCAAGGCCCAACGGGGCACAAAATGAACAAAAAGCTGTTCGTGACCGAGGGGCACGAGAAAAGGAGTGCAAAGTAGTGCAAAACTTCAGAGGCGATGCCAAGTAAACCTGCACGATCGCGAAGAACCCCAGCTGTTGACTGCAAACAGCCAACTGCGATCTGTCACAGATCCGATAACAGCAACTCGAAGAGCATACGGTAATAGCAATACCTAGTGTGATTTGTCACGGACATGCGTACATGTGCTTCTGTGTCTTGGTTAGGATTCACGCCAACTTTGTCTCACTACGCAGCTTGACAGCTCAAGACCGACTTTGCGTCAGGTCCAGCAAAAGGTCCGCTAGCACCTGGGGGTTCTAGTGCTGCCTTTCCGCTGAGCGTCAAACTTACGGTTTTAATCTCTGATCATCCTTGCTTTGCCTGCTGCCTTGCTTTTATCTACGATTGGTTGCCTTGGGCTTTGTGACCGAGAGTTGAGTGGAATCCTCCGCTTTTCACAGGTTATCAGCCGTAGGGCCTCCGCATCCGATTGTGGATTGCTGCTTCGCTGCTGCTGCTTGGCACTCGGACCGCCTGATCCAATCAGCGTCCGATCACTACCGTTTTCCTGGCTCAGACCAAGTTCGGAACTTGTGATTGGCCGCGCCACCGAGAGAATGGCGACTCCGATCGGTTCTCCCCGTGTCCCCTCGACTGTCGGTTCTTCACTAGTGACGCCAGTTGCTCGGGATGTCGTGGAGCCCGATGATAGTGCCCACGCATCTCGCTGCACTGCGCCCGCCTCGCACGCTTCGCTCGCTCGCTCTGCTTCGCTGCTTGCTTCGCCGCCTGCTGAGGACGATCAGAGAGCTCAGCACCATGCGCCGCCTTTGCCATGCTCCGCTGCTGCTGCTTTCGCAACGCCTGGCACGATGCCCGCCGGCATGCTGCCTGCTTCTGCCACTGCTCGTGCTTTGCCTTTGTTGCCTGCCTTTTCTGCGTCCGCTGCTCCTGCTGCTTCCGCACCTACTCCTCTTCCGACCGATCTTTCAGCTTGTCCTCTGTCCCTTCGCGGGGATCCAGAGGGCGCTCGGGCCCTTTTTGGGTCCGGGCCGGACGGCCGTGGTCCACCGATATCGGACCCGGCGTCCTTCCGCCCACCGCGCCCCGATTCCTATGGGCCGGTGGCTGGCCGCGGTGGAGCCTCGCTCCCCGATGAGCCCATGAGCGAGCATCCGGGTGCACCCCATGATTCCGTCGCAACGATTACCGCGGCGGGTCATGGTGGTGCCGCCCCCGCCATCGATAACGGCGGGTGGCATACCGGACCCTGTGCTGTCAGGGCCCTGGTCGATGAAGCCATTGGGTCGGAAGCATCCGCGCGCATCGCCACCGATATTCTGGCGATCGCGCAGGGTGTGACCAACACCCAGGCCGACCTCGATAGACTGAGGAACGGCGTCTCGGATATCACCGAAGCGCTTGAGAGCAAGATCCGAGACATGTGGGAGCTTCTTCAGGCCGAATTGAGGAAAGAGCGTGAGCTGTTCATGCAGTTTCAGGACTCTTTCCGCGAGAGGCGGATTTCTGATCACGAGACGCTTGAAGATCATTTTGCGAAGCTCACCTCGACGATCAATGATCGACTTATTGAGTTCGATGAGCGGATCCATCAGTTCAACGAAAAGCGTGCTGGATCGCTATCCATGCAGCTTGCCGAGACGATCCGCCACATCAAGCAGTACCCAGACGCGCTGCGGCAGATTCAGATCAATATCTCTAATGCCGAAGCGCGCGTTGCTGCTGTGGAGCAGAATGCTACTCACCGCATCGAAGTCATCAGATCCGAGATGAGTCGCGCTCTCTACGATCATAAGGAGAGTAACCGAGCTCATATCGATCAGCTGACTGCTCGAATCCAGCACCTCGAGAACGCTCATGTCCGCAGAGGCGGTTCTGATAGATCGACGCCTTCGCGTCCAGAACGAACGCAGTTCTTCGATATCAGTGACCATGGTGGGGATATTCCACGCCCTGCGGACCTGCCGCCAGTTCCAGGTGCTCTATTCCCTGGCGGACCGACTACGGCCATTCCGAGGTCTTCCCTGTTGGGTCCGATCGATCATGGCTCTCCGCCGGGATGCAATGCTGCGCCTGCTGAAAAGGCCTCAACGGTTCACTCTCAGACGAGTGGAATCAATCTCGATGAAATTCTGAGGCGAGCGCAGCAACGAGTCGCTGACGGACAACCTGCCGAAAGTCGTGGGCAAAATAATCCTGTTGAGCCCATCCGACATGATTTCGGTCAAACGTCGGTGTGTTTTTCAGGAAGATCGCCGAATCAGGCCGTTCCTTCCGCAAATGCCGCCGGAGCGACTTCCGGTCAGACTCCGAGCCTCAGGCCATTTCAAGTCGATGATGCTCCTCGCGCTGACATCCGACACGTCCCTGAAGCCCGAAGCTTCGCTCCTGAGCCCAGGTCAAGCCCGACCTTCCCATGCCAAATCTCCTATGACACTCGAACTGTCCCGGCAGGGAAGGGACCGTCACGATGGTATGATGCGATGCTTGGCCGATCGAATCTCATTGGCAACGGTGCTGGCGCACCAATTCTCCATAGTGAGACCGGTACTTTTACCCTTGCGCCGAACACGAGCGTTACTGCGACGCTTCAGCATGATGCGGCCAATGATGCCATGCCCCCGATGCCCACCTTCAGTGCCAGAACGTCCATTCCTGCACCCAGTGCCGCGCCATCCGGATTTGGTGGACCGCCTCCCGCGTATAACGGAGGCGGCGGTTATTCTGGTGGTGATGGCCCCAACGATAATGGGGGTGCATATGGCGGTGGCTTCGGAGGACATGGGCACCACGGGTCCGGTTTTGGTCCCGGTGGCGGTGGTGGCCCACCCGACGGCCCACCTGGTGGTCCGCCTGGTGGTGGTGGCCCTCCTGACGGGAGTGGTCCGCCCGATGGCGGCCTTGATCCGCCTAGCATCAGGCCCTCCGGTCGGCCGAGTGGGAACGATACGTTCCAGTGCGAGCGATGCACCGGAACTTTCCCGACCATCGTGCGACGGTCGTGCATCTCTTGCCGTTTCTCGTGTTGCAACGGTTGTTGCCGAGATCCTTTGAGAATCTGTCTCGTGTGTCTTGAGAGACAGACTGGGAATCCACCTGGTCCCAACGATTCGGGATTCGGTGGACCCAAGGGCGATGGATCACTGAGCGAGGCCAAGAAGGCGAAGTGCAAGTCCTTTCGTCTCGATCCTGAGCCGGAGCCTGCTCAGTTGCGACGCTGGATCGTCGATATGAAAGAGCGAGTCGCGAATGCATTCGCCTACGATCCAGGATACGCACTATCATGGGTTGAGATTCCCGATGGTACACGGTATGAGGATCTCCTCGATGAGTGCAAGTACGGAATGCTTGAAAACGAATGCAACTCTGCATTCCGTGAGTGCGTCCGATCTATTGCACTGAAGAATAAGATCCAGACCGAGACCGAGCGCATGCATACGATAAACCGGCGACTCGGAAGTAGGCAGATCTTGTGGCTATTGTACGATTTCCTTCGACCACATGTCACCGGCGATTCGACTTTCAAGCTCGTTGACCTGATGAAGACCACGATTGATCGGTTTACTCATGGATCCGAGCAGGAAAGGTTAGAAGCCTTCTCCAATCGGTGGGATCATGTTCTCGCTGGTATCTCAGTCGATCGCCCCGAGGATCCTGTTCTCTGCGCTCTCTTTTATGAGCAGGTGCGTGAGTTCCGCTGTCTCGAGCTCGACATGCAGCTATGGGACAGGGACGTATCCGTACGGAACTACGCATACTTGCGAACCGTCTGCGTCAATGCGATTACAACTTGGCGCCGTCGACGCAATCAGGAGAAGATGTACACCGCTACGAGGTCTACTTCTGCGCAGAGACGATACGCTGCACCTGCGCACGGCATCCCGCGCAGATCTTCATCCCGAGGTCAAAGGGGGTCAAGATCGCCTGGGCGTCGTGACTCCAGAAGGGGGAGTCCGTACCGAAGGAGCTCGCCGAGGCGCTCGTCACCCAGACGATCCTCCCCGCGACGCGGATCGCCAAGACGATATTCCCGCAGTCCGAGACGAGCAGCTCCCGCGCCGACTCGCCCAATGTCGCGATCCCCGCGAGGACGGGAAATCTGCTACGATTTCAAGAAAGGCAGATGCACGCGAGGAAGCGGATGCAAGTTCTCCCATAACCTGAAGGGAAGAAGCTCCTCGCCGAAGGGTTTCCCGCCTCGATCGCAATCACCGATTTCAAAGGAGTCTGGTATTTGCTTCTACTTTGCACGAGGCACTTGCTCGAGAGGAGACAAGTGTCCTTATAAGCATGTGAAGCCGGGTGCCCCAGCTGAGAGCACCCCTGCTGCCGCTCCTGCGCCTGCTGAGCCCGCGCCGACGTCAAGGCGGGTTGACAGCCCGGCGCCCACGCCCTCGGATTTTTGAGAGGGGCGTGCCGCAACCCTCAGGCAATGACAGCATCCTCCTATGGAGACTTCGCCTTCGCTTGCGTTGCATCATTCGATATGGCATGTCCGTCAGTCAAGCGGAAGACAGTGTCGTTTGGGAATACTGAGACCCGCGTGATAGAGTCTTCTTTCCCGGAGCCAAACTTCGGTCCCGTCAATCGCGAGAGGAATTTGAACTATTCGTGGCCGGAAGATATCCGTGGTCTGAATAGTGCTCGCGAGAGGCGAAGGGCGCACATGAAGGCTGTGCTTTGGAGAGAGCAGGTTTTGCTCGATGACGTTGATGCCAAAACCCTAGGTGATGATGCTTGTGTTCTTGAGCTCACGCTTTCTCAGCGGAGCGCTTGCGAGGTCTTTGCTGCTGCTGTCAAGTCTATTAAGAGGGTCCGGAGACTAATGCTCGACTCCGGTTGCGGTATAGACCTTAATTATTGGTCTTGGTGATCTGTCCCGCGAAGAAAGGGACCTGATAGTTCAGAATGCTAAGATCAGCCTTAGGACCGCCAATGGGAAAACTAACACCAAAGGTGTTGCTCATATGCGCATTGACGGCCTCGATGAGCTGATTGAAGCTTATGTGCTGGAGAGCACACCAAGTCTTCTTTCCCTAGGGAAACGATGCAAGGAGCTTGGTTACCGATTTATCTGGGAACCCTTTTGTGATCCGATATTCTTTGATCCCAAAGGGAGACAACTCAAGATTGATGTTATCAATAACATCCCCTACCTCGCTCCGAGCGAAACCGAGGTAGTCGCGGGTCGACCTGATCTCCCTCGTGTGTATCCGGCACTCCCAGCACCGATCATTATTCACGAGAAGATCGTGGCTGCGGGTGAAGAACCTGTGGGCGAGCTAGACGACATTGGTGAGCTCGATCTTGATATGCCTGGTGCTAAGAGTGCCCAGAAAAGTGCACCTGACGATATCAAGAAGGTGCCTAACAAGCCTAAGCATCAGTCGCCGCCCGATGAACCGAGAGCGCGCGATCTGAGGGAGGAGGCCAAGTCCATCCGTCACCTTATGACCCATCTACCTAAGAATCCCTACTGCGATGCATGCCAACGTGCAAAGATGGAAAACGTTAAATCGTTTCGCCAAGACTCACCACGCGATAAAGGGTTTGAGAAATTTGGCGAGCACGTCACCATCGATACTATGGTGTTGCACGGGCTTGGCAATCGTGGGAATAATGGGGAAACAGATGCTGTTGTCTTCTATGATCTAGCGACCGAGTGGTTAGAGAGTGTTCCCGTCAAGGGGAGGACGAATGCCGACACGCTTCGAGCGTTCCAGCAGGTCTTTGGCGACCTTCAAGATGTGAACTCGTTCTCCATGGATGTGGAGAGAAGGTATGCACCGTCTGCGATCCGGGAAATCTACTGTGATAAAGCCCGTGAGTTCATATCGACCTGCAAAAGAGTCGGCATCTCTGTAAAACATTCCACTCCTGGCATGCCTCGCACTAATGCCATTGCCGAGAGCAAGGTGAAGCTTGTCCTTCATGGCGCACGAGTGGCGCTTCGACAAGCGGGACTGAGCGCCAAATTCTGGCCCTGTGCGTGCAAGCACTTTTGTCATGCTCGCAACATCGAGTTACGCGAAGGACAAAGTGCGTATTCGCTACGATTTAATGGTGCCGAATTTGACGGTCAGGTTCTCCCATTCGGATGTCTTGTAGACTTCTATCCCACGCCGGCACGAAAACAAACCCGACGTAGTCAGAAAGATGAAGTCGTACTCGGCGATGGTGAGGAATATGCCGTACCTGCGCCTGGAAGTGATGGATTGGTCGAAGTCGAGGTTGGATTCGATGATGATGGTTATCTCGAGTGGATCGACGATGGAGACGACGATCGACCTGGATCCCTCCAAGGACCGGACATGGATCAAGGCCTATCGTCCTACCAGCGCCCCAGCAAATTCTCTCCCACGAGCAAACCCGGTGTGTTTCTGGGTTACCACTTCGAGAATGGGGGCAGGTGGGATGGTGACTATATAGTCGCCGACCTTGAAGATTTCAAGCGCGACGCACTGCGTGCGAGCGTCCATCAGGTCAAGAAGCTATACTGCTCACCCAAGGAGCGATGGACATTTCCGATGCTGGCTGTATACGATAAACAGACACGATCAGTGTGCATCAACGATCCCGCGATGCATTCTACTGTGCCTAAGCCAAGTGAGCGTCTTGACGCCTCCGACATGCTCGATCTCGAAGATATCGATGAAATCTTCGCCCTTGATGAGTCAACGCGAATGACCGATGATGATATTCGCCAAGCTCGCGAGGCTGAGTTACGAGCAGAGTCCTCTCATGGAGGAGGTGTTGACTACTGGGAGTATGACCCATCTGTGCATAAATGGACGTATCACGTCGTTGTTCCAAGGAAAGCGATGGTTCATCCCAGTAAGACTCCCGGTTCCGTCGGGGAGTCGCCTGATCCATGGAAGCTGAGCACGGTGCGTATATCACATGTTCAATACAAGGACAAAAGCCCGGTTACGATCTATGAGACCGGGTATGCCTTCGGCAAAACTAGACTCATGCAGCTCTGGACCGGCACTGTCGAATTTTATGATGACGGCTATGCCCCACCCAAGAAGAAGTTACCTCCATACCACGGGTCGGAGATCCTGGAAGGCGAGGGGGGTTTGCCTTATCGTCAGAGTGTGCCGCGTTCCGAGCGGGCATATAAAGGGTCTCGAAAACCGAACTCTATCGATTCAGAATCCTGGCGCAGTATGAACCGCGCCGAACGGGAGGGATATGTAGAGGCTGAGCGCCGAGAAGCTGAGTCTCATGCCATGTCCCGAGAGGATTCTCGCGATGTTGCTCCTGTCGACATCGCTTACGATTCTGAATATGAGTCGGGTGCCGAACGGCATGACAAGGATTACTGGTATCACGATGTCGCAGCTGGCACGATCACCCGATTTCATGTGATCGAACGCCGAGCGCGCTTCAACCCTACCTCCGTCAAAGATTGTCCCGTTGACCCTGCAACATTGACCGATGTCAGGATGACTATGGCCATGACTGACGGTACCGAGTTCACGTTGCAGGACTCATGGAGATCATCCGACACTCGGTCTCTGCCGTGTCGATGGACGGGAAAGACGGTCTTCGTTATCGGTTCTTCCGCCAAAACGCAGATTAAAGTTCGAACCCGTATGCCGAACGCCGATGACACGGGGCGCCGCGTGCAGACTGCGAATGGCTATTATGGACACGCATTGCGTGCAAAGGGCCGTACTGTCGTACCTGCCAAATCTCGCGCCTGTGTCGTTACGGATCTTGAGTTTGAGCCCCCGGGTGGTATGTCCGCCCGTCTTCAGCCGCTTCGCGGCAGTGGCCTCGATGTTTGCCCGGCCATGTACACATACAATGAAGGGGCATCTCAGCCCGGTGTTGACGTCCTTAATCCTACCGACTACGACATTATAGTCGAGCCCGGACAAGACGTTGCTGTGGTTCAGTTTTACACTTCCGTTCTGGCAGCGGTTGAACTCGACTTCACCGCAGAAGACGTGGCATGTGATGTTTCTGCACCGGTTGAACCATCCGATGACGGCAACGCTGTTGATACAGCACCTGCAATGCCTGTCCGCCCTGATCCTCACTCACACCGATCTCCCGATTCATCGGTCTTCTTCTACAGTGCGTGTGTTGCACGGCCCGTTGACCGAAAAGAGCGTGCCGCTAATCCCAAGGCGAAAGCCGCCCTTGACAAGGAGTGGAATAAGCTCATCAACCAAGGATGTTGGGATTACGCATCCGTGCGTGAGTGGCGCGATGTGTCTAACGAGGCTATGGCGAAAGGGGAAACGGCCCACGTTGGCCGTATCTTCGATATATGCGTTGAGAAGAATTCCGAGCTTCCGGAGTCCGACCCTAATCGCAAATTTAAGGGTCGAGTGGTGTTCGAAGGATGTCATGTCAAAGACGAGGGCAATAATTGGGCTATTTTCTCCGAGATCACTTCTTGCCCCGCGACCATGGAAGCTGGAAAGGCCGCCGATGCTTTCGGCCTTCTTCCTGGTCACGAAATACAGGTTGCCGATGGAGAATCTGCCTATACCCAGGCTAAGCTTGGTGGCCCGGCCACATGGGTCCGCTTGCCCAAGGATCGTTGGTTGCCCGAGTGGCATGGCAAATATCACGATCCGGTCGTACGCCTAGTGTTGGCTCTTTATGGGCATCCGGATGCCGGTGGTTTCTGGGAACAGCACTGTGAGAAGGCTCTTCGTTCAGTTGGGTTCGAGCAATGTCCCGACTGGAAAAGTGTGTTTCGTCATCCCAACCTTAATCTTATGCTCGTTGTCTACGTCGATGATTTTAAGCTCAGTGGACCAAAGGCCAATCTGGCAAAAGGGTGGGAGCTCATGGCATCGAAGATTAAATTGGAGCCGCCCTCGAGCATCAAACGTTACTTGGGATGCGAGCATGTTACTTTCTCCCACGTTGTCCCTAGTGCCTTTGATCCGCGCTCCTATTGGACGCGCTTCGAGGAACCCAAGAAGGCGTTTCCCGAGCTGACGTTTGGTGATCGCGACACCAGTGTCGCGCAGGGCTCTGTTGGTCCTCGAGAAATTCGCATGATCAAATACGATATGCGATCGTTCATGGAACAATGTGTTTCTCGCTATGTTGAGCTCTGTGGCCCTAAGTATAAGGCCACCTTGCGGTCGGCTGATACGCCCTTCCTCGATGAATCACGACCGGAGTTCGATACCAATCCGGATCGACCTGCTGTGAACCGCTTATTGGGCCATCCCGCTGACACGCCTGTGCCTCCTGGTAAGGGCGTTCTCGGCGACTGTGCAGCCGCCGTTCTGATGAAAATTCTATATGGTGCTCGCATGGGGCGGTACGATTTAATCCGTCCTGTGCAGGCACTTGCCAGTCTCATCACCAAGTGGGATGGCTTGTGTGATAAGAAACTCCATCGACTGGTGTGCTATATCAACTCTACCCTCGATCTCAACTTGTATGGGTGGATTGGTGATGCACCCGAGATGCTGGAGCTTGTGCTCTACTGCGATGCCGATCTTGCGGGTGACCGCACTGATTCCAAGAGCACCTCTGGTGTCTTTATGTGTCTTCTTGGGCCGCGTAGCTTTATGCCTCTTAATGCTTTGTCCAAGAAGCAAACTTCTGTGTCGAAGTCTACCCCCGAGGCCGAAATTGTCTCTCTTGACCACGCTGTGTATAAATTAGGCCTGCCTGCTCTATCTATGTGGGAGTATATGTTGGGCCGCCGTTTCCGATTGCGGGTCATGGAGGACAATGAGGCCGCTATTCGTGTCGTTATCACTGGTCACAATCCGAACATGCGTCACATGTCTCGTACCCAGCGCATCGATATCTCTGCGTTGAACGAGCGTTATCACGCTGGGGATTTTCTGTTCGTAACGTGTCCCTCTCAATTTGAGGCTGGTGATATTCTGACCAAGGCCTGCACTGATGCTAAGGTGTGGGGCCGCAACCTTATGTCTATTGGTCACTTTCGTAAGGGTACTCTTATTTCCTCCGGTATGCTGTCTGCCGCTCCCGCTCTCCCTGCTCTCCCCTCTGTCTGTCCAACCAGGGGGGTACATCTTGAAACCGGACACAGCCCCTTCAACGATTTCATCCTCGACATGTCTCGTCAGGGGGGTGTTTCAATCGATGATGCTCACCAATTCGGAGCAGCAGTAAAATGTATTCATATCGGAGGCGAAGGCATAATCCGATTCCCTCATGCTCGAAGTATCAATCTCAGTCTCGATGATAATGCAAAAGGGATTGCTATTTCGAACATCAGGGTCCCGCCTACGCCTGCGGTATGTATTGTCACTGTTCCGATTGCTGGCACCGCTAACAAAAGAGAAGCTGGTTTCAAGAGCAGGGGTTGGAAAGAAATGAGGGGCGACCTAAAGGAAAGAGGATGGGAAGCCAAGAAATTACTCGGGTATGCTTCCGCTGCCCGCTCATCCGGAATCCCTGTGTTCCTAGTGCTGCCGAAGGGAAACCCGTTGTGGGGTAGGGAGTATATACGACGATGGTCTGAGTCGCACGAGCTGTGCCCTGTTAAACTGTGCTCGTGCTCCTCTGGTCGATGTTCCCAGCATGCATGGATGTGTGAGATTTTCATGCCTGCCCGTTTTGGGCCCATCTTCATGTCACGATTTGCATGCAATCACAAGAAGGTCAAAAGGGCCGACCCGAAGGAGCTTCGACTTGCATTGTGGACTGTGCTAGAACACTTCATAAATTCTGCAATCTTTGGCTCACAGCAATCCGCGTAGCCGATTGCTTAAACAAAGACGCCAAGGCCATGTTCACACACACACACACACTTGCACACTTACACTTGACACAACTTGGTAAGGAGCTCTAGGGAAAATGATCATAGATCACCTTCATCAACCGACCATCACAGACCACCTCTACTACGACCCAGTCTATAGCCCACTTGCGCTCCCTGCTAGGACAGGTTGTAGCTGCCACGGGCTGCGAACTTCCCCGCGCTGCTGCCGCTGCTGATCGATGGGAGGAAAGAACAAGCAGCCACCGAAGAAGGCTGCTGCCAAGACACCGGCTGCCCGATCACCCCAGCCGAAGTCTCCCTCGCTATGCAGGGAAGGCCTTCCGAGCGGTGCGGTCGCACCGACTACGGAAAGGCCTCCTGTTCCGCCGATTCCCACGGAGCAGGATGATTCCAACATGGGTACCGATGAAGCCCCTGTCCCGATTCAGACCCCGAGAGATGAGTCCACAGGGGGTGGAAAGCGCTCCGAGGACATTCCGATAGGATTGAGGATGAAGATGATGATGCTGAAGATTGGGATTCAAGAGATCCCACAGGCCTCAATCTGGCAACGCCTCGAGCAGCTGACATGCAACTCTGGGTACGATCTCAAGCTGCACCAGCTGGTTGACTCCTTCCTTCTCACTACTCATCCGCTTGCGGATAAGCAGAGGAAGCAGTACCCCCAAGAGTTTATGGATTTCATCGACCGATACAGGGTGATGCGCGCTCTTGCATTTTCCCGAGTGGCGACGTTGTCTGGTGACGCCGCGGGGGTCCGCGAGAAAATGGACCTTACGATGGCGCTGGCTCGCCACTGTATGCTTTTCCAGGCGCAAAGCTTTAAGGGATCCCGAGATATGCTGAGCAACGATACGCTCCAGCTCATGGGAACCTGCTACATCCCGTCGCCTCTTGCGAGCTGGAACCGAAATCTCATGGGATATAGCAGTTCGACTGCTGAACAGCGATGGTTTAGGACCGATACGAGTATCAAACACAACGACCTCACCAAGCTGTCGCCCATAGAGTTGTCAAGGGAGGCGGTCAGCCAGGCTGAAGCTGTGAAGTTCTTCAAGGGATTTCTGCAGCTCAGGCCGACGCTATCATTCATCCCTGGAGCGTTTCTGGCGCTCAAGGCTCTTAACCGATTTCCCACGCTGGACTCTTTGAAAGAGCAAGCAACTCACCTCGATAACGATCGCAAGGAACACGGCTACGATCTTCCTGCCGTGGACGCGAACGGGATCGGGGAAGCAGCTGCCTTTCGCAACCGAGAATACCCCGTTGATGCGCGGGTGGGTCTCGTTCATGAAAGCGATGGTTGAGGCCTACCCCGGCCGGTGCGTTAGCATCGATGATACGCTCAACTGGGGAGCCAGCACCCCTATGACCTATGAGGACGGTGCGGGGCAGACTACCATCCGCCCGACTGATGGATGGGTGTATGTCCCCGCGATGAATTCGGACATATACGATCCTCAGGAAACGTTCCTTCACGGAACGAACCTCCGATACCTCTGGTCGATTCTTGCACACGGAGGTCTGTTCGGGGAGGATTACGTGACGGACGATCATGGAAGTCACGAACCCTGTGTCTGGGTGACTGGACACGCTTCCGAGGCTGCCAGTAGCTACGCGTCTGGCACATACCTCGGAGGAGGATACTGGTTTCAAGTGATGATCTGCGTCTCCCGGACTGTGGTGAACACCCACGGTCGCACGACGAAGAAGCTGGGAGGATCCCAGAAACAGATCCGCGTCGGAACTCGATTCCTCGAGCTGTGCGGGATCGCGTTCAGGCCCTTCCGCCTTCTGGATGACCGCGAGCAAGGGGTTTCTACCTCTCCACAATACGTCATCCATGGTCACCGATTCCTTAGTGCCGACGGGACAAAAGCTGTGGCCTGGCACCCATGGATGGAAGCGAGCCCGATTGATCCTCGCATTCTGAAGCTGCTGGGAGAAAGCGTCGCTCGCGACAGTGTCGAGTTTGCCGACCTCACGATTCAAGGGGGCAACACTACTCAACAGGTTGCTTCCACCGAGACGGAACAATCTAGGGCGACCGCGGCTGACGATCAGGCTGCGGAGGGTGAAAATGAGGCGACGGATCGAGTCACAGTCCACCCAGCAGTGCTTCGCCGCAACCACTGGATGCCTGACTCTCACGGGACCAGTGAACACGCCACTGTCGGTGGCAGGTATGCCTTGCTATCCGAACTTCAATCCTCCAGCTACCGATTCGAGCTTGCTCCATTCTTTCAGCTTCGAGCACCCATCATGGGAGAGGAAGGAAGCCAAGGTTTGCCAAAGCCTGCAAGGCTCGAGACGATTGTCGGAGGACCCTCCAAGGAGTGGGAGGCATGGTGCAGACACTACCGAAAGGCATACGGTGTCATGCTCGGGAACTTCGGCTACACGCCCGCCAAGAGCCTCAAGAATATCCCGTACAGTGAAGAAGGAACAACGGATATTGTTAGTGCGCCGATTTGGGGCTCGGCCGATGCACTTGTGGCCGTATCGATCCATGGGGTCAGAACGGTCACGACCATGGCCTCCACGATTGCATTTGGGGGTGCACCGCCAACGATCAAGCCGGCGGTGCCCAGCAAACCGCAGAGATTCGTTGTTATGCACGATGGCCTGCTGTCCTTCAAGTCTGCCAAATCTTGGCATGATGGTGAGATGAACGCCCATCTGAAGAACGCGCTGACGAATTTTGGGTTTCCTGATTCCGAGGTGCGCGTGCAGGCGTTCGACGAGGACAACAAGCTCAAGGATATGGTCGACACTCTCGCGATGATGCAGAGCGAGACCTCCATCCCGCCATCGAATGTGCACGTCCTCATCCTTTGGAGAGGAGAGGATCTGTGGAAGATAGACCAGGGCTGGAACAAGCTAACTGGCGATATCGATATGGCACGATCTCAATATGCCAAGACGACCGCCCGGGATGCTCTCGAGAAATACAATACGATCTACGGATCGGTGTCCCTTTGCGGTCCGGTGTCGCCGAGCATGGTGTACCTTCCGACTCTCCCTGGCCCTCTCTTCGAGAAATACAGAGAGGAGATGAGATCGATCTGGGACGCGATCAGGAGATCCAACCTCCTTACCCTGTCTTTTGACGCTATCCTGGAAGGTCTGCCATACCTGAAGGGATATCATATTATGCATGAGTCCAAGACGATTGGGGTCCTATGTACCCGCATTTGCTCGATGTTCACTCTTGCTGCTCTCGCACGATTTCCGTCTTACGGGACCCGCCGGGAGTATGAGATCGCTGCCGAGAAGATGTGGGCACGCACCCCAGTCCCGGAAGAGAACTCGCCGGGCGCGGTGAAGGCCATTGTGCACTCCACTGTGCAGGACCTCATCGATGGTGCAGATCGCGGCGCCGATCATCAAGCCGCAGAGACTGTCGACATGTCTCAGCTAGGTTTCGATGATGACGATGATGACGATATGCCTGACGACGTAGGTCCGACCGCTCCCGGGAATCCGATCAAACAGGAACAGGGAACATTGGCGGATCTACCGGGTGTTCGTCATCCGGATCCGATCGCGCTGCCAGCTACTCCCGTGCCTGGCGAGGCAATGCCAGTGTCACCTGGCCTTGCTCCGACTGCCATGAATGATGAAGAATCTGGCAGCAGTTCCGATGAGAACGATCAGCAAGGGGATGGTGACGCGGCAATGCCCACAGTCAAAAAGGAGGAGTCCGATGAAGAGTTCAACGGGCTTCTCGAAGGAATGACTGAGGAATTCGCGAAAATGCCCGCTCCTCGAGATGCCGAGCGAACTGTCGCTGCCAATCGGGACGCTGCACGACCGCCTGCCGTGCCCTCGATTCCTCTCTCTACGATGAAGAAGCCGAAGCCGGTTGGTGGCGAGGAAGCCGCGGGGCCCACCGCTGACAATCGACAAGCTTATGCGCACTTCGAGAGCCAAGTCAGTGAAGCTGAAGCTCGCCGCGAGCAAGCTGCGGCAATGAAAGCGCATATCGCTGAAGTGGCAAAGGGCGCCGCCGGTGTTGAAAATGCCGAACATCTTCGATCCATTGCCGATGGGCTAGCCAAGGTCTTGGACCCGAACATGAGCGATGACAATGTGTTTCAGGGTGCCTTGTATCCCCCGGGTGACTATGCGCTTGACGCTGTCACGAATCGACTGGCTCAAGGCAGACGTCGGGTTGAATCGAACAGCAATCTCATCAGGGAGATGGCCAGCGACCGATTCACACCTGTGCTCATCAACCGAGACACTGGTGAGACTGTGTCTGCCATCGATGCACGATGGACTCCAGAGTATGGAAACAGGGGGGAGCTTGAAGCTAAGGTTGGTGCGATCATTTCCAACCTGGATGCAGTGGTTGCAAGCATGTCAACCCTCCCTGTGTTCCATCCGCACATTCCGTCGACGTATGGTATGGCTCGATCGCTTCTCAACACATACCAGTCGTTGCAGATTGCCATCCGACACCGTGGCATGGGTGCGATGTCCTTTGAGCAGATGGTATTCAAACCAGAGGACCTTGAGGTTCCGACCCCCGATGATTGGCCGGACCTCATCGCGCCTACCCCTGGAAAAGTCATTCAATCCATGCGGGTGGCCCTGGTGAACAACACGGCGGCAAGGTTGACGAGAGAGGACCTCAAGCTGCCACCGGGCTTCGCCATGCAACGACTGAGTTCCGTAAGCCGGAGGAAGATCCAGTGCAGAGCCTGATGGGGCTCACCGATGACTTGAGCTACGGCACTACTGGTCGATCTGGGGATGACAGATTGTCCCAGTTCCAGCGTAGTATGGCAGTACAGCTGCGGAACACTGCTGGATTCCTTGCGAGTGAGTTCCAGAAGCATGCCCGATCTATTGCCGCTTCTTCCTCGCGTCGCAGTGATGCTTCAGGTGCCCTGAGTAGCCAGGGTGATGGCGCGGCGGACAACGATCTTCCGTCCACTGAACAGGTTAGTGTTGCATCTGAGCGCGCGATTGCGCCGCCTCCGCCAAACGTGGCTCCTCCTCCTCCGCCTACTGCGGCAGCACCTCCGAGGGCGTCCGAAGAGAGTGCAAAGGAGGATGACGATGATACCATAATGGATGATGACACGGCCGGTCAGAAACCCGAGCAGAAACCCGAGGAGGACGCAGATATGGGTAGCGGGAAGGAGCTGCAAGACGAGGTCCCCGGCAAGGCCCCGCCGCCAGCTGCCCGAACCGCTGAGAGCCCTCCGGAACACGGCCTGCGTTCTAGTCCTCCGAATGACATGGTTGCTCAGGGAGCCGCGCTCTCCGGTGCTCGAGGACCGGAAGTCGATATTGATCCGGCCAGCACCACAGCCGATCAGGCGGCAAATGATCCGAGAAACTGCCGGATCGAGGGCCCTGGTATCAAGGCGACAACGATTCATCGCCCCGATCAGCTGCCCGAAAGGGGTATTGACTCCATTGCGCCGATCGTGCAGTACGAAATGACGTCTGTCCCGATTGCACTGCCAGATTTCGTCGTTCCGGGACTCGACATGGGCATCGATGACTCCGTCCATGGTCGATTGGTCTCTGCGACCTGTCTCCCACCGACTGACGAGCAGCGCAAGTACTCAAGACGCCGATTTGCTATGCTGTCCTCGAATCAGACAGTGTACTTGGGTATGGCGCTTCACAAGAAACCGCTTAAAGGAGAACACGATTCTTTCCTCCGACCGGAATCATATGAGGACTGCCGCGAGATCCATGAAGCTGTCCGAGCCTACAATGCCAAGGAGGCGACATACCGATCTATCGGCGGAACATCAGTGTCATGCAGCCGATTGCTCATCGATGACGCACAAAATATCCCTGCCGCCAGGATTCCGGACGCAGGCATGATCAGTTTGGTGCGTAAGCTGCTGTTCCGAGTGCTGACGCAAACAAAGGAGCGTCCATCCTCGAATGCCGTCGGAGCACAGAATCGCCCCCAGGACAAAGAGAGGGGCGTCCCATTGTATTCATTCCTCGACCAGAGTGGCATCATCGCTTTCGATGTCATTCCGATGTACATGGAACGCGAGAGGGAATACATGAAGGCCAACGCTGGCGAGTTCAGCGGCCGGACGCTTCTCCAGACTAGCATTCTGGACGATGACGATAAGCCGAGTGAGCTCACCGTCCAGTGCATTACGGAAATTGCTCGAACGGACAACAACCGAATGTTTGAGTTCTTCTACTCGACGATCAACGACGATGGAAGTCCTCAATTTGTTGGCGTCCGAGCAACCTATGGTTTCGGTCCCGATAACTTCAACCGATTTCGATTGCTGATCAAGTGTCAGCACGGGCCATTCACTCAGCTCGCTCAAGAACATTATGTCAATGGCGAGAGGAGACGAAATGTGGCCCGATATCATCCCCAGTACGGATGGGGATGCGCAACGATTCGCGAGTTCTTCGGATACATGAACGATTGCAAGCTCAACCCCCCAAAGGGGCAGCTCTTCCTCACACTGCTCCCGTATGCCCCTGGATCTGGGAAGAACAACGAGTGGGAAGAGGTGTACATGAACGTCCGAATGAACCCGAAACGTGAGACGCTCTCGAACACCGCGTCATCACAAAGCATGCTCCCCGAAGGTATGGGATCCAACCGCATGATTGTGTTCGCGATTGATTTGCACATGATTGCAGCAGGTATCAATCCGATTGCATTCCATCCGAGAGGGTACTATGCGATCAAGGACAGTATCCCTCTCGCATGTATGCCGATTGCATACTTCATGGATACGGGATCTCTAGTGTTCAACACGGCCTTCAAATACATCGGAGGCCCGACGTTTGGCACTGGACCCAAGAGGGGAGACCACAGACGAGAAACGTGGCCACTAGCTAGCTTCGACTGCCCCATGTGCGGAGCTTCATTCCCTGTTGGTCTCCATATGTGTCACTCTTGCACTAAGCCGATTCACTATCCTGATGGGATGTTCTACGCCGATCCTGTGAACCCCTTCCAGGTCGAATATTACGGAAGTCATGCTGAGTGGCTCAATGATCTGATCGAGCGTAACAAGCTCACCGAATTCCAGCTTCACGAGTTTCCTGCGATCAAGCAGCTGAGGAATTTCCCGGTGTCTAGGTCTCTCGCTGAGGACCATAGGCAGACCGCATTCTTCGGAGTGCCACCGATCAAATGCACCGCTGCTGACACATCGCCGAAGGAAGTGGAACTGTTCAAGAGAAGCGTGCGCGGTACGATTCAGGGCGCCATTCGCTTGGACATTTCCATTGAGAGGCTTGTTGCCGCTATCACTGGCAAGGAAGCTCGATGTGGAGTAGAAGACTTCTTCAACTCACAGTCGATCGCATGTGCTGCCACGATAGTCAAGCACTTTGGAGCGGTCTTCGCCACATGTCGCGAAAAGCCGTTGTGCTACTATGCACGTTGGTCGATTCACTGCCAGCGCGCATATCGAGTCTGCCTGTCGCGAGGGTATCTATCCCCCTATTACACAGGTGTGGCGGTCGATTATACCGTCGACCAAGAGATGGCAGAAAAGATCCGACTTGCTCATCTGCCCTTGCAAAACGCCAATCTGGCGATGAGGCGGCACATTCGACTCTCCACCGAGTTTGGAACGTTGGATGAATTCCGTGCCACTATCACGGATACGCAAAAGTATCAACGATATATGCGTGTCGACAGTGAGAGCCTTTCCGCGCTCCTGGCCAAGGTTACCCTTACCACATGCTACGGCATTCCGACAAAAGGTGAGCCTGGCTATATCTCTGACGATGAAGCAGAAGAGATCGAAGGAGCCGCAGCGGCAAGCGAGAAGCCCAAGGGGAAAGGCAAAGGGGAAGACGAATCCAACGTCCAAGCCATCAACTGGCGTGAGTTGGATCCCTTAGGACGGAAACTTATTCCGCATCACTCTGATCCCCGATTCACGATTATTGCTGAGGGGAATACGGCACTCCTTGATGCAGCCGAAACGCCGGAAGAGACGCGTAAGGAATTCAAGGAGTTCGTTCGCGATCACTCTGTCAAGATCAAAGAATGCTTTGACGATGATCGTGCGACAGAGAAGACATTCTTCAATCTTGTTGAAGGTGTCAAGGATCAGCTTCCCGATGCAAATAGCACTGACCCGCTTCTGATGAAAAGGGCTGAGGACGTCTTCGAGGCTCTCCCCGATGAACTGGATGATCCTCCAAGAGTGTTCGATGTTGCGGCTCGCCAGGCACGGCGGCGAGACCCTGCACCTCAGCGCAGAGTGCAGGTCACCGAGCAAAGACAAGCGCCGATCCCCGAGGCTCATGCCGTTCCCATTCCTACGGATGACGAGGATGAGGATGATACTGAGCTCGATCGAGCGGTACGACCCGATCCAACATCACAGCGCACCGGACGAGAGCATCACGGAGGTGTCGCTCCCGAGACGACTCCGCCACCGCCTCATAACATGCCGCCGCCATCAAATTTGCCGACTCGAAAATCACATCGGCAAACAGGCTACGGCGCCGCCCATCCTGATGGAGAACCGTTAATGGTGTCGGGGAGGGCAGAATACTCCGATCGGATGCGGTTGCCCTCAGTGTTGCGAATGAAGACTCGGGTTCCGGAGTCGGATCTGGATAACCCGACGATTGAGGACATCATTCGCATGTATCATGCGCCGAACACGCTTTCCATCATCAGGAAGAAAGCCGCAGCCGTCATCATCGCGATGGGCGCAAATCCCGATGACGATATTAATATGAGGGCGGCTGGCGTTACTGTTCCCCATACCGGGAATGCGGGGACGGGGCGAGCAGCATCGCCTGGGAGTACGTCCGCTGCTACACAGGAGCGGATTAATCCCCAGTTCCCGGCACCTAGCGTTCGCACTGCGTCGAATCCGCCATCGAAGTTGCCTCGCGATGAAAAGTGGGCTCCCTCGATTGCGCGACCAGCGCCAGCTCAGGTGATCAAAAGTGCAGAAGCACGGGGACGCACGCAACAGCGTGCTGCTGAAGAAACGAATGTTGCTCCGCCAGCTCCTTCCGATACTGCCTCTTCGGAGCCGCGATCTCGAACGATGGGCCCAGCCAAAGAGACCACGGCTAAGGGCAAATCCCGAACCGGATCCAACGTGACAGGCCTCATCGATGAAGCTGATGACACGAGGCAGCCGACGAAGGGCAAAGGAAGAGGGAAAGCCGAGAAAGGAAAAGGAAAGCAGGAGAAAGGCCGAGGAAAGGGCGATAAGGGAAACAAAGGAAGGGGCGGTTCTGGACGAGGAAATAAGGACCGCACCCGTAGCCCCACAAGTCGTAGGTAACGACCGTCAACATACGTAGCGACGTATTGTGTCACTGCAAGGTGAATCCGGTTGAGTCTTTCTGACCCTTGCGTCACGCGATTACGGGGTCAGGCGGAGTCTGATGGTGAAGCCCGGCTATGACACAATTTCCGCTACTTCCTCAGCCTTCCTTGCCTGCGCCGCGCTGAGAAGACCCACAGGGGTACAATGGTTAGCCATGGTATTTTCCTCGTGTGTCCCTCTCTTTTCACGGACACTCGATGCTGCCGAGTCTACACTCTGAGCGCGTTGAGTCTAGTGTGTTACCCCCGCATAGATCCGATGGAACATCCGATTGCCAACGATCACACGGCAATTCGCTATGCACCTGACGATCACAAAAAGGCTGCGTCTGTACAGAAGTGAAACATAGGTTTGATCCGGATGCAGAGACCGACCCACATCTAATGGTGCTTACTGCTTTAAGCTTAGCTGACCGGAAGAAGTGTGGCTCGGTGCACAACCAGTGTACGTGACTCTCCTCAACTCCGCTCTTCTCACGCGTGAGCTCGCGTCGAGGGGGGTGTGATTTGTCACGGACATGCGTACATGTGCTTCTGTGTCTTGGTTAGGATTCACGCCAACTTTGTCTCACTACGCAGCTTGACAGCTCAAGACCGACTTTGCGTCAGGTCCAGCAAAAGGTCCGCTAGCACCTGGGGGTTCTAGTGCTGCCTTTCCGCTGAGCGTCAAACTTACGGTTTTAATCTCTGATCATCCTTGCTTTGCCTGCTGCCTTGCTTTTATCTACGATTGGTTGCCTTGGGCTTTGTGACCGAGAGTTGAGTGGAATCCTCCGCTTTTCACACCTAGTAATACAATACTGCAGGACTTCCTTTCGGACTCAGACTCAAGACAACCCCCCGAATCCCCGAACCGTCCGGCCGCGCGGTATGCGTTGCTCAACTCGCGGCTGCGCAGCGCCATGTCCGGCCCCAGGGGGTGCCCGGAGCTACCTACATTGTGATCTTCGGGCGGCCGCTCCTGGTGAACCCTAGGTCGTGAACACAGTGAAGTGGGCTTCCGTGTCTCGTGCTGCTTGAGCGGTGTTACATGTATTGAACAGTCTGAGGCTGCAGAATCGCACCTGCCTTCCAATCTGTACTCCCGGCTGCCCATATCCGACGTAAAACCCGTCCTCACCCTCCAGCACGAGGCTTTTCGGGCTGCCCTAAGTCCATTCACCAGCTTGCTTCACACGAACTCTGAACTTGACGGAGATTCAGCCAGTGACTGGGGCGGCGGATGGCCGCAACAGAGGGCTGCCTGCAGCTGCGCCGACACTGTCTGAAAGCAACCTGTTCTTGTTGGGCGAGGCCTGCCGCACAGCTCTGACAAAGATCATGTTTGCAACGTCGCATGTGCGAGATGGCTCAGCCGCTTTGCGGACAAGAGTGAGACATCACATATTCCTGTCGCGATCTCACCAAGACAGCAATAGCAAATGTTCAATCCGAATCTATGATAGCCCTACCTGCGATCTTTACGAAGGACTTTGCAGCTCGACAGTCACACCTCATCGGTCTTCGGAGGTCTGGCAACACGACAAAGAAAGACTAAGCCAAAGGGACCTGCTCTCTCATCCACGGGAGCCTGTCCTCAACGACCATCAGAATGCGAAAATCACCAGACGATGCATCACTCATTCCGATGGCGAGCTTAAAAGATGTCGGGACATCGCTCCTTCGATCATGAGCCGTTTTGAGAGGTATATGAATAAAACTCTCTGGAACCTGCAGCAGTGCCGAAGGAGCCAAGCAAACCGGCAATCCGATTTGCGGGAAAAGTTCAGAATCGGAGGTCTTCTCCAGGCTTATTGAAGTGTATTGAAGCGTCTTGCCAAAGTTAACACTTGATCTAAACCAATTTAAGCCGACTGAAGGACCAAAAGACAGGCGCAGACCGGGTGAAGGGGGCCGAAGGAAGACTATAAGACCCGGCGGAGAGACTTGGCCTCCTGCTTCGGGATATTACGCAACACGGGCTTGCGACAGTCTCTTCAGAAGCCTCAACCGGCAAGACCTGCAAAGCGGCGGTCTGCGACGTGTGGCTTGCGGTTCATTCCAACTGCTAGCACTCTGGCAATCTGGGCAAGCTCGTCCTCGCGCCGGCCTGGTTGGGTCGTCATCCTCGGGCAGATCCAGCTCCTCCATGAGCCTCTTCAGGGGTTTGAACCTGAAGCGAGCAACTGGATCGTTGAAAGTGTAGGCACGAGTGACGAGCTTAACCGGTGAACACATCGCTGGCAAGGTACAGCCGCTTCCTCGTCAAGGGTCTGTCTGGCTCCACCATGCCTGCCAGTGTGATCCACTCCCCTTGAGCAAGCTAAAATTTTGTGCAGAAGGTGGATCCGGCATGATCCGGCCGAGGGGCGCTTAATATCGCGAAATTGATCCTCCACGAGGGAGCAAAGCTTCTGGACTTGCAATCCCAGGCGGGTCATGTCGAACATGATGGCCTTACACCACAGTTCGGCACAAACACAACGGTTTGGCATGGATTTATCTTTTCAGTTTCAATGCGCACGGATCCAACCAGATCAGTTTCGCTGCTGCTGAGCTATGCAAAGGTACTTCGGAGTGACAGTGCTGTGGGCGCTGCAGCTCTGCAGCTCCCTAGAATTCTGCATGTGTCGACAGCCGGTGCTTTATCACTGTGCTCCATGAGACTAAAGCAGCTCTCACTTCATGCAATCCGAGGAACAAAAATATCAATGCTTTTCGCATGGCCTTTGAGCTTCATGGTGCCTTGAACAAACTCCTCCACGGTAATGTCACCACCTCGGTCAATGAGAAACACAAACATCATTTTGCCCCAGCGTGCGGTGTGCCAAGCGCCGTCGACGTCCTCCTTCGGAGCTGAGGCAGATGCTGCCGTTCGTGTCCATGAGAGTGAAGATTGTACCTCTGCAATGTAGACGCATGCGTGCAACACACTACATCGTGAGGTGCTCGGTCATTCATGAACGTAAATGTCCAGCCTGCGTCATCGGCCCCAATATCCAGGCCGGCAAAATAAGCCGCAACCCAAGCGTTCTGCTTCAAACACCGGGAAAAAGCCTTCCAATGACAAGTTCTCATCGACTGCTTTTGCTCTTCCGGCCCGGCCTCCAGCGTCAACCGGCCAGAGTCACCAACATCTGCTGAATGAAAGATACCTGCAAACACAGCAATCTGCGATAAACCACCCTTATGCCTCGTCACTGCATGGCTGTGCAAATCGCTTTCCATGACTACATACTGGAGAACTCCGAGCTGCGTTGGACTTCGTCCGACGTCCTTTGAAGATCTTCACGGTACGAATCCACAACCTCAGACACGCAGACACGGCGGCGACAGAAGGGCAGACAGGGCGGAGCTTCCGGAGCCTGGCCTCGTCTTCCGTTCGGGTTGTGACCGCACTGTCCACGAAAATACCCGTGACAACGTTCAGCAATCCCACTAAGCCTCAGGAAACGCACGAACAGCGGGAAGAAGAGACTTTTGCTTGCTTGCTCTGGCGCTCCCCATATCCATTTTGAGTCCGCCGCAAAATCCGATGTAAAAGAGGAACATGCAGAAATACCTGAGATCCCACGGACCGAGTGGTCGCCTACCTGCGCAGCTTTGTCAGCCAGGCTGCAGCTCACCGTAACCACCAGATCCCAGTAGGCTCAGCGTAGGTTGAAAAATCATCCAATCCTGGGGAGAAGATGCCAACTCCGCGAAGCCGCACCAAAGTGTCGATACACTGGCCGAGCCACAGTACCGCCAAAGATCGCACCAAACAAAGTTACCTGAGGAATTGGGTAAGAATGTAGCAAGATAGGATGCAGGGGCAACCTGGAAGCACCGTCAATAATGCAGCCCGGCTTGCGAAGGATGTGAAAAGGGAGCCAAAGGAATCATACACTGCGTCCGCCTGGGCCACAAGACTTCACAAAACCACTACGGAGCCGCTCGATTGCCATCGGCATTTTCCCACAAGGCCCGTGCATCATCCCTTTCGGTGGAGTCGCCAGCATTCACTTGATCAAAATAGGACACAGCAGCATTGCCGAAGATGATGCTAAACACGAACCTCAGTGGTGCGCACCTACACGTGGATGCGTCAACGCTGACAGAAAACAATGCTGTCCCTGTACATGACTGTGTACTTAAACGTTGAACTCGATGTGATGCTGCAGTTGTTCCAACAACAGAAAATTTGCTTGCCCGAGCAGCATTATGAAGCAGATCATGACGAACGCCTAAGACAGGTCTTCACGTTTTGGCAACATGCGGAGCATTCACGAATGTCACAAGACAGGAACCCACAAGCTGCGATCGAAGGTTCCCAAATCAGGGATCCCAGTGAGCTGATCATGGCAAACAACATGGTCCTCCCGCCAGGCATCGCTATGGCAGGATTGAAGCGGGTAAACATTTAGAGCGCCCTTCGCATGCAGTTGTCGGAAGCTGCTAAAATCAACATATTCACAAACCCGTGCCTCAACGATCGGAGCCATTTCACCGTGCGGACGAGTCCTCAGCGGATGGTCGGGCTTGGGCTTTCTGAATCCGGCAAGCGCGCTCCGTGCGGCTTTTTGCACCGCTCGGCGAACTCCTGTTTTTGTCCGGCAATTCTGTGCTGCACGGAGCTTTTAACTGCCCTAACTGTGTTCGTTTACCGTCAACTGTGTCTCTTTATTGTGGTTGTCGGCTGCTTCCCCACCGCTTAACCCCAAACCCCGGAAACCCTAAACCCCAAACTTCAAGCCGTGAACTATAAACTTTCCATTTTCGAAGACGGGCTTGAGCCGAAGCCAGCGCTTGGTAAGACTCGTTGCCCACAGTATTGGCACGGTGACGCGCCTTGATCGCGGCCAAGCGAAGCTTCCATGCCCACTATCTCCCACAGCGGATGTGGCGTACGTTGGGGACTGCCGATGCATCCGTTCCAACCTCCTGGCACTTGACCGACACTTAGGGGAAGGAAGGGCGTAATCGGCGACTCATCCGTAGCAACGTTGAAATCGCCTAGCCACTCGAAGCCAGAGTAACCAAAGACCACAGCACCTCCAAGTGTTGCTTCGTGGGTCGCTCCAGATCGTCAGCATGTCCACAAGTATTGGCCGCCAACAATTTGGTGACCGAGCCGCCGGACTGCACCTCGAGCAGCACGCAGACAACCCGATGTGCCTTTGTCACTCCAGAGAGCGCGGAGCAGCGATGATGCACCCCATCCGAGGGGCCACCGTAAAGGTGCAACCTATGATCCCGAAAAGCAGAGACCACTGCAAGGAGCGAAACCAAATTGACATCAATCTCTTGCATGTACAAGATGTCAACCCGCTCCTCAGCCAGGACCCCACACGCAGCACTAGTTTTTGGGGCCAGGCAACCCAGGGTTGTCTCGGCGCTATGTTTCGCGAGCCTAGGCCAGCATGCTGGCGAGGACGCCCTCGGTCAACCGCTCATTCGCCTCAAAGAGCTTGGCCCTGGCCCGGCTTTGTTTGGCCTTTGTCGCCTTCCCCAACGGCAACAACTGTGCGTGGTCGGGGCATCGGCATCCCAGTAACCGCAATGGTCACAGCTCCAGGCACGCCTCCTAATGACACTCCGGCGTCTCGGTCAGGGTCCAGGGGCACAGCAAAACACTCTAGCCACTGTACTGCTGCTCATAAGTGCCTTGACAAGTGCGTGTTCGCAGCCCATATGCACCGTGTGCGCCGAGAGATCGGCGCTTCTGAGCCTGGGCCCTGTGCAAAGCCTTCGAGCTTGGAGGTCCGATGGGCCCGCATGCCCTTCTCGAAGACCGCAATGGAGCCGTCCGATTCAAGAACAAACAGAGGCATGTTCATGGGACCGGAGGTGCTTTGGTCAGCAATGCGGCCCCGTTGGCGACCGGGAGGAGGATTTGATGGCTGGAGTCGGAGGTGCATGAGGTGCTTGGGCTGCGTGCAGGGTCGGCAATGGTTCGCCCGAGGAGCTGTCTTTAAAAGCCGCCCTGCGAAGACCAAAGTCAAGTCACGCAGGCTTCCCGGCGCTCGGCCACAGAAGCAGCTGTGGTCCATGGAGGGGTCGGGGCGTAGCACCTGAGACGCCTGAACCCTAAACCCCCAAAGCCTCAACCGCAAATCCCGAAGCCCAAGAATGTAATCCCAAACCCCAAACATGAAACCAAATGGACAAAGCCAAAACCCCAAACCCCATCTCCAACCCTACTTCCCAAAACATGAAACCCGAAACCCTGAGCCGTCTGAAAAGACCCAAACCCCAAGCCTTACGCCTCAAACTGTAAACCCGAAAGTCCCCAAACCCAAACCGAGCCTTCATCCGACACTTCAAACACTACGCCCTAAATTTCAGCCCTCAAATTCAAACCCGAAGGAATGGAGTGATCAGCCGACACCAACAAAATCTAAACCCTGCGGACAAGAAGTGACCGAAAGGAATTGATGCAGCTACCGCCAAACTGAAGAGCGGAGCGGTTGATAGTCTGCTTGTGCCTTTGCTCTTCTTTGATAAAGCTCACCACGCTTTCGAGCAGACCCTGACGTGAGCCCTTGCTGAAGCGACCCGGCAGCTCTGGAAGCAAAACTTGCTCCTACTTGCTCATGTTCAACACGCCCCTTCAGGCTGACTGTGCACGTGCACTCAACGGTCGAAGTGCAAAAACCCAAAGCTAAGCTCCTGGCGAACGACCCGAACGAGTCGGAACACGCGGCAAATTCTGAGAAAGGACATGTTGGCGAACAAGTCCTTCGCACAAGGTCAACTGTGCTTAGAACGAAAGCGGAGCAACTACGGGCTCACGCAGGTGCAGCCGAAGAACAGGAATGAGGAGCTCAAGCGCCGCGTTCGCTATTAAGAACAAGTCGAACATGTTCCAGTACCAGTTCTTGCCTGCCGTGATCAACGACATGGCAGCGGTCATCTGCACGAGTTCAGCTGCCACAATTGTATGTCCCTGCCTATGAAGAAGCTCATTCGGAACGCAACCAAGTACAGGATGACTTCCGCGCTGAACCAAACGAAGAAAGCATACTCCTCAATCGGGACTCGTGTTGTTCCGAAAACTTGCCGCTACCAGCAAAACAGCAAGCAATACCAGCCTCCAGGAACGTGCCACATAGCTAACGCTTCCGCATCCAGACCCTACTGTTTGACTGCCGCTTGCAGCAGCCTGGCCCTTGCATGTCTCGAGCTCCAAGTAGGCGCAAGTCTTCCGAAGGTTCCCCATTGCAAACAAGAGGCAAAAGTGTTTGACATCTGGACTGCCATTGCTCCGTTGATTCGGTTGTAGCTGTGCTTGAGCTGCCTGCCAATGCGCTGAAAGGCTCCGAGATTACGATCGATACGACCAGCGTCCAGGAGCACCGAGACTGTCGACTTCAGAGCAGACAAGCAGACAAGCTGCTGATCAGTGCGGATGCCGATATAAAGGGCATTGGCCGCAATAGCAAGCGTGCTTACCTGAGCAAGGGGAGTATCCGGAAGCAGTTTGTGCGTGAAAAGGAGTATTAGGCTGAACTTTGTGGTTCCGTTCTTGCACGGACATGCCAAAACAGCAAGTCTTTTGAGAAAAGCTTTTCTGGCAGGCATGGCTCCGTTTTGAAGATCACGCTGTTGACGATGACCTCTGATGGCCTGCTCGTATCATAGTGATCCTCCTGGGTAGCAGCTCCAACGATTTATCACGTCAGCTGCATTGGGATGCTGGGTGCTCGGAAACTACGAAAGTCTTGGCTTCGGCTATGAGCCTAGTTTCACAGAATGTAATCACCGAGAGCTGCTATGTGCTTCATTCTACTTGAACATCTTGCCAACTCGGGGCCGCATGGCGTGAGGCTACGCCGCTACACCGCCGCGAACCCCTAGCCTGTAGAGATGTGAGGAGGCGGGAGTGAGAGACTAGTGAGAGCAAGTCTGCGTGGGAATCACTCACTTGGAACGACAGCTCGCTTTTTTGACAAACCTGCCAGGACGGTCTTCGGGAAAAAGGCTGGCAACAAAAGATTGCTCTGTGTCGGAAGTGGCTGGGCTTGTCTGGACTTGGCTTGGCTTGGCACTGAACATGACCGCGTTGGGCACATCCGGCTGTGCACCGCAAATTGTCACTGCTAGCTCGGAGCTTGGCGCACGTTTCGTCGGAGAACTTGAGGCTTGGGTCACGGTAGTGCGAGACTCGGTGGAGATCGCAGGAGCCAACGCAGGAATCTACAGTACCTGAATTCCTCTCGATCGAAGGCCATGGGAAACGTAGCATTTGGCTAAACGGGAAGTGGTGCTCAACAATCTTCTGCCGAAAGCAAATCAAGAGGTTGTGGCTGCAATCGGCGCTCATGTGCTCCCTGGAAGGTTAAGCTGCCCAGAACAGCCCAGAACAAAGGAGCCCCTGTAAAACACAAGCTGGCAAATCCGTGCATGCCAGGCATCCAGTGACCCGCACAGCGTCAGCGTCTGCTTCCATTCGCCCTTATGGAAGAAAGTGTCGTCTGCCAGCCTGGTGTCGGTGACCAGCTGCAGACGATGCGACACCTGTTGCACCAAGACACTGAGAGCTACGCTCATACAGACTCACAGGCCCCGGCCAGCGTGTCGAAGCGCATGCTCTTCGCATCCACGTAGTCGGGGTCGCTTCCATCGTCTGGATCGTCCTGTTCCCCACAACAAACCGCTCGCGATGGTAAGCACATCATGCTCAAACTTTGAGACCCCGAGATGCAACCTGCATTGCATGTGCTCTTCTGAAAAGTTTGCTGTGCTCGCACCATCAGTGCGCACGCAACACCCTTGCAGAGTCACATCCTCATCTACGTCCCGCAGCGTCTGAAAGGACGTCATACGAGAGGGTGCCACGCCGATGGCACGGAGGCTGCTGCCACTGCCGGGACTGCCTGCATGATAGCTCGCCCATCGGGACCTACATTGGGAGTGAGGATTAGATTTTGTCGTCACAAGCGCGGCCAGGAGCCTTCAGGAAGCCACGGGTGTGGGGACGAAGGCTCAACCGGTATGGGAAGCACGCCTGGCCTCGGACACATTACAGTCCGCACAACGCGATGCGGCATGCAACATGCTTTCTTGCTGAAACTGCACAACACTCCGGCACGTGCAGCTTTTTTCCTGGCTGTCTTTGCGGGTGCGGCTCTGATGCTTATCTTGTTGTCCGGCGGGCCTTTGGCTGGACTCATAGCACCTGGATGTTTCCGGGATCTGTCCACAAACAGCCAAGGGGTTCGCGACCTCTACCCAGAGCGATGATAGTCCGCTCTGTCACGACCACAGGGAAGCAACAACGGTGACAATAACGCTAGGCTTTCCAGCGATGGTCGCACGAGAGACATGTGACCGAGGTCCAACTGTGCTCCCCATTCACGCAAGAAGTTGGCGTCACCATGACATAAGTACACCTCTTTCCTCCGCAGCGCTCGCATGTGTATGCATCCGTTACTCTCTCCTCGGGCACCTTGACCGCGGATTCCTGCAAAGATTGCTGGCGCATCTCCGCCCGCAGCGCTGCCTTGGAGTCACTGGCCATCTCTTGCGTGTTCATGTGCGGCAGTGTCCGTGGGTCCAGACTTCCCCCCAAAAGTCGCTGCCGGAATGAGTCGTTAGCCGCGTCCTTCGAAGTCAAGCTGTGTAAGGTGTAAGGCGTAAGGTACATGAGGGCCTTAAGGTTTCATGCTTGAGATTGGCATCTGTTATCGCCGCGAAGACCTGGGGTTGGAGTGAGTTTTCTTCACAACACTCAATGCCCTGTACACAAATCGGAATTTGCATTCAGATGCAGCACTGAAAGCCGGCCGGCAAGGAACAGAGCCGAACGACGAACGAAGCGGCGATCAAGCCCTCCGATCCGCCGCCAAGGCCGCGCTCGAAGAAGGCGGCGCATCGCGGAAGACCGAAACATCCGATGCTGGGCTGCGGTGGCACATGTGAGTCAGTGACGACACCGTGTCCCCGGCAATGGTAGCCGGAGACGGGGGGGCCAGAGACGGACAAAGAATGCCGCCCTATGGTGGAGTTTTTCAGGCGTTGTTCCGACAGTGCGGCCCACATGCGGGATAGAGCAGGATCAAAGGCTTACCTCAAAAACGCGGATGTCCAGTCGACTCGTGACTAGAGGTGGTTCACTGTTAACGCGAGTTACTGCACAGACCTCTGTGCTGCACAACATACTGTGACTTGACTTTAATGTGTGGACCCGGGCAAGTGGGAGCTCAGTTGCTGTCATTCAGAATGATACACCTGGAGAATGTTCAAAGCGAAAGGAGCAACACCACCTCCGAACTCCAACAACTCCTTCAACGACAGGCCGAGACTGCAGCCTGCGGCCTGCGGGTTCCTTCATTACTCGTCACGAGCTCAACCAGACTCTGAGAGAGGCAAAAAACTGTCCAAGGAACTGGATCCTTCAGGTTGAAGACGATGGCCCGTGACTGATTGATGTAGGCTTTGTCCGAGCCTTCGAGCTGCGCATGCAGCTCTTCTTCGATTGCCACTGCCAGAGCACGAGTCCTGGCCGGATTCTTCTGATCTCCCGCGACAGCTGCCTCGAGCATCTGCAGCACCTTCTGCCTTTGCCCGGACTTTGGTGCGGAAGCCAGGTTGACCGCTTCAGGTGTCTCGGGGACCTTCTTCGCATATTTCGGAGCTGTCTCAGGTGGAAGAGGATCCCTGGTGCGTTTGCGATGCATCTCCTTCCAGTCCGCAAGCAATGCCTTCGCTGCCTTGCGGACCTCTCCATTCATTCCGACATCCTTGCCCAAATGATTCACAGCAACTCCGATTTTGCTCTCTTGCAAGACCTGGGTGGGCAGTGCTCCATACTTGCGAAGCTCGTCCAACGCGTGACAGAGCTCTGCCGCAGAGCTCGCCTTCTCTTCCAGCACCCGCTTCCACTGCTGAACTGAGCGTTAAGCTGGTTAAGCAGCTCTGATCAGTAGCCATATCGGATACCATCAGGACTGCGCGACAGGGCCTCTCTGATGGAAGATGCCATGGCCAAGGACACAAAAACGTCGGGCTCAAGATGTTGAGACTAATCAGATCATTCTGTGCCTCTAGCGGAGCTGCACGCAAATCTGTGCCACACAAGGCATCTTACAATGCTTACGCGATGGAAAACTTTGAGGATCTCAAAGGCCCGAGGTGTCGGCAGCGGCAACTCATCATCGCCTGAGCTTCAGGATGCACGGGGACCGCGCAAGCCAAGATCCGAAGACAGACTTGTTCGAGATCTTTTCGATTCAACTACTCGTAGCTGATCTGTGATCTTCGCGCCGAGAAGCTTTCAGGCCGCAAAAAGACATCTTTCGGAGCTTGGGGCTTAACCGCCTCGAGGGCAGATCCAGAAACAGTTTCAAGCAGAGTGCTGTCAGCATAGCTACACCTGAGGTCTGGCCTCGGCAACTTCAGGTGTTGCGACCGCGTTCACCTCTTGACCCTGGGAGGACGCAAGCTGATTGCAGGCTTGCAGGCTGCTTCTCGCTTGACTGCACTGCAGGCCACGGAAAAACCTCTCTTTCCTTGTCTGAGCTTGCACAGTGCATGCAGGCACATAGACCAGTTCTGCGCATGCACTGGGTACGCCGAATGCGCCGCTTGCGCGGGAAATGGGCCGTTTTTGCGCATGAATGCGCCGCAAAACATCGAAATTCCAAGGTGGAGTCTTGGACTGATGGGGCCCTGAATTAAGAAAGAAATTCCTCAGCCGCTGGACAGATAGCGCGCATGCGAGGGCTATTGGGGCACGTCGGAATTGGGAAAAAAAGAGTTGTTTTTAGATTTCTCAACCGCGGGACTGATGGGGCGTCTGGCTGGGGCGCGCCGAATGTAAACACCAAGATATAAACTCTTCAGGACTGTGATGGGGCCGGGCTTTCTGGTTGTATTGGGCTTGAGCTTGTCTGGTTGTAGCGTTTTTCGGGGTTAGCAGGCTTTCCGGGTTTAGCAAGTTTATCGGGTTTTCCGGGTTTATCAGGCTTTCCGGCTTTATCGGGTTTTCCGCAGCAGTGGCGGCAGCACTGTTTGCCCGCACAGTGCAGGCAAGCTGACAGCTTGCTCCCTCTTTCCTACACTGTGTCTGCCTTCCTTCCTCCCGTTGAGCGTGTGGGAGCCTGCAGTTCTGAACTTTATGTCGCGCATCCGGGCCTCGTCTCCGCGCCGTCTATTGCAAGTCCTAGATTCCCTTGACAAATGTTCCCCCAAACTAGTTACAAGTACAGGGGTTCTGCAGCTTCCCCCCTCATACTACGTGGTCTATGCAACAGCAACAACGAAGCTAAGTGCAGGACAGAATGTGGCCACCAGTACATAGTGCAAGTATGCTATGTCGAGGGCGGCTGCCGGGTTGCCCCACCGGGCTCAAACATCAACATCAACACTTGCAGTCACGAGCATCGGTAAATTCCCCCGCGTAAAGTATGCAGTAGTGGCTCACTTGACGGTTACTTGACGGTTGGCCGCGGCCGGAGAAGCTGACAGCAGTCCTGAAGCATCCAACCATTACGTACACTTAACTAGGGAAACCCCCCTCCGGAATTTTGTTGCACCGGTTTTCTGAGCGGTTTGTAGCTCCCGGGCGAGCACTCTGGGTGCCCCCTCTCTCTCTCTCTCTCTCTCTCTCCCTCTCTCTTTCTCTCTCTCGCTATTGCTCTCTTTGTCTTGACCCTTCCACTGCAGCCTCGAAATCCTGCCGCTGAGGGAGTGCCTGCTCGATATCGGACAGCTTCAAACGCCTGATGGACCGCACATGTCCAAGGAGCCCCCCACCAAAGACAGATTCTTGACTGTCTCGAGCAAAGCTGAGCCGCATAGAAGCATTCTCCATTTCCAGGGACTGGTTCAGCGCATGCAGCTGCTTGCAATGGTACCTCAAGAAGCGTTATCATCCGATTCGCACACAATGTACACAAGGAGGCGCGACACCTCTAGATTTCGAACGAACAGTTGCTGTCATGTCGCGAAAGCTCCTCCAATCTGTTGCTGACGGCATCCTAGGCAAAGCAACCAGCCAGTTCTTCACGGGTGTTGCTCAAGTTGCCAACATCTTAAGATCAGCTGCACCCAGTAAAAATATGTTTCAGACAGGTCTCCAGGCAATTACCGAGCACGCTCGGCAGCGGCATCTCCGAGCTCAAACCAGAATGCCAATGCTTGAAAATAGTTGTGCTGCTCTGTGACTCGGGGAGATAAAGCCACTATGGGCACTGCGAGGGACTGCACACACTCATGACTTGCATAGCCCAGCAGGCCGTCTGATGACCGGTCGAGGCGACGAGGAGTTTGTCCAGCTCATGGGTTGTCGGCCTCTTGCGCCCCTACATGACTACGCTGTCACTATGTTGAGCCGAAGCGGCCACACCGCGAGCTATCACAGAAGCATAGCTCGCATGCTACCCATGTGCGTACGTCTGTGTGTGTGTTGCACTCACCAAACTCCTGGAGACTGGCCTTCTTTGGGCTGCAAGGATTTGAGTAGCTCGTCCACGTCTTGGTCCCTGGCACAATGATCGGAATTACATAAGTAGCCACTCTAGGGTCTAGAGCACCTGCAAGGGCCAACTCCAGGACCGTCTTCGATAAGTCGCATCAGATCGTCAATCGTGGAGTCCTCGAGAAAACGTAAAGGCTATGTTCTCTCTCATCCATTTTCATCCTCATCCCTCTCCTCATCCTGGGGTGCAGCGCTTGCTCCGGCCGTGTCCTGACCAGCAGGGCCGGCCGCCTGGGCATGGCTCGACAATTCCACCGATCCCTCAGCCTCTGCGAGTCTTCGAAGCCTGTACCGAGGAGCTGCTGCTTGCATCCCCTGGAGACTACGGAGCAGAGAAGGAGCACGCGAAGGCAGATGCACAGAGGCAGCTGTCCACATGTGGGCCTAGAGGAAGGAGCTGTAAAAAATCCATGGCCATGGCTTCCGCAAGCAGCTGACAAGAGCAGGAACTTGCAGAGGCTGCTTGCGGAGGACGCCTGGGGCCTTGGGCTTAAGTCTGGTTTCGCTCGTTGGAACATGAGCCAGTGGTCCCACGAACATGATTTCATGGTGTGACTACAGGCTTTCCTGCCCAAAGTCTGAACCTCGCAGAGGCCCGAGACAAAACCTTTATTTTCTCTGCAGTGATTCTAGCCGAAAGACGTTTCTTCTGCATGCTTTTGTTGGTCTTGGCATGAGCCACTAAAGCTTCAACAGTCATGGGTTTCTGTTGGAACTGACTTGGCAGCTTTTGGAATCCTGTTCACAACAATCTCACATGCAGGTGAAACAACGAACAACGGCACGGCAAACTTCGACAACAGCAACACGACTAGTAGCATGGCACGTTCCATTGCCAACTTATTCCGAACTCACCTGCGTCGGCCATGGAAAAAACAACTCATGCAAATGCGTCAAATGCTAGCCAGTTACGCACCAATGACCGATGATTCCCATCACCTCGTTTTCCTTCTGCAGTAGCTTGAGGGACTGACCCCACGCACAGAGTTCATCCCGCCTCAGCACCCTGCCATACCCTGCCTGTCCTGCCTGTGGGTTGATACGGGCTACCGCTAGGACAGAGAGAACCAGAGTGGAGGAGCGCAAACGCAATTGTTTCTTCCACCCGAACACTGTGCCAGCTCGGACTTTGCCGAGCTTACCTGGCCTCAGATGCCAGACCTGGCGGGCTGTTGGGCGGGCCGACCTGAGATGCATGCACGAAGCACAAGTTCAGCGAGAGACTTAAATCCAACATTCAAGACAGAGGAAGGCGAAGAGTGGACTTTACAAAGTCTGACTGTGTTGGCAGCGTTGGCAGCAAAGTACTTAGAAGTGATGTAGGTCGTAGGTTCAGTTCATTCACTGAAGGATTCTGGTCGAGGACACAACAGCCGATCGAGTAAACCTTTTGCAACTCAGCCTGTGACAGCTGAATGCGGTGAACTTCCTGTGAGAAGGCCCATGACACCTACCTCAAGAGCAGCAGTCGCCACGTCTTACAGCTTGTGCAAACAAACGCAAAGGCCGCAGCCCCCAATTCCAAGGTGATCAAGATGATAATCATCCTGCAGACTGTCTCGAACTAACCCCAGCGACCGTGATCTGCAGACAATCTCTTCTGCCCCTCCTCTCGAGACGCACTGAATACAAATGCCTGCACGTGGAAAGAGAAGCAATAAATGCAAAAGATCTGGAATGCTATTGCGGACTCACGACCGCAAGACAACCAACCGTGGCTTTCTCAGCAACTGCCTCACGTGTTCACCAAGGGTGTGCAAGAAGTCCAGGGAGTAGCTCAAACGCTCCTCGAGACATCAAGCCGGCCCGACTAGCCAACATAAACCGTCGTTCGTGTATTCAGCGCTGTGCTGGATGTTGCTTGCCGAGAATCGTTCAGAAGGTCTGTGCGCCGCTTCACATCGAAATGCCTGACGACCTCGACCGCACTGTTCACGTTTCTTGCCAGTTCAATCAGAAGAAGTACGGCAGGCGATCACTGGAGCATGAGGTGTGAACAGCAATGCTACTTTGATGGTCCTCACCTGGTCATGGAGACGCTCTTCATTGGGATTTTCCCACAACAAATCCTTGGCTGAACGGGCGGCCGACATGAAATGGGGAACCAGAGCAGCACAGGCACAGGTGAATCAAGGAATCGTCCTGCAGCATTCAACTCGTACCTCATTTCGTGGATCATATGCTCGTACCTGACACAAATTGGAGGAACTGGAGGCCGCATGCTCTGTCCCCACGTAACATCGCGTCTAAAGCTGCCACGATGCCTGAAAACCCGGTTGGAGATGTCCTTCAGAGTCCTGGGCATGGACGCGCAGTCGGTCGCATGTTCCCTCCTGCATGAACGTGATCTGGTCCCTGATGGCAAGCATCACTGACATTGCAAATCGCTCTTCCACGCTGGCCACCTCCTTCTCGAGGGCCTGGTAAAGCTTTCATTTGGACACGCACCAGCACATAGGCACATCCACGAGCCTGCCAGCTCTTCACAGTTTGCTCCTCGATCTTTGCTTCCAGCTCGTCCAGTCCTAAGCAAGATGCTGGTCATGCGAAATGGACTGAGGATGACAGACCCACCACTAGTGGAGGAAGGCGTCGCACTGCGATTTCCAGGCCTAAAGAGATGGCGATTTGCTCAAGCTGCGCCTCCAGGCGAAATCGAAAGCTGTCAAGCCATCTAAGCTTGTGTCTAAGAGACCGTGCATATACTTACAACATCTTGCAGGCCTGCTGCAGAGCCCCCTTTTCTCCAAAGGGATCCGTTGGAACGCGTGCAACGTGTAGCTGCCCGGTGTTCTTGTCCAGACGGGTTTCCTTTCCTGCAGGACAACTCTTGGAACAAAGTGTCTTGGGTGGTGCAGGGATCCTCCGAGGAGCAATAAGATGTTGACTTAAGTGGGGCCTTCCGTTTGGGGCCGTAAGTCTACGGGACATGAACTTGGCGCAATCCAACAAAGCACGTGACCCAACCTAGCCAAACTACTAAATGCTGCTAGTTCGCCCACGGCTTCATAGACGAAGTCCAAGCTCTCGGAGGCGAGGGGCTCGCTGCTCTCGGTGGACGGAGTTGCAAAGCTCTGCAACCGCTCGTACAAAGCGACAGTGACAGCACGCTGCTACACCTGTGCCCGCATAAAAGCCCACGCAGCTGCGACACTTTATCCGAACTCCCAGCCTCTGCTGCTAGATACTCACCTTCCAGCACTTTCTGAACAACACCTTGGAAAGGTAGCCAATTTATGTCGGTGGAGACTTGGCAATCTGCAACGCTCTGACATCCTCTTTGGTCACCAACCTATCGTCGTGGGACCATGCCACTTTTCTGGGCAGGAAGCAGCGATCTGGAGCATCCGATGCCTGCACGTAATTAACTAGTTAACTGCGCATCATGTAGAGCACATCAACCTGCCTGCCTACATGTTGATAGCTTTCGACACAGAATGTTGCCAGTGCCCATAGTTGCCGCATACTACTGACTAAAACATGGCAGTCTACATGCGACAAGGCACCGCAGGTCCTCTTCGGTATCCCAGAGAACGAGACATCCATTTGGTAAGACCTCATTTCAAGCCAGGACAAATGTCTAAACTCATGGTACACTTGTACACCTACAACAACTGAAGTATTTATTGAACGAGATGCCACCACATTACCTGCATTGTCACTGTTGCAGATCAATACCTGGAAGGCATTCTTGGTGGGACTCGGAGACACTTCGCCCTGCCTTGGACTTCTTTCCATGGACTTGCTTACCCTTCCCCACTTGTGCCTGCGCCAGCGGGCTTGCCTTTGGACCACGTGCCATGTGCCAGAGTCCTTAGCATGCCGATCGCAAAGCGGAGCAGGTCTTGAGAGGGAGAGGGAGATACACACTCGTGGGAACATGCACGAGAGAATCAAGCCACAACGAAAGAGAGCCCTATCAATCATGCGAGGTGCTGCAAGAATATACTGGGTCTTTTAGTTGTGAAACCCGTTGTCCAAGTTCCTTCAAATTGATCCTCAGTGACCAGGCGGCAACTGCTCCCGAATGTCATTTTGACAGGTTCGCGGTGGCAGGGCAGCGGCGATCGGCCCAAAAGATGTGCCCAGACCTGCTTCAGGTCTTCCTGCAGCTCATCGCCGCTCGTTCCACATTCAGAAAAAAAAGATCTCAAAGGTACACTTGGGCAAACGCCTTCTCCTCGGCCCGGCTACTGCTCCCACGGCTCGCATGGTTCGCCAGCCACAGGACACTACCTCCTCACAAGCATAGTAGAGCAGCCAAAAGCAATCAGAAGCGACCGAGGATCCGCGTGCGCACCTGTCCGAGGGAAGGATCTGCAAGCCAGCCTAGCTTGCAGAGACTTCGGAGTCTTCGATTCCGTCGCAGCCCTCACAATCAGTAGCAGTAGTAGTAGTAGTAGTCGTCGTCGTCGTCGTAATAATAATAGTAGTAGTAGTAGTAGTAGTAGTAGTAGTAGTAGTAGTAGTAGTGGTCGTAGTAGCAGTCGTAGTAGCAGTCGCAGTAGCAGTTGCAGTCAGCCGTACTAACAGTAGTACAAGGAGTAGCAGTAGCAAGATGCAGCAAGCATAGGTCGCGCACGTTACCCTACTACTACTACTACTACTACTACTACTACTACTACTACTACT